CAACCCACCACCCTATTAAAGTGATTTCATACTTGCCTTAAAAGGTAGGGTGGGATTGTGGACGCATGCTAAAAGCGAAGTAAGGTTAGCTGCTTTCGACCCCGGCTTTCTTTTGTATCAAATACCATTCTCGTCTCATTTTCGTTCAAAATAAATATGAGACGCCCCCATCTCGCTTTGTTTTACGGTCTATATGGAGAATCTTCGTATGGATCAAAACGAGATGGGATAAATTGCCGTCCCTACCCAGAATAAAAAGGCACAAAGTCCCCCTCGGTAGAAAGGAGTTCCTTCAAAAGAACCCCTTCTCACACACACTATTTTCCTCCATATTTACGCTTTTTCTTGATAGGGAGGTCTGAAGACTCAAGTAACATGCAGCAAGTCTTTGTCATGTCTTAATGAAACATAATTGATAATCCTAGATAAATTACAAACCAAAAAGAAAGACGACAAACGCAAATAATCGCCGGATCTGCGGACAATCAAAGCAAACGCTAAGAAAGAACACAAATTAAAGGAACATTAAGTAGTAAAAAGGTACAAATAATACCAATAATTCAAATTACATTATTGCTTAAAGGATAGCAGCTAATACAATCACTTTCTCGCATGAGTCATCTCACATCCCTTTCTTCGAAAAAATACAGGCAAATTATGACATGGAAAATTACAAGCTTTGAATTGGCTTCAACAGTAAGACAATAGAGTGGCCAGGTGATATAGGTAAATTCTGAATATCAGACCCGTTCTTTTTTGTCCTAAAGACACGATATGCAGATTGTTGAAGTAAATAAATGTTTCTTTCGTTTTCTTTCGCTTCTTTAATGCATTAATAAGACCAGAATGATTTCACGAATATGTTTTAGAGTAGTATTTTGGGATTTGTTTAATCAGGCCGGCTGAAGATTTTATTCTAGTTGGAATTTCCCACAGAAAAATCATAAATAAAGACAGAATAAGTCTTTGCCTTCTTCATTTCCACAGAAAAATCATAAAGAAAGAAAGAAAGTCTTTGCCTTCTTCAAGTAATATGAGGATATATAGATGGAGATTCATTTCCGCCAACTACAATACTCAGCATATTCGGCATACATAGAGAAAAGATTTTGCCTTAAGCCCTGCAATTTCCTAAAGAACAGTATCTTCACACCATGCATTTTTCACTACCATATTGTTTTTACTTCTTTTTCTTCTTCTGCTGCCATTTTCCACCGAAGGTCAAACTTACAGAAACATATCTTTGGGCTCATCTTTCACTGCTGAAAGTGATAACCCTTTCTGGACTTCACCATCTGGGGATTTTGCTTTTGGATTCCAACAAGTTGGTGATGCTGGCTTCTTACTAGCCATATGGTTCAACCAAATACCTGAAAGAACCATAGTCTGGTCAGCGAACAGAAATGATCTAGTTCAAAGGGGATCGAGGGTACAACTCACCACAGATGGTCAGTTGATCCTAGATGACCAATCAGGCACACAAGTATGGAGCACCATTAATTCCGGTGGAATTGGAGCTGCCTATGCAGCCATGCTTGACACAGGAAACTTTGTGCTAGCAAGCCAATCTGCTGCCAATTTGTGGCAGAGTTTTGATGAACCAACAGATACAATGCTGCCCACACAGACACTGAGTCAAGGTCGTGCACTAATTGCGCCCTACCTAGAAAAGAATTATTCAGATGGAAGATACATGTTTACTCTACAAATTGATGGGAACCTCCTACTGTACACCACACGTTATCCAATATCAACTAGCATTAATTTTGCTTATTGGTCTACCCAAGATTCTTTAGGCAGTGGTGATCAGGTGATCTTTAACCAGTCTGGCTATATGTATCTAACAGCAAGAAATGGTACTATGATTAATCATGTATTCTCTGATTCAGTACCAATGCAAGATTTCTACCAGAGGGCAACCCTTGACTATGATGGAGTTTTTAGGCACTATGTCTACCCAAAGACTGGTGCTTCAAACAGCAGAAACTGGGCTCTTGCCTGGAATACATTTTCTTTCATACCATCAAATATCTGCGTGAGAATTGAGGGAGAAGAAGGCAGTGGAGCTTGTGGTTACAACAGCTTTTGCAGACTAGGAGATGATCAAAGACCAAGTTGCCAATGTCCTCCTGGTTACACATTCGTGGATCCCAATGATGAGAGGAAGGGATGTAAGCAAAACTTTGTTTCACAGGAATGTGGCCAACCATCTCAAGGAACAGATGGATTCGAGTTCGAGGTGATGCCTAACACAGATTGGCCACTCAATGATTACGAATATTTTAGTTCAGAGAATGAGGATTGGTGCAGACAGGCTTGCTTGAGTGATTGCTATTGTGCTGTGGCCATTTTCAAAAATGGAGAATGTTGGAAGAAGAGAATCCCTCTCTCGAATGGAAGAATAGATCCAGGCCTTGGTGGAACCAAAGCCCTGATAAAAGTAAGGAAAGGCAACTTCACTGCAGGTTCATGCGCAAAGAAGAATGATCGATCAACTTTGATCATAACAGGCTCAGTACTTTTAGGGAACTCCGTCTTTCTAAATGTGATCTCATTGCTAGGAATCTATGTGTTCTTTTCTCGAATGAACCGACAAAAAGCAAAAATGATCCCGCCACATAACGTCTTGCCCGATGTGAATCTGGTAAGTTTTACTTACAATGAGCTCGAAACAGCTACTGGAGGATTTAAGGAAGAATTGGGAAGTGGTGCTTCCGGAATTGTTTACAAAGGGCTTCTGGACAATGAAGATACACCCCTCGTTGCAGTAAAGAAGTTATATAAGATGGTCAGAGAAGGGGAGCGAGAATTCAGGACAGAAGTGAAAGTTATTGGCAGAACAAATCACAAGAATTTGGTCCAACTTCTCGGATTTTGTGACGAAGGGCAACAGCGACTTTTGGTCTACGAATACATGAGCAATGGCTCCTTGTCAAACTACCTATTTGCAGATTCAAGGCCTAATTGGTACCAAAGAATGCAGATTGCCTGTGGTGTGGCAAGAGGCCTCCTTTACCTCCATGAAGAATGCAGCTCACAGATAATCCATTGTGATATCAAGCCTCAAAATATCCTTCTCGACGATTCTCTTAACGCAAGAATTTCTGATTTCGGACTAGCCAAGCTGTTGAAGACAGACCAAACTAAAACAATTACAGCAATCAGGGGGACCAAAGGGTATGTAGCTCCTGAATGGTTCAAGAACCTGCCAGTTACAACCAAAGTAGATATTTACAGTTTTGGCGTTTTATTGCTAGAGCTAGTGTGTTGCAGAAAGAAATTTGAGCTTGATGCAATGGAAGAAGATCAGATAGTTCTTGCAGACTGGGCATATGATTGCTTCAAAGAAGAAAAGTTAGACCTTTTAGTACTAGAAGATGAAGAAGCCATGGAAGACATGAGAAGAGTGGAGAGTTTTGTGATGATAGCAATTTGGTGCATTCAGGAGGATCCATCTTTAAGACCTGGAATGAAGAAAGTTTTACAGATGTTAGAAGGAGCTGTTCAAGTCTCTATTCCTCCGGACCCTGCATCATTTATCAGCTCAATCTAAATCCTGAAGGCCTACGAATGTAACACTTCACACATGGTCCAGAGAGTCAGAAAAACTAATAGATTAATATATTTGATGTCTTGCAGATACAGTTTCATGAATATAATCTCAATTATATCCTTATTATGGAAAAAAATATATTACATAAAGAACTTAATTTTGTTAATAATCATGCATATATCAAATTTACAATATTAACACCAAACACTTATTTCTTCACAATTCATCATCGTTATTAACAAAATATATATATATATATATATATATATATAACATTTCTATTGCTAGAATGCCATTCAATATATTTCATGATTTTTTTTAATAAAACTGATCATTTTGAAACTTATCGTGAAAAAAAAAACCCTTTTTGTCATTAATTATTTTTTTCAAAACAATAAAGTAAATAAATATTTCCCATCGACATATCTTAACATATAACATTCTAAATGTTCAAACATTGCATTACATATTCTACACTTTTTGATAAATCAATAGTTAAGTTCGAACAAAAAATATCTCAAAGTTTAAGAGACCAAATGGAAATGTTTTAAATTTTGAAGGATTGAAAAAAATAACAATGCAAGGACTAAACTAAAAAGCAATGTTATAAAGTTTGACTAAAACAATCACAAGGACTAAAACAAAAAGCCAAAAAACTCTCAAGGATTAAAACCATCATAACGTAGCCGACTATTGTAGCCTTCGAATTTTTTTCGTGTGTTTGAAGGTCTCTCTCTCATTCTCTCTCTTGCCCGTCTCTTTTTCATTCTTACATGTTCTTGTTATTTAGAATCTTTTTTTTCTCCTGAAAGTTAATTTTTAATAAGTGTTGATATTTTTTTAATTTTTTTGTCAACTTAAATTGATTATTTATTAATTGCCATACCTCTATTATTGTAAAAAAAAAAAAAATGGAAATTTATCATCAATTTTTAATAAGGTTGCGTGAAGAATATTTATTTTCTACAATAGTGACTATTTTTCATACTAATCTTTTAAAAAATAATAATTAAAGAAAAAGTAAAAAACATAGAAAATAATCTCTCTCTCGTTTTTCTTTTCTCTTTTTTGGTATGAAAAAAAAAGAAGAATAAAAGTGGAGTAAATTATAAATTAGTCCTTCTCTATTCAAAAAATGAATTAATTAATTCCTCCGATTTCAAAACATAATTATTTAATCTTTTGAACCAACGTTGATCATGAATAATTTAATTTTTTTTATTTTATAAAATTTATTCTCTTTTCATCAATCTTTTCATAATTTTTACATAATTTTTTATTTTCTATTTCTTAAAACAAAGATAAATTTAAATTTAAAAATACCAAAAAGGATTAAATGATTGAGTTTTAAAATTAGGAGGACTGATTAATCCCTTTCTTGAAATGAGAGGGACTAATTTATAATTTCCTCAAGAAAGGTGGGTCGGACCATGGCAGGCCTGCTTGTATGGCCAGGTGGCAACCAGGTCAGAGCCCCTCAATATCAAACCCTTTCTTGTTTGTCCTAAAGACATGCTGATATGCAGCTTATAGAAGTAGAGAGAATTTTCTTCTGTTTTCTTTCACTTCTTTAATGCAGCAACAAGCATCTTCTGGAAAAGTAATTAAAAAAAAAAAAACTTTATCTATTCCATTAATTTATTCTTCTAGCTTCTATTCTATGCGATCAGAGTAGTATTTTGGGATTTTTTTAAATCAGGCCTGCAGAAGATTACATGCTAGTTGGAATTTTCTTCAGAAAAATCATGAGGAAAGAAAGTCTTTGCCTTCATCACTTCCACAGAAACATCATAAAGAAAGAAAGTCTTTGTCTTCTTCAAATAAAATGAGGATGGATGAAGATTCATTTCAGCCAACTGAAATACTCAGGATAAATAAAGAAAAGGTTTTGCCTTTAAGTCCTGCAATCTTCACACCATGCATTTTTCACTACCATATTGTTTTTGCTTCTTTTTTCTTCTTCTGCTGCCATTTTCTACCAATGGTCAGACTTACAGAAACATATCTTTGGGCTCATCTCTCACTGCTGAAAGTGATAACCCTTTCTGGACTTCACCATCTGGGGATTTTGCTTTGGATTCCAACAAGTTGGTGATCTTGGCTTTTTACTAGCCATATGGCTCGACCAAATACCTGAAAGAACCATAGTCTGGTCAGCTAATAGAAATGATCCAGTTCGAAGGGGGTCAAGAGTACAACTTGCCACAGATGGTCAGTTGGTCCTAGATGACCAAGCAGGCACACAAATATGGGGCACCTTTAATTCTGGTGGAAGTGGAGCTGCCTATGCAGCCATGCTCGACACAGGAAACTTTGCGCTAGCAAGCCAATCTGCTGCCAATCTGTGGCAGAGTTTTGATCAACCAACAGATACAATGCTGCCCACACAGACTCTGAGTCGAGGTCGTGAACTAATTGCTCCCTAGCTAGAAAGGAATTATTCAGATGGAAGATGCAAGTTTATTCTGAGCACTGAGGGGAATCTCCAAAGTACGCCGCCAGGAATCCATCAACTGCCAATAATGTTACTTATTGGTCTATCCCAAGTTCTATATAGTCGGTGGTTATCAGGTGACCTATAACAAGTCAAGCTATATGTATCTTGTAGCAAGAAATGGTACTGTACTTAATTCTGTATTCTCTGGTTCAGTATCAATGCAAGATTTCTACTAAAGGGCAACCCTAGACTATGATGGAGTTTTTAGGCAATGTGTACCCAAAGATTGCTGCTTCAAGTAGAAGAAATTGGGATATGGCCTGGACAACTTTGTCTCCCTCCATAACATCAAATATCTGCCTGAGTACTAGGGGAGCCGTAGGTGGTGAAGCTTGTGGTTACAACAGCTATTGCAGTTTAGGAGATGACCAAAGACCAAGTTGCTACTGTCCTCATGGTTACACTTTGTTGGTCTCAAATGACGTGAGGAAGGGATGTAAGCAAAAATTTGTTTCGCATGATTGTGACCAACCATCGGAATGAACTGATAACTTTGACCTCATGGTTATGCATAGCACAGATTGGCCTGGCAGTAATTATAAACATTTTGATTCAGTACACAAAGATAGGTGCAGACAGGCTTGCTTGAGTGACTGCTACTGTGTTGTTGCCATTTTCAATGATTGTTATTGTTGGATGAAGAATATCCCTCTCTCGAATGGGAGAATAGATCCAAGCGATGGTGCAAAAGCCCTGATAAAGGTAAGGATAGGCAACTCTACTACAGGTCCAAGCTCAAAGAAGAATGATCGATCCACTTTGATCATAACAGGCTCCGCACTTTTAGGTAGCTCCGTCTTTCTAAATGTTCTCTCAGTGATAGGAATCTGTGTTCTTTTCTCGATTGTGCCAACAAAAAACCAAAAATGATCTAGCCACATAACGTCATGCTAGTCATGAATCCGGTAAGTTTTACTTACAATGAGCTCGAAACAGCTACTGGAGGATTTAAGGAAGAACTTGGAAGTGGTTCTATTGGAACGGTTTATAAAGGGGTTCTAGCCAATGAAGATACACCTCTCATTGCAGTAAAGTTAGAAAAGATGGTCGGACAAGGCGAGCAGGAATTCAAAACAGAAGTGAAAGTTATTGGCAGAACAAATCATAAAACTTGGGTCTAGCTTCTCGGATTTTGTAACGAAGGGCAACAGCAACTTCTGGTCTATGAATACATGAGCAATGGCTCCTTGTCAAACTACCTATTTGGAGATTCGAGGCCTAATTGGCACCGAAGAATGCAGGTTGATTGTAGTGTAGCAAGAGGGCTCCTTTACCTCCATGAAGAATGCAGCTCCCAGATAATCCATTGTGATATCAAGCCTCAAAATATCCTTCTCGAAGAATCTCTTAACGCAAGAATTTCTGATTTCGGACTAGCCAAGCTGTTGAAAAGAGACCAAACTAAAACAACAACAGTAATCAGGGGGACCAGATGAGAAAGCGGAAAATTTTAATGCTATTCTTCAGAAAATCAGAACTAGTTTCCAATTTACTTGAGAAAGCGGAAAATTTTGAGAAATTTTTTTGACGAAAATCATGTAACTGTAAAAACATATTCATCTGTGGACAAGATGCTAAATTTCTTGAAGAAAACTATAATGTTTTGTTCTGCTATCAAATGGTATAGTCTGAGAAATACTGGGCGTATGACTGTTTTAAAGAAGAAAGTTAGACATTTAAGTAGAACAAGATGAAGAGGCATTGGAAGGCTTCAAGAAGGATAGATAGGTTTGTGATGACCATTGAGCTTCTAGCTCATTGATAGTGCCCTCTTAAGAGGTCACGGGTTTAAATCCTAGTAGAACTCTGCTAGGAGCCTGCTAGAGCCTTTGGTTTGTTTATTTAAAAAGAAAAAAGAAAAAAAAGATAGGTTTGCGATGGTAGCAATTTGATGCATTCAAGAAGATCCATCTTTAAGACCTGGAACGAAGGAAGTTGTAAAGATGTTAGAAGAAGTACTTGTTCAAGTCTCTATTCCTCCTGATCATATAAATGGTGTATGTAAAGTTTATGGTTGAAGTTCAAACGAAAGGAAGTTTCTGATTATTTTAAATGACATTATTGCTAAAAGGCTTGCAGCCAATACCATCACTTTCTTGCATCGATCAATCACACAACCCTTTCTTCGTAAAAATATAGGTAATTTACGACCTAGAAAATTACAAGAACCTAATGTTTGAATTGGTTTCAACAGTAAGTCAATAGAGTGGTCAGGTGATATAGGTAACTTCTGACTATCAAACCCTTTCTCTTTTATTTTTATTAATTTTTATATAAAAATCGAGATTAGATTAATTTAATGAGAAGGTTGACAGCTCGTAATGGGCAAGATTACATAGATGACACATGTAAGTAAGCACAATAGAATCTCTGTGAAGAAAATAAAAAACTATATGCATGCAATTTGTTCGTAATCTTTATGAAGATTATTTTGGCTAAGGTATCTGCTGTTGGGTTTCCCTTCTAGTTGGAGGATGGCTCAAAAGTTTGCCTACATGAGCTCAATTTTAGAGCTCATATAGAGGAGGATTTTTATTAATCACTTAAAGGGTAACTTTGATATTTTCAAATAAATCATATCTTCTCTTTTATTCTAAAATCAGATTAGGGAAGAAGTAAGAGAGAAAAATAAGAGAAAAGGAGTGAGAGCCACAACTTTGAAGAGAAAGAGGGAAAAGAGTTTCAGCACAGACCAGTCACGTTAAAATTGAGTTTCTGGATTCGTTAACTGTTGGATCGAGCTCAAATTTTGTGAGCACGTTGAGGAGAGGCAGCCACACATTCTGGACGGTGGAGATCAGGTTATGTGTCTTGGAGAGGGAGATATTGTGCTCATAACAGTGCTGTTTTTTGGTGAAATCTGAACTTGGTTTCTTCTACTTTCTTTGTGTATCATCTTTTGATGCGGTTTGCCAAGGGTGTGTAACCTTTGATTTTTGTGACTAATTATTCATCTAGTTTAATCTAGAGAGGACTACTTGTACTCATTATTGTTGATAGTGGAAGTTATAGTGGACTTCGGTCCCGTGTTTTTTCCCTTCTCAAATTGAGGAGGTTTTCCACGTAAAAATTTGTGTGTGCTTTGTGTGATTGTGATTGGTTGCTTATTTTTCAGATTATTAGTTACTTGTTTGGCTTGGGTATTTGGTTATAGCCTGTGGTTGATTGTTCAAGCAAAGGCAAAGGGATTCCGCTGTGTTATTTGTGTTTCTTTGCCCAACAAGTGGTATCAAAGCATTGTGTTATTTGTGTTTCTTTGCCTAACATCTGTCAGTGCATTTTCTTCACGATTGGATCAAAGAATCAATCGAGTTAAAGGTACTCTGCAAATGCCAAGACCTGGCAGAGACTTCCTTACTCATTCAAGTAATAGCATGCATTGGCCAAATTCGATTTGATAATCCAATTTATTTGATGAGCGTAGACAGAAAAACATAAAATTTTGTTTGTGACTCCTTAAAGCTCCTCCAATAGCAGAAATCTCAAGCTTGCTCAAAGATGATCTGTTTTGTCCTAAAGACACGATATGCAGATTGTTTAAGTGAACAGAAGTTTTCTTTTATTTACTTTTACTTCTTTAATGCAGTAATAAGCACCTTCTGAGGAAGTAAAAAGTGAAGCTGCTAGATTTATTCCATTAATCTATTCATTTAGCATCCTATGCAATTAGACTACGATGATTTCATGAATGTCTTTTAGTACTAGCCAACGTTCAGCAGTTAGCTCAAACTTTGATCCTCTCGGTGCAGGATTTTCGATCTCCATTTGCATACCAAACTATGTCTCTGTCGGGTATTTTGTAATACCACATGGCAAGCAAGAAGAAATCATCGTTGTCACTTAGTTGGCGGAACCCAAATGCAAAATCATTGGAAGGAGAAAGCCATGGAAGATTCTGATCCATGGCAGCTAGGGATTCGCCGATGCTAACATTACCACTTGTCTGAGATGTGACAGAATGAGAGGACATGAGGAAGTAGAACAGCAGAAATGCAAATGCAAATTTAGAGCCCATTGCTAATGGATTAAGCTAAATGAACAAGAAACTTGACAATATATATATATATATGAGCGAGTTTGGATCCTTGCTAGTGTCTAACAGGACTTTTGACAATCAGACATTGAAGATTCCAAGCTGCCACCAAGATTTCCAAGTCAACAAAACTTAACCGACACTCCAGACATTTTATGGAAATTAGAAAAAGGTGGTTTTACTACTTTCACAATGTTTGAAATTGCATTAATCAACAATTTCTAAGCCTGACCTAGCAAATCAGGAGGCACTGTTTTGTCCCTTGTGAGTAGAGGCTGCTTGAGTTTTAATCTATGATCAATGCTAACGCATGTCATTGTTCGGTAGATTTTGGAGAATACCATATAAAGAGAAAAATAATTAAAAGGCAAGTAAAATATATTTCAAAATTTATATTAAGTCATTGTTCGGTACGTATGATAAAAATAATTCTAGTTAATAGGTCTAATCATTCACAAAAAGTAAAAAAAACAATTATGAATATTTAACCAATTCAACTTAAAAAATGGAATTGCTCTTTCAAAAAAATTAGAAACTGCACTATTATATATATATATATATATATATATATATATATATATATATATATATATATATATATATATATAATTAGTAACTAGTTAGTATTATTGTTATTTTTATTTTGAAAAATATATTTATATTTTTTTAAAAAAAATACATGTTAGGTTTGTTTTGTTCGTATTTTATTGCAATATCATTATTCAAATTGTAAGGCATAATTTTATGATTTTTTAATCAAAATTTTATACCTAATTATTTATTTCTTATGTTTTTTAATAGATCTTTTTAGAAAAAAACATAATTTATTTTTTATGCATGAATTCTTAAATAAAAATATATAATAATTGAAGACGCAAGTTTCAATTAATTGAAGAATAATTTTTTTATCCTCGTCACACACCATATAGACCCCCGCAAAAGCATTAAATGGGTTGCCAAAGAAGGAAATACAAAGACAAAAATGAGAAGAGAAAAATAACAAAAGAGGAAATAAGAGAAGGATAAAACCGTAACAGCATAAAAACACTTAATGGCGAGATAGTAATTAACCACAAAGATAGGGGTGAGAAACAGCAAAAAGAAGGAATAACTAATACCGACCAAGACTTTTGTTGAAAAAAATAAACCGCGGGACACATGCAGCTGAAATGAAAATGACAAAAAGAGCTGAAAAAACAAGCAGAACATCACTATTGCCAAATCTAACAATGTAGACCAAGACAGGTCAGGCGCAGAAAAAAGGAACGCCTAGATGATGCATTAGATGAGAACAGAACAGGATATAAACAGTAATATAACTACGTGTTTTAGTTGCGGTTGTAATTTTCCACATAAGAAAGTCTTTGTCGTCTTCATTTCCACAGAAAAAACATAAAGAAAGACTTTGCCTTCTCCTTATAAGATGAGGATAGATGGAGAATCACTTCTGCCCAATACTCAGCATAAATATAGTAATAGGGATTTTGTGTTTGCCATAGTTCCTGAAGAACAAAATCCTTATAGCATGCATGGATTTTTCACTCCCACATTGTTTTTGCTTCTTTCTTCTGCTGCTGCCAATTTCTACCAGTGGCCAGACTTACAGAAACATATCTTTGGGCTCGTATCTCACTGCTGCAAAAGATAAATCTTCTTGGACTTCACCATCTGGAGATTTTGCTTTTGGATTCCAACAAGTTGGCGATGCTGGCTTCTTGCTAGCCATATGGTTCAACAAAATACCTGAAAGAACCATAGTCTGGTCAGCTAATAGAAATGATCTAGTTCGGAGGGGATCGAGAGTACAAGTTACCACAGATGGTCAGTTGGTCCTCAGTGATCAATCAGGCAGGCGAATACGGATCGCCGATTCTGTTGAAAATGGAGTTGCCTATGCAGCCATGCTTGACACAGGAAACTTCGTGCTAGCAAGCCAATCTGCTGCCAATTTGTGGCAGAGTTTTGATCAACCAACAGATACAATGTTGCCCACGCAGAATCTGAGTCTAGGTGGGGAACTAATTGCTCCCTACCTAGAAAGGAATTATTCGGATGGAAGATACAAGTTTATTCTGAGCACTGAGGGGAATCTCCAAATGTACACCACAAGGTATCCATCAACTGCCAATAATGTTGCTTATTGGTCCACCCCAAGTCCTACAGTCGGTGGTTATCAGGTGATCTATAACCAGTCTGGCTATATGTATCTTGTAGCAAAAAATGGTACTGTACTTAATTTTGTATTCTCTAGTTCGGTATCAATGCAAGATTTCTACCAGAGGGCAACCCTAGACTATGATGGAGTTTTTAGGCAATATGTGTACCCAAAGGCTGCTGCTTCAAGACGTAGAAGGTGGAATATGGCCTGGACAAGTTTGTCTCCCTCCATACCATCAAATATCTGCCTGAGTACTAGGGGAGCGGTCGGCGGTGGAGCTTGTGGTTACAACAGCTATTGCAGTTTAGGAGGAGATCAAAGACCAAGTTGCCAGTGTCCTTCTGGTTACACTTTCTTGGATCCAAATGATGTGAGGAAGGGATGTAAGCAAAACTTTGTTTCACAAGATTGTGACCAGCCATCGGAAGAGACTGATAACTTTGACTTCATGGATATGCCTAACGCAGATTGGCCAGACAATGATTACGAACATTTTGATTCAGTGGACGAGGATTGGTGCAGACAGGCTTGCTTGAGTGACTGCTATTGTGCTGTTGCCACATTCAAAGATCGAAATTGTTGGAAGAAGAGAATCCCTTTCTCGAATGGGAGAATAGATCCAAGCTATGGTACAAAGGCCCTGATAAAAGTAAGGATAGGCAACTCTACTACAGGTCCAAGCTCAAAGAAGAATGATCGATCCACTTTGATCATAACAGGCTCCGCACTTTTAGGTAGCTCCGTCTTTCTAAATGTTCTCTCACTGATAGGAATCTATGTGTTCATTTCTCGATTGAGCAGACAAAAACAAAAAATGATCCAGCCACTTAACGTCATGCCAGGCGTGAATCCGGTAAGTTTTACTTACAATGAGCTCGAAACAGCTACCGGAGGATTTAAGGAAGAACTGGGAAGTGGTGCTTTCGGAACTGTTTACAAAGGGGATCTAGCCAATGAAGATACACCCCTCATTGCAGTAAAGAAGTTAGAAAAGATGGTCGAACAAGGCGAGCAGGAATTCGAAACGGAAGTGAAAGTTATTGGCAGAACAAATCACAAGAATTTGGTCCAACTTCTCGGATTTTGTAACGAAGGGCAACATCGACTTCTGGTCTATGAATACATGAGTAATGGCTCCTTGTCAATCTACCTATTTGGAGATTCGAGGCCTAATTGGTACCGAAGAGTGCAGATTGCATGTGATGTAGCAAGAGGGCTCCTTTACCTTCACGAAGAATGCAGCTCCCAGATAATCCATTGTGATATCAAGCCTCAAAATATCCTTCTCGACGAATCTCTTAACGCAAGAATTTCTGATTTTGGACTAGCCAAGCTGTTGAAGAGAGACCAAACTAAAACAACAACAGCAATCAGGGGGACCAAAGGGTATGTAGCTCCTGAATGGTTCAAGAACCTCCCTGTTACAACTAAAGTAGATATTTACAGCTTTGGCATTTTGTTGCTCGAGCTAGTTTGCTGTAGAAAGAAGTTTGAGCTTGATGTAATGGAAGAAGACCAGATAGTTCTTGCAGACTGGGCATATGATTGCTTCAAAGAAGCAAAGTTAGACCTTTTAGTAGAAGCAGACGAAGAGGCCATGGAAGACATGAAAAGGGTAGAGAGGTTTGTGATGGTAGCAATTTGGTGCATTCAGGAGGATCCATCTTTAAGACCTGGAATGAAGAAAGTTGTACAGATTTTAGAAGGAGCTGTTCAAGTCTCTATTCCTCCTGAACCTACATCATTTATCAGCTCAATCTAAATCCTTGTACACATACATCATATCCAGTTGCTAAATCCTGTGATTGTATAGAGCTTCAGGGTTCAGACTTCAAATTGTAACCCAAATGATGGTTATAATTAATAAAATGTTCTTCAACTAGTCGAATTTGAGTTATACATTATAATTGAATCTTAGACAGATAAATTTTTCGTGAATTCACAAGTTCAGATTTGAATGATCAAAAAATGTATTCTCGGTGTGTCAAAGTTGAGCGGCCAATATTAACCAACGAAATATTATGTTTAAAAATTATTTCTCTCCTAAAATTTAAATTATTAAGTGAGATTTTTTGATATGATTTATATTATTTTCTAACGTAAATGTCCATTTTGATGGAATCAACCAACGAGATACATTTATTTATACTTGGAACAATCCATCCAAGTCAGGAAAACAACCAACCAAAGAAATTGATCCATAATTTTAGTTGAAGTCAGGGGCATGTGGGAAATAATAGATGAAATATCAGCATGGATAACGTGCTTTCAAAACTTCCAATAGGAAGACTTTTACAATTACAAATTGAATGGTTTTGGAGTAAACAACAGAGAATAGATTCTCTTCTTCTTCTTTGAATTCTGACAAGAACCTACATTGAAATACTCTTTCATTTAAGGTTGTTTACTTCCATTGCTTCCTCTTTTGGGTACCGACATCACTTATTTGTCAAATTTGGAAATTACTTCTCCAAAAGTAAAGGTTAATGCTTAATGTTCTTCTGAAAAACAGAGTTTTGGGAAATAATCTTGACGAGATACATTCAACTGTAATAAGAGTTCAGCTGTGGGCAAGATGCTAAGCTTCTTGAAAAAAACTATAATATTTTTTTCTTTTATCGAATAGTATTGGCCAGGATTTATCAAATTTTCTGATTCTTTCATAACTCCATAATAATTCACATATCGTATCGATGAACAGATGTACTGCATTCCATGTTGGTAAAAACTTTAGAAAAAGCAATACTAGTTGAAATAAAGACTATCATCGATTGTTTTGCTGCTAACTTCACTAAATGGGTATGGATGTGGGAGAACAGGCACTTCAACAAGTCCTTCAAGCATCCGTGTCACCTTCCTCATGGTGGGTCTAAGAGATGGATTCTCTTGAATGCACCAAATCGCAACCTTCAACAGCCTCTCTAGTGTCGATTCCTCAGTCATAGCCTCGATGTCATCTTCAATCAAAGCGTCCAGCGCTCCATGCCTATAGCAGTCATAAGCCCAGTCAGTCAATATTGCTCTTGCTCCTCCACTGATCTCCAGATCTACGCTTCTTCGACAAAACAGATGATCTCTAGCAGCATGACACCGAAGCTATAGACATCGACCTTCACATTGACTGGTATGCTCCTGAACCATTCAGGAGCAACATATCCTTTTGTTTCTCGAATGGCAGTTTTGGTTTCGCTCTGATTAATCACCAAAAGTTTTGCCAATCCGAAATCTGATATCCGGGCATTGTAATAGTCATCAGGGAATATATTCTGAGGCTTTATATCACAGTGAATGATTTGGATGCTACATTCTTCATGTAGGTACAATTTGAGTTCTTTGCTTCCAACTAGGCCTTAAGCTTCGAAAAGGAAATTTGCTAGAGTTCCATTACTCAAGAACTCGTACACCAAAAAACGATGCTGCCCCTTATCACAAAATCCTAACAATCAGACCAAATTCTTGTGATGCGTCTGGCCGATCACATTCACTTCAGCTTTGAACTCCTTCTCACCATCTCGAGCCACTCCGTCTAACTTCTTCACTGCAATAAAATTAGTAAAACCTGTTTGTATCGCACCCTTGTAAACAACGCCAAAAGCTCCTCTCCCCAATTTATCCTTGAAGTCTTCTGTAGCTTTAGTGAGCTCCTTGTATGTAAACGAACCCAAGTTTGTCTCCACATTGTTTCCTTCCCGAACATTTACTGCATTGTTGCGATAAGTGAAGGAGGAACAGAGACTGAATATACCAACAAATATACAGTTCACAAATACAGAACTACCCCAGAGCACTATTCCTGTGACGACCTTAATATCCCATTTTGACTTTGTTTCAGGAATCTGAAGACCAGGAGCCACCGACGGGATGTAACCTTTCCGAAATTTGATTAAAGTCTTCCCATTAAAAGTGCTGTCACGTCTTCCATTCGAAACTGGTAACTTCTTCTTCCAGCAGTTGTTGCCTGAAAAGATGACAGCAGCACACAGACAGTCATTTAAGCAAGCTTTTCTGCACTGTTCTTCATTATGAGGCTTTAAATGCTCAGCATCAGATGATGGATAATCAACATTTCTTAGCTCCACAAAATCATACATACCTTCTGTGGAATTCTGTCCGTCATCTTTGCAGCTTAGTTTGAAATCTGGTATGCAGTTTCCACGCTCGTCATTCTGATCAAGTCAAGAAAATTCTCGTGGACAATTACAAGTAGGCCTTTGATCAAGACTTGGAGTGCAGATGCTGTTGTATCCAAAGGCTCCACTACCCCAGATTTGATTAGCACTGACACAGATATTAGTTGGTTCGGACCAAACAGGCGACCAACTTCTGTTAGGAGTGGATGTTTTCGGGTATACATATTGAGTGAAAACACCTTCAAAATTGAGAGTTGCCCTGTGATAGGACTCTGTAGTAGAAAGTTCTGTTTTTGTGAGAACAACTCTCCGCCCATTTCTTCTCAATATGTATATGTAGCCTTACTCGTTGAAGATCAATTGATAGCCAGAATTTGATGAATTTGAAGCATCATTAGTTCCAGTTGCGTAGAATGGAGGATTATAACGAATTTTTGTTGGCAAATTTATGGAATTGAGCACAAGATTTCCATCGGGCTGAAAATAGAGCTGGAACCTCCCCGTTGAAAAGTTGGTCTCTGTCCTTCGAGAAGAAACCACCTCTTCGGTCTCCATAATCTGAGTTGGCAACAACGTATCTGTAGGATGGTGGAAACTCTCCCACAGCCTGTCAGAATTTCTATTTTGAAGCACCAATATGCCGGTGTCATTCATAGCACCTGACGAAACTGCACCTAGACTGATACCAGATGTCCACATTGGGTTGCCTTGAGGATCAGCAAGCACCAGTCCACCATCGGCAGTCAGCTGTACCTTTGATCCCCTTGGTACTGCAGGATCATCTCCATTTGCATACCAAACTATGGTCTTTTCAGGGATCTTGTCGTATCAAATGGACAGCAAGAAATGATGCTCGTACTTGCGAAACCCGAATGCAAATTCACCAGAAGAAGAAGGCCGTGAAGGAGAATCGTCAGCTGCAGTGATAGATGCACCCACAGATACATTTCCACTAGTTCGAGCAACAACCATGAATGGCAACAGTAACATTAGTACTAGGAATATCAAATGAAACATAGAACAAGCCATTCCTAGAATTTTTTGAACTCACAAACTTGTATGAATGTCAAAAAACAGAACATTTTAAGCACAAAAATGGTCCATAACAAAGGGGAAGGTCAGAGTTTTCAGTCAAGATAAAACACAAGCAAAATGAACTTCATTGAAACCTTCCAATAGGAAGACTTTTCGATTTACCAACTGCATTTTGCAATAGTCTTCGCTCTTTCTAGAGAGGACAATGGTACATAAAACGGTCAGCATCATGGAAGTTCTAATGTAAGACAAAAGGGGATCAGTGAATCACAAAAGCAGGAAAAAGGCATTTTGCAAAGATAAAGTCAATTAGACCTTGTCTTCCCAACGCCAAAATGCCATTTTCCCATGGGAATGGATGCAGCTTAAGGCAGAAGCACTTTGACCTTGTCAAGTCTTTCCAACCAAACGAAGGACTTGCAGCCTAATTATAAAATACCATGAATTTTTAATCAAATAGGGAAAGGTCTCCAATTTTTATTTTTTTATTTTTAAATTTGCAATTAAGTTCTGCTTTTCCGTTGATATCTCCGGCCACGCTTGAGAGGCACGTGAAATTACAATGAACAAAGCAGCCCCAAGCCCAAGTCAAATACCGAGGATCCATGACAGCACCTTCACTAAAAGCTGAAGCTATACCACAAGCACCGTTCCCTTTTGCTATGCAAATCCACCACAAAAACAAACAAACAGTGCACACAAATTTAGCACCACCACCACCACCAATCTCTTCTAAGATTTTGTATGCATTTGGATCTGTTGGGTATTGAAGTTGAATCATTTTGGATTCTTGGTCTAGTTCCCCGGCCATGGATGAAGCTGATAAAAAGGTAGTAAAAGTTGCTTGATCTAACCTATAAAAACTCAAACTTTGCATTTGTTTAAAGAACCCAAAACCTGCATCAAAACTCCTCTCCTTTAAAAACCCAGACATCATTATATTCCATGACACGGTATCTCTCATGGGCATTTCATCAAACAACTTAACGGCATCAGTCAAGGCCCCATTTTTTCCGCACACAAAAAGGAGAGAATTCCAAATGACAATAGCATTTTCGTTTTGGGAGTTAAAACATTCGTGAGTTTTTTATCATAAACGCATTGAGAGAAGAATCTAAATGAAGGTAAACTTCTCTTCCACAAATGGATAATAGGTGGCTTATATATACATGGTTGAGAAGAAAAGTTGAAGTCTTTGAAGTCTTTGAAGATGGGTTTCGGTAGATTTGTGCTTTGCATGGAGATCTTAAGGAGTCTGCCCATGAGAGAAGGTGGGCATTCAGTTTGTGTATTATCCATTTGTATTTCATCCATGAAAACTGTTGAAGTTGTAAACAACCAGTGCACACGTTTTCTTTTCTTTCTAATTTGGCTCAGGGACTGTTTTATAATTTGATGTTTAGTCTAACTCGTGAGTCAATTTCATGTGCCTGACAAAACATATGTCGTTTCAATGAAATCGGGTACGTCACGTGCGTCTAATGTGATCCTAAATCAGTCGACTAGAAGAAAAAACTTGATTACAGATAATAATAAATAAATATATTTAAAAAAAAAGTTTGAGACCTAAAATTGTAAATAAAAAAAAGTTCGAAACCTAAATAAGAAAAAAAATTAAGAATTTTTTCTACTTATAAAAAATTCCAAATATTTTATAAACAACTAGCCATCACACAAAGGGCCTAAAGTCATTCAGCTAACACTAAGTCTTCACTTAGTGTTAGTTGAATGACTTTAGGCCAAACCATTGTGTGTTTCAATCGCATGTTTCGACATTGCATAGAAAGGATCTTACAAATATTGATAAAAATAAACTATATATTTAAACATGTAGTTCAATAATTTTGTGTTAATTAATAGTGTTTTCGATGTAATAGTAGTGAATTTTTTGTATTTATAAGAAGTCACGAATTCAATATTTGTAAGTCAGATTTAAAGTTCGATCATTGTAATCAATATTTTTGAAAATTTATTTTTAAAATATCTAAAACTGTACGTTAGGGAGTTTCTCTTAACCACTTCTAAGAAAAAATTAATCTCGAGATGTGTAAAAATTGATTCGAAGATATCCATTTCTTTGAATCTAAAAAAATATATATATTAACTAAAAAAAAACCCTGTTGTCTAAAAAATTTAAAATAATTTTTTTTATCTTTATAGTGTTAGTAATTCGATCCGTTGTATTATTACGATTTTCTTTTCTATTATGCTGACTACGAACGACTTAATCTAACTTTTTAATAGCGAACAACATATTGTAGGTCACATAACCCTTCGTCTTTGCATGGTCCACTTGTACTTGCCGTGCCCTTTTTTCTTCCACCAGATAAAATATACCAAGGCCTGGTTAATCTATAACCAGGCTATTAAGTTCACTGCAAAAAATAAAAACAAAACAGTAACCAGGCTTTTGTTCTTTTGTTTCAGTTTTAGGTTCAGTTTCCAGCAATACAGAACAGGAATTACACTGCACTGAGAGGAGAAAGAAATACTTTTGAAGTTCTTAATTATAAAACGCAAATAAAAGAGCGATTATTTCACTGCAGCCTTGCAATCCTCTGCATTAGCTTCAGTCCATGCCTACAAACAAGAACCACATTGTTCATCAGAACGCTGAACCTCTGTGGAGACTGGCAAACGCAATCATGCATCCATGTGAAAAAGCTCATGAAAGCGAGAAGTACCTAAAGTTGCCATTGACTGATGCACTGAATCCTTCTGCGGTCTTCCCCGTTTTCTGTTCAGCTCTTCATCATGCCTTCACAATCAAAGCTACTACTGTTACATACTGCTGACTTAGAAGGGAAGAACCTAAAACGCATGTGTTTGTGCAAACTCAAGCTTCTGCATACATGGTCACACAAAAACAGAACATTTTCTAAATATGCCAAGAAACAATCAGAAGCAATCAGAAAGCAGTTTGTACTTATTTAGTGCCTCCATTATGAAGGGAAACTGTTTCTCCAAATGATTTGAGAACTCAAAATGCAGGTGGCCAGTTTTCATGTAATATTCAACATCAATCTCAAAAAGTTATGCAAAAGAGCACTTGGTTCAGAAGGAACAAAAGACTAGTTATAGAGGTATAAGGAATACTTACAGAGTAGCTGTCTCCATCAACTTATCATCATCTTTTCGAAGCCCATTTGAATCATAAGTGCTTGAGTTTGATGATTCAGAGTTCAACACACTATTGGTGCGTGTGCTTGTCTGACTACTTCTGTCTGGCTTTACGGCAGCAGCTTCTTCCATTTCTGCATCATGATTGTTGAACGCTTCTTCCATTCCGTTCAGCTTTACACCAGCAGATTCTTCCATTCCATTCGACTTTAAATCAGCAGCTTCTTCCATCTCTGCCTGCTTTGTTTCAATTTCCAACTTCCAAGACTTTGGTTTTTTCTTTAATGGAAGTTCCCTTTGTCTACGGAAAACTTTTTTGCCATGAGCTACAAGGAAATACGAGAAATAAAACTACTGCTTGAGAAGAAAACTGAGGCTCAAAGTATCAAAGCAGAATCAGAACAAATAGATTCAATTTTAATGGGAAAAAAATCAACCTGAAGACTAACTAGCTTCCATTTTTTTGGGTAGCATTCAATACTTACAGATGGATTGCACCTCAACCAATTCTGTTAAAGAAACAATGTAGGACCCAAAAGACCTTTGGCTAATCTGAGGTTCTTGTTCACTTGACAATTTTATCTACTCTGATCAATCCCAAAGATTTAATGTTGACACAAAAAAATTGCAATTTAGAAATGGTTTTATAACATGTGATTAATTAGCATGGATTGACACCCATATGAATCTAGCCAACAGCATTTCTAACATGGCATTAGCCTAGTGGATATGGCGAAACCAAAATATCCCTTTGATTGCACCGACGCTCTCAGTTATCATTGAATCAGGCTCGTTATCCTGAAGCGTGGTTCCAAAGGACTCCTCTATTCATTTCAATTATTGTGAACGTACAGTTGCATATGTTAAATCAATAGACAAGGTTGGATATGAACCTTGAGTCCACATCAATCAGAATGAGGAATCAACTGTGTGACATTGATCTAATTACAAAGGAAGTTGTAATTCACCTGGTTGAGTGGAGGGTGCTTGAAGTGCAAGGACAATAGTGGCTGAAAACCTGGGCCCTTTCACGTTCCTGTTATTTCACAATAGGAGGAAATGGTAATTCAGACAAACACGATAGTATAACTGTATATCAAAAAGCAAGTCTAAATGACAAAATGAAGAATTGAGAATTAATTTTCAAATCTATCTGACTGAGAACAAAATTTGATGATGATATAGATTAGATAGTATCCCCATAAATGAAACAAAATGAAAATTCAAAGATGTTAAAAGCACGTTGATAGTCAATAACTAAAAGATATGCATATATCCTGAAATGATTAAAATAATTAACCTCTACATAATAAGATGGATAGAAGAGGTGGCAAGGGTAGAACAAATTTACCTTTCAGAAGCTGCAGAAGATTTCGATTTGATTCCTTCCTTGACAGGCTCTTCACATTTTTGTGACCCCTGAAATAGATTTATAAGCTCTAATAACAAAGTATTGTAACATAATGCTATCTTTTTCAATTGAACAAACTTCAATAAAGCACACAATTAATCCAAAGAAAGAAAAATTGACGACGAGAGAAACAAAAATTGAGACTGATGGCGGCCTTAAAAAAAAAAAAAAGATTTATACCAAATCTAAAAGGGAAAATAGCAGGTAAAAATGGAAGATTAGTTACATGACTTTGCATCGCAGGTACGAAGTTCTCTTTTCCAGTTTGCTTTTCTACAAAATCTGATGATTTGATTTCGCTACCAATCGCTGGCTGGAGCCCATCATGTGGCTGCACCTTTTGTATATCAAAAGTTGAATGTTTTCTTAAAGGATAACACGGCCATCCAATGAGCCGATTCGATTCTTCAACCAAGAATCGCTCGTCAAAGTGCTGAACCTGTGAACGAAGATGAGTAGACCTTAAAACAGCCTCAAACGGCACCTGTGGAATAGGAAAAGCAGGCCGGCTATTTCGAATTCTCATCGTTAGAATGGGAGGAATTATGTAAAGAGGAAGAGATAGACTGTTTACAGATTGGGCGGTGAAATTGTGGACTATTGTAGCAATCGTTACAATGAAGAGAGCAATCTTAAGAATTTGTGCTTAAAAACCATGAGGAAGAGAACGCTAATCTGTCCGTTACATGGAACTCTTCTGGTCATCACCTACGTGGAGCATGTTCCATTGCATTTACCGCACGTGTAGTATTAATTCATTTTCAGTTTGGTAATTGCCAGAGAAGATGACAGTATGCATGATATTACGTGTATTGCCGTGTCTATTAGCAAAATGGACAGCCACTTCTTTTTAGTGTTGCTACAGAAATTTCTTTCAATGTATTCAATATTGGAAATTGGAAATTATCTTTCACTTGGAAACAAAGTCTGAAATATTTAGATATACATGGAAATGACAGAAAAATAATGACCTCATAAATAACTATTAATGGAATTGGGAAATTACTGATATATATATAGGAAGAATAATACAAATGGACAAGCACCACTAACGATTCCTGATCCAGAGACACAAACATATTTAAGATGGACAAGGATAAAAAAGAAAAAGGTAAAATCACAGAGTCCCCCTTCTTAGACTCTGTTTTTAGTATTAAATGAAGATCCAGATGGAGGAACAAAGCAAAAAGGAGAAACAGATGAAAAGGGAAGGAGGAGGGAATGCTACCGGTTTAGTGGAAAAATAATATGTATGCAATGCAGTAACAACTTCTTTCCCTGCCCAGTTGAGTTAAAACTTTTATCATTTCCAATTTTGAAGACTTTTATCCCATAATGTAATTACTCATCAAAAGGAGACCTTCAAATTTCAATTAGAGATAGAACACTTCAACCAGTTTAAATGTCAGTCTATTTTAAAAGTATTAAAATAGAGCTCCACTATTTAAATAGTATTGGCTGAATGCATATAAGATGATAACCACGCTATCTGCAGTTCAGTATTAAACAAGAATGTGTCAAAAAATTCTTATGCAAATGTCAGTTGCATGGATGTAAGAGTGCTCATGAATATTAGACACTAATATATATATATATAGAGAGAGAGAGAGAGAGAGAGATTCAACATACCCTCTCAAGGCTATAAAGGCTCTGTTTACGGGAGGTGATAATTCCAATGGCCTTATTGTTATTTGAAAGGTTAACATCTGCAGCTCTTTGTCATAAGCCTTCTTCCCATAGAATTTAAAGTACCCATCCCTACACTGCCCATCACATGGAGTCACATTAGAAAACCAAGTAAGAACATCATAGCTGATGTGAATATTTCATCAAGTTGCATCCATTGAGAAATTAAAATTAAATAGAAGACAAAAGAAAAAAAGAATATGAAATAGTAACCAGAAAAAGGAAAGTAAATATAACTATCATAGGAAAGATAATCATACTTGGGAATAGCGTACACAATAACCAATAACAAACTGGCAATCTTCCAGAAAAAAGCTGCTACTGTTTCTGATATAAACTTACAGATTTCCAGTAAATACAGTTCACCTCGTGTCTTTCTAAATTTACTGAAAAGCAGGTAATTGGTGAAAAAAATGAACGAATTACAGATCCATAGGCTTTAAAGAAAGGAAAAACCTGAAAGAAAGACTAAGAACTGTATAGAGATCCAATTGTTCTACCTATCCAACAGTAAAATTAAAAAGGTAAAAACTGCAAAAAAGCAGAAAGAGAATGAATTTCTCTTCCTTTTAGAGATCTCTATACAAAACTGTTAAGGCTACTTGTTGTGAATAGGGTTTGAAAGACTTGGTGGAGCCTTTATGAGACTTGTCTCCACAGCTTTCTGAGGGTCTTTATTGGCTCCACTAGACTTGTTAACATTTGACGAAAGAGAAGAGACAGAAACTAGCATTCTCCTTCCTTGATTTTTGTCTAATATTTGGACCTTTCTCTCATGGTGAAGACACAGTAGAGAGGAGATGAGAACATGAATAAGAATCAATGAAAATAGAACAAAGAAAGCTCTGTGACTAGTTCCCATGATGTACTGTTGCAAAGACAATGAAATTGCTGACGTTTTAACTAAGATAATGATGGTGTCTTCTCAAGGAGGCAGTGCACACTGTCACTTATAGTTTGTGCTCAACTCTGGCTAGGTGTCATATATAGACAACATAATAAATAAATAAATAAAACAAGCTCAATGTTTCAGCTTTCATGGTTAAAAGGGGTAGATCTAGACCATTTCCAAACAGGGTAAGCAATAATGGGAAAAAGGATTTCCCAAACTCAACTACAAGTGAAATATCTGCTTATGAAGGAAAAAAATTCAGTTAGAAGACTAACGGTGACAGAGCAGCTCAATGACCCAAGTCAGCATAAGGCATGACAGGGTTCTAATTATAATACATGTTAGAATCTTGTGGAAGCATATTTTGACTAGCCGCTTTCTCAGCAACATTTCCATATGGCTATATTTTTGGTGATTTGCTCCTTTATTTTTATCAGTAGTTTAATGATAGGTCTTTTGTTCTTGAAGAGGTTGGAACTTGGAAGCAGCTGACCATGTGATTCTGAATTGAATATTATACTTCTGACTTCTGTTCAGTCCTTCAAATATTAAACTTAAAATCTCATGTGACTTATCACATGAGACCAAATCAGTCACACCTTCTTCCGTCCTTTTTTATCAAATCACTAAATAGTTTTGTACTTCTGTTAAGAGTAACAGATACAGCTAAAGTTAGCTGGGAAAGTCTGCTTTACACAGCAAAATCAACCATCATCCTTCTAAGAAAATGCCATGCTCCTCTTCCCCTATTTTACCATGTAGAACTTAGACTAATGTAGATTGGATTCCATCTTAATCTTCTTCAACCTGATCCTAGTGCTGCATTCATATCAACCTCAAGCTTGTGTATTTAAAGTATGAGCCTTGAGGATTAATTTTGCATGTCTAATATATGTATTCTTTCGCCCCAACCAAAGTTAGCGAGGTTGACAGCCTTGCCAAACTCTTTTCAATTTATGTATGTATTTTTATTTCATAATTAATTGTTCTCCAGAGATTCAAAAGTGGATTGAATATAGAGTCAGGATTTAAGAACCTGAAGACATGCTAAAAAAGATATCCGCCTGGTCAAACCCGAGCTGCAACCTTTGAAGCATTATTATAAAGATACTCCTCTAAATTTAGTAAACTCTCTACCATTTAAACATGTGATAGTGTATCACTCGTCAGTCACTTCACGTTATTTGGCAGATGGTGGAAGTTTTTTATGCTTAGAAATTGCAATCTCGTCTCCTAGGGTAGAAGAAAAATGATCATAGAGGTTTAACAAGAACATAATATGGAGAATTTGGGAGATCTAGTCAAGGAACTTTTGAGTGAGGTACTAGAATACAGGTTTTGGTGAAGTCATTGGCAGGGAATCCTGAGTACATGTGAACAGTAGAACAGTAGATTCTATGTGTAAGGGAAAACACATTTATGTCAACAGGAATAAAATAGAAACACTACTAATTTCCACCTCCTCGAATGAAAGATATTACTGACATGATCATATGTATTCTGAACTCATGTAATACTGGATCATATGGCATCAAAATTACCGGGATCATAGGTTGTTTTCACGTAAAAAAGGCACCAACAAGATCTCACTGATCAAAGATGCTGATCCTGGATCTAGCAGTACTAAGGTTGCTTACAGATAACTCCCCCAACATAGTCACCACAGGACCGGAGGAGTTCTCAAATGCCTTGTACCCTAAATTGCCTACAATCGCACTGACATCTCAAAACATAATTAAAGCTTTCTATCAATGATCCTACTTTCCCTATTCCCCAAATTCCTGAAAATAATTCACTAAATCCACAGCTCTTGATGCATTTTCAAAAACCAACAAAATGTCCTCAGGTATTGCAGGACTACTCTGTTTGTCACTCTCTTTTCTAATATAGACACAATACATCACTGGAGATAGCTAAATGGCTTAAACTTTCACAAACACGAAAAAATCTCTCATTTCATGAATAATCAATCATACAGAAAAAGTTTTACATAATTTCTCTTTCAGGCATATAATAGCCACATGTCATTTAGTTTCCTCATTACATGACAAGATTGAAGCATTATCAATCCACATGGCTTTCAGGTTTCTCATTATCTAGCAATATTGACTCGTTTTCCTTCCAAGTAAGATTATTGAAACCAAATATTCTTGCAAAACAAGAAATCAACTGCTCATGAATTACTTCTTCAGAAGGAAGCACAGTACCTGTCTCCCTTCTCAAAGATGTAACTTTTTTATCAGCAATCCCACAAGGCACAATGTGATTAAAATAGTCTAGATCAGGATCAATGTTGAATGCCAATCCATGAGAAGTGATTCCGGATGATATGCGAACTCCAATTGCACCAATCTTTCTATCTCCAACCCAGACCCCAGACTCACACTTTTTTCCAGCACAAGCTTTCACACCATATTTTGATGCCATCTCAATCATTGTCAACTCAAGTTTCTCCACATACTTCCGAGCACCAAGTCCAATGTCACGAAGAGAAATAATGGGGTATAAGATGGCTTGATGAGGACCATGATATGTAATGTCACCTCCTCTTTGTGTATAGTGAAGTTCAGCTCCGATCTTTTCAAGTTCAGGTACAGGGATCAATAAATTATGATCAGTGCGCCGTTTGCCAAGAGTATATGTAGGAGGATGTTGCAGGGACAATAGGGTATCCGGAATCTTGTGAGCTTTTCTATCACACGCCAGCTTTTCCTGCAGCTTAAGTGCTTCCAAGTAGTTGACCTTTCCTAATTTCCAAACCTCAAGACTTCTTGGAAATCTCATTCTCTGCAAACCAAGAAATAATTAATCCTATTCTTATCTTATTCTCACATGGCATTATCGTGTTATAATCACATGGTACCATTGCACCCCAAATAATAGAATCAAATCTAAAAATTAAAAAATATAATTAAAAAAAAAATTGCCATGCTCATGCAACTTTAGCTAAATCCACAATTGTAGAAAAATCCACGCTTTCAGTATGATGTAAAACAGTAAGAATTCTAACTCTCACGGCATGCAGAAAAACTATTAGAAGGTAAAAAAAAAAAAAAAAAATTGAAGAAGACAGCACCAATTTTTGTCTGCTAGTGAATGAGACCATTAATTAACTTCCAAAATCTAGGAGATCGGGGAAGAGATACCAATCCCACAATAACAAATAGCACGAATAAACAACAAATCTTCATAAATAACTACTACTCCTCCTCCTTCTTATGCTATAACTAAACCACCGAAAAAGGAAGAGCTTATTTGAAAAGGAAAAAAAAGCATCAATTCCTTAATGAAGGAAACCAAAAATTAAGAACAAAAACATTGGCTCGATATACTAAAAAAGGGTTATCATCACTTTATAAATTTCTCATCAAAAAGTGACTTTTAATCTCAATATCTCACTAAAAACATAAACTATCCATTGCATGGTCTTAGTGTAATTCCAACCCCCATCAGACATTATTGTGTCTGATTTTCTTCATCAAAAAAGCTAAAGGAACTAAATCTCTTCGCATAGTAATTTAGCAAAATATGAAACTGTTCATTGAAGCATTTCAATAAACAGTTGATGCATAAAAAAAACTCATAAATTCTGCAAGCAACATGCTCCAATTATCCATCTGAAAGCCAAGATTATGAGACTAAATGCATGTTATCAATCATTGAAGAATTAAAAAACAACAAATACACAGTAATTATTAATAATGCAGATGAATCAAGATTCAATGAAGGCTTACCTGTAAGAGAGAAACAGTTTCTGCTTAGCCACGAAAGTCAATTTCACGAAGGAAGATTTTAAGAGATAGAGAGCATGATAGAGAAAACGCACCGGTTTCAGATTATAAAGGAGAGGCTTAATGTAATTTGGATTGACACGTCGTTGAATAAACAATTGTTTTCTGTTTCTTTGTAAATAAATAACCTGCAAGTAGATATTATAGGGAGTAAATTATAGATTAGTCCCTCTAATTTTTCCAACTAATTAAATAATCACTATTTTTAAAATTTATATATCACTTAATCTTTCTAATTCCTTTCAATTTATTTTGATTTTTTATTTTAAGAAATAAAAAAAAAAAAAAGCAAACACAAGTAAAAAAATATGAAAGAATTGAAGAGAAAAAATATTATTTAAATAAAATAATATTGAATTAACTATAGCCGATACTGATCATAAAAATAATTAATTAGTTTTTAAAATTAACAAAAATATTTAATTTTAAAAAAAAAATTAGAGAGACTAATTTATAATTTACTCTATCATAAGTTATGTTGTAACGACATGTCAAGACTCCCACACTTAGTTTTCCACAAGATTTTTAAAGGCATTTTAACTATAGTACTTTTAGATTTACAATATTTTTGAGAAAATATATATGATGTATTAAATTGAATATTTTTTTCTTTTTTTCTTTTTTTAAATGGCCCTCAATGATAGTTTGTTACAAAATAAATTGTATTTTTTTATCCTCTAACATAAAAAATAAAAATAAAAAAAGGTTTTTTATATCTTAATTGCATTTACACGTAAAACACCAAATTTTTAATAATTTGTAACCTGGAGACTATCTTCAAATAACTAAAAACAATTGTTTATAATTTCAAAAAATTAGCTTGATACTTAAGTATATTTATTTATTTCCTTAAGTTTAAATATTAAACCCTTTTATTTATTAAATTTTCTTTAATGCAATAAATCGATATAAAAAAAATTTATTTTTAAAATCGTCTAAAAAAATTAATTTCTATTAATTTACAAACTGTCTCGAAAAAGATATATTCTATCCTTTGCATGTCTTTTTTTTTTTTTTTTTTACTTTTTTTTTTCCGGGAAGTGCATCGGAAGGCAAAAGGCAGCCCAAACAAGTATTGGTTGGTTGATGGTCCACTTGTGAACAAATTAAAGAGGCCAGGATAAACTTATGGCCCAGGAGAAATAAAATCAACCCAAACAAGTTCCTGGATGGTTGATGGTTCACTCGTGACCAAATTAAAGAGGCCAGGATCAACTTTTAGCCCAGAAGAATAAAGACAGGCCCTCCAATCCATAGTCACCAAACCCCTAAGCCCAGTTCAAATTCTCAAGACCAATAGTTCTTGAGCCCAAAAATACCACCTGGCCATTACGAGAAACGAAAAGGCATGGGTTTTTAAACAACATCTACCGTTCACAAACTAACCTAGAAACACACTATTCATCGAGTAGCAATTTAAATAATTTTTATATCGTCTTTTGGTTAATTTTTTTATTGTTTTTAGATATTTATATACAAATTTAACATTTTTTTTCTATTCTCATAAATCATTTTTGATCTCTTGTATTTTAAAAAGATATTTGTAATCTTTATATTGAGATAGAAGAGACAAACAAAGAGAATGAAAGAAAGGTCCGATTAGGCTAGATTTCGACGTTTTTTTTTTCGATTTTGTATTCAAATTGTTTGTTTTTGTAAAAAAAAGTGTATTGAAATATCTTTTTAAGTCATAAAATGGTTAAATAAAGTAAGTCGAAGCTTAAAATAAATTTAACATTTTAATTTGATTTGTAATTTTTTTTTAATGTGTATTGAAATAAATTTTAAAGTTTCAAACGAGTTTATTGATCTTATTTTAGTGTTTTTGAGGTGTTTTAGGACAAAAATGATATAAAAAATGGGTTCCAAAGCCTCGAAAATGGAACTCCAATTTTCCAACGATGATTCGGATGATTTTCACTAGAAGTTGCAGGTTTTTTTTTTTTTTTTTCCTCTTTTGAAGGCCACCTAGGGCTGCTTCTACAGTAGAGGCTAGAATTGGTACTGTTTACCTATGTGCGTTGGGTTTTTTTTTTTTTTCAGTTTAGGTTTTTTTATTATTATTATTGAATCAGGTGTAAATATTATGAAAAAACAATTGTTATTTTTTTCTTCAGATTTTTATACACAATAACAATTATAAAATATATATGATGATTTTTTTGAATTTTAGAATAAATATATATATGTCAAATAATATTATTTTTACTTGTTTAAAATTAATTTCTTCAATTTGTGGATTCTTATAAAAATTATCATTAAATTATTTTTTTTTTATGTAATTTTTTTTTTGTTAATAAATATGATTTTTTTTCTCTATGTATGAATTTTTGAATTAATTTTTTAAAATAAATAATCAATTAAATAATTAAATTCACATGATTTATTTCTTTATTCTTTATACAATCAAATTTTATCGAAATTAATTTTGAAATTGTTTTTATTACACCCCATTAATGTATTAAAAACAATTGAGATCATTAGTTTTATTAAAAATTAACTATGCATTTACACATATAATACCAATGATTTGCACTTAATTTTCTTAAATATTATAAATTAATTTCTTTAATTAATTAAAATAATATTTTAAAAAACCATTTAATAATTTAAATACATCTTTTTATACTAGTAATATTCATTATTTTATAAATAAACATATAAAAATAAAATATGCATATTTTCAAAAATTAAAAAAGATTCCTGTGTTAATTGTTATACTAATTTTTATATTGATTTTTGCTTTTTCTATTCAATGAAATCTTACAAAAAAAATATTAAAACTTCCTTTAAAATTTCATATTAAATTTTTAATTTACATTATTACAGATTTTAATTTAAAAATTAATTCACACCGAAAAACAAACCGAGTTTTTTAACAACAAAAAATATGAAAAAACATAAAAAAAAAATGAAATGAAATACAAACTTTTGAATAAAAAATTACAAAATTAGATTTTTTTTCCTTCGATTTAATATATTTTAATAAATTCATAACATGATACACACTATCAAATTGAGATAATTTTTAAAATTAATTTTATCTGTTAAATAATTTTTAAAATTAATTTAATCTGTATTGCCTGACCGGCGTAGGCAAACTAGTAAAAAAGCCTAAAGACAAAAAAATCGGGCACTATTTCTTCAAACAAGTATAAAAAAACTCGGGACCAATGACCATTACAAAAGTGGACGCAGGTGAGTTTCTCAGTTTTTCTACGTCCAGAAAAGGGCATATTTCAGCAGCAACTCCATGCATAAACTCACTTGTCTATAATGTTGAAGAAACTCAAGCAGACTTCATATTATCCATAAACGAGAACACAAGAATACAACCATTGTTATAAAAAGAATATTTAAAAATAATGCCAAAGAAACAGATATCTTTCCAGATTCCAACTGTGACCTGTTATAACAGCATGGAGAAACAAGGTATACATCTTACTGCAATTTATTGTGTGGAGAAGAACTTGATTCAACTATTATATACAAGAACTTCAAACTATTTGTGATAAATAAAACCAAGCAACTCATGAAGAACAAGAAAGCATACATACGCCAGGCCGATAAGCCCAAGCTGGCGGAAGGCGAGCATATTTTTCCATTCCAGGCTGCTCATCGTATGGTCGCTCCATTAATTTGAGAAGCCTCCTGACCACTCCGAAATCACCTTGTTCAGCTGCATCAATGGCAGTCTGGCATAAGTAGTTTCGGAGAACATACTTTGGGTTTACTGAATCCATTTGGGCTTTCCTCTGCTCATCTGAGATGCCACTAGCAGCCAGCTGCAGAAGCAGAAAGGAGATCGTATGATACAACAGAAAACTGAAAATACATAAATAGCTCACACAAACCAAAAAAATAAGAAAGAAAGCATGCACGCACACAACAAAAGCATTGATTTAACCAGAACTGATCGTGAATATAAAGGTAGCACCTAACAACTTTATAGGAATATAAAAAAGAATTGCATGGGACGTGCATGGCCTGATACTGTACGACAGACTAATCATATCCACTACGGGGTCAAATGAATTTCCAAGTTCAAAAATTAAATTTTTGGAGTACCATTGTCTGAAACATTGTTGGTTGTAAGAATTGCATATGAAACAAAAGTGAGGACAACTACAAGTTTCCACAAAGTTTTCAAATATGCTTAGTGCATATGCATGAGAGAGAGAAGAAAAGGAAAACGGCTTCATGAACATAAAAGCAAAGTAAACAGTTCTTCCATAGGTAACCAGGGGCAAAAACAGCAACAATCACAATTTGAGAGAGAGGGGGTTGGGTTAGAGGAAGCGTAATAAATATAGTAATCCACACCCAAGATATGATGCATGTGGCTGATTTTACCTCCTGCACATAGGATTGCACCCAGCTGATCCATGCCTCTTTACGCTCCTGTCCAATATCTAACAGAACAGCCTTCAGGGGAACTAACAACTCATCTTCTGGAATGTTTGGGTCTGCTTTAATATTTGAAAGCAGCCGGAAGAAATTTGTGTAATCAACTTTATCTACGGCCATATTATTAAGGAGTTTGCTGATCAACTGTTTATTGTACTTTGGAAGACCAAGTTTTCTAGTCATTATAGCTTGATACTCATCCATGAATTTGTTTCCATATCTGTAATAAGTCATGGCAAATTCTCTATAAGTAACTGCCAGTTGCAGTTGTTTCCAACTTTCCATTAAATCTAACAGTTACAGAATACAAATACCTTTCCATTGCATAGTCTGCCTCCTTATCGTTAATCAACTTGGCAGTTGATAGAGTAGCTGTGAACTGTGCAATATTCCATAAACCAATATCAGGCTGATTTGCGAAACAGTATCTTCTCCCTGGAAGATCCGTGGTGTTTGGAGTGAAACTAGGATCAAAAGCATCCAAGAACCCAAAGGGACCATAATCAATGGTGAGACCCAATATACTCATGTTGTCAGTGTTCATTACACCATGAGTAAAGCCAACCCCTTGCCAGCTTGCGATCATGGAAGCAGTCCGTTCAGCAATCTCCACTATCCAAGCTGAAATAGTTCACAAGATAAAGCAAAAAGGGTAGAATATAATTAAGGACTCTGGCAGATGGTCCAAATTAAATATAGGACTTCAAGGGTTTATTCCCTTATCAATAAAAATTAATTCAATCTCAAGTATCATGGATTCAAAGGACCTAACCACAATGTAATTGAATTTTCTTATTTAAGCATTTTTTACTATAGGTTGAACTCTTCATGAACTTCACACAGTACTTCCTTTGTTTTTCAGTCTTCTTAGGCAAGCTGCACACAACAGTATAATTCCTCTACATACTTTACTCTTATTATCTTATGGAAACTATATAATTACCTGCATACTTGTTTGAGGTTAGATCCACGACTGAATGATCTTCATCGCCTGTACTAAATGATAAGCTCTCACTTTTATCCATATTCTCAATATGAGGAAAATGATGTCTGATGGCATAATCTGCCAAAGCACGAACAATTTCAAGGTCCTCCTTCCCTCTAGAGGCATGTATTTGGTATGAACCGAACCGAAGAAAGGACTGTGCAACTCGGCAAATGATAGCACCAGGTTCTTCCTTTGCATTGCCACTGCAAAAGGAGGCACAAAAACTTGTAATCAGCATTCACTGAAGATCATCTAAAAATCATCACCTGAATAAATTGATCAAACTGTTATTTTTCATTTCCAGGAGTTCCCAATAACATGTTATAATCTCCATTTCCACCTAGGCTAGTCCCAGTCAACTACTATATTTGACGAAAGTGCAAAATAGTATTATTTGCAACAAAAAAGCTAAATATTTTTTTCTAATTAATGAAACACTTGGAATTTGAAAATATTAAATGAGGTTCAACGCTACAGAATTCCATAGTGACAAATACTAAATTCGTTTTCAAAGTCTTTTAACGTCTGGTTGTTCCACGCATCAAACAAGAAAACTTCCTAATATCAGAAAACCTCAACAGAGCATTACATGATGTCATTAGCTTAAAGGAAATAAGAATACTGTAGTTGGGAACACAGAATGCATTCCATCAGCAACAAATTCAAAATCCTGCCTAACTTACTCATAAAACATGTCACGGGTAACATATTTTCCTGTTGTCACAAGACAAAGTGCACGAGTTGTCGGGATTCCTAGACTGTGCATTGCTTCACTGCATAGGAATTCCCTGATGCTACTACGCAGAACCGCAAGGCCATCTGCAAACCGGCTATATGGGGTTCTCCCAGAACCTTTAAGTTGCAGTTCCCATCTTTCAGACTTAGAATTTACAACCTCCCCTAGTGTTATTGCCCTGCCATCACCCAGCTGACCAGCCCACATCCCAAATTGATGTCCTCCATAGCATTGAGCATATGGCAACCTGCAAAACAATACCAATATGTAAATGAATACGTACATCAAGGTACTCAGTCGAGTCATAATAAATTTGAAGTTGCAACACTTACGCTCCAACCAAAGGAGAGGCCCCAGAAAACAAAAGGGGAAAGTCCGATCTTTCAAATCTGCAAATCCCAATATAAAAATCTGTCATCAGTCATTCAGTCCCGCACATATTGAAAACTAATGCTGCACGCATTCTCGGCTGTGCACACATAGCACATGCCCATGTGAGAACCCGCAACATGCCGCACGGTCATGTTCCAAACTAAACACTTAGAATCCCACAAACAAACAAACTTGCATATAATCAATAGAAACAAACTGTTAAAGATGCAAATTTGATAAAATGTCATAACTAATTCAAATCAAATCCACCTAAAAACCCCACAATTTATATCAATTTTTATCACTTTCTTTCTATACACAATAGAGCACAAAAGAAGTCAAAACAAAGAGCAAAAACTCACTCTTTAGGATCCAACTCAAGCAAATCAGCAACGGAATCAGACCAAGCAACAAGTTCAGGATTCTCCACTTCAGCCGACGGTAACACTTTTGTATAACAAGCATGCATCACCTACACCAACAACAACAAAAACCCATAATTTATTTCAATCCAAACAGCACAAAAACCCCATAAAAATAAAAATAAAAAAAGAAATATTACCTGACGTGGAATTGTATCAGCCCTTGGATCTCCAGGCAATTCTCTGACAAAGGAATGGTCCCAATTGAGATCTTCAAGCTTCAATTTAACCCTATTAGCATCATCAGGACCTAAAGTTTGATTCTTTAAATCTTGGGTCACAGAGTCTAGGGACACAGTGGGTGCTGGTGAGGATGACTCCATGGAAACACTACGACTACCGCTGCTATAAGAGGAAGAGTTAGTGCTGACGTGGCATGGAAAGGAGGGTTTGAGGAGATGAGCAGGAGGAGAGAGAGGATAGAGTTGGGATTTGAGGAAGGAGCGAGGGTAGAAAGGGAATTTGAAAGAGGTGAGAGGACGGAGGAGGTAGAGCGAAGAGGAGGAAAGAGAAAGCAGTGGTGGCATTGCTGAATGCGGTTGTGTCTTTGACTGATATATTCAGTCAGTTTGGGTTTTGTTTGGGAAGTGTGTAAAGGTTTCGATGTTAGGATTTTTTTTATGGATATATTTTGAGAATTAAAATAATTAAAACTTTATTAATTATAATGTTAGAGTATCCTCTGTATGCCTATAATAATCATTTGTAGTAAGTGAATTTTGACCTATATGATAAAAGTAGCATCTTATATTAATACAAAATACAACATTGATTACTATATATGTAGTGTGTGATGATGTTTTTTTTATATATTTTCTCTGATCGATTATTATATTTTTAATTATATATATTATCTTTTTTTTAACAATATTTAAATGCTTAATATGTTATTTTGATTAAAAAATTACTATAAATAATTTTTTTTAAACCAAAATATTCTTGATTTAAATGAAAACATAAAAACCACTTGAAGCCATGATATGCATATTCCATTTTTTAAGGTTTTAAGTTTTTATTATTATTCTTTGCATTTTAGTCATGAGAATTTAAATAAAAAAATTTGTTTATCGTCGAAAAAATTAATCAGAATGATAGATTAAAAATTTAAATATTTTTTTAATGATAAAATAAATATAATTAGAAACGTAATGATAGATTGATGACTAAAACTATCATATAAAAATATATGAACTCTTCATTCATTTTTAATTTTTTTTAATCATATTATTTGCATGAAAAAAATCTCCAAAATCTCATACATTAAATAAAATGTGTGATTTTGAATTAAGTTCACCAAAAGTTTGTGAAGTAAGGTTGTACATCATTTAGTGCAAGTGATCAAATAATTTATAAAAAGGATTGCTATTCCTTTAAAAAAAAAAAAAAATGAGTGCAATCTAAATTATTCTATGAAGTCATAAGATTGTGTGTCAAGTAGGTGAGATTGAAAGTGATTAGGATGACAGAGAATTGTCACTGTTAGGTTGCTTTAAGCGATAAATGAATCTCTCTTAAAAAGATGAAGTTTTTCCATTTATAAGGTCACCATTTTCAGACTACCTCAAGTAAGTAGCAAGTGATTTTTTTCAACTAAGTTTAGGGTAATTAATTATTATTATATATTCCAATAAAGAAAAAGGTTAATTAGAATGAAATTTTTTGATTTTTTAAAATCAATCATATGCTCTGATTTTCAAATTATCCACATCTGATCATGTGTATAGGTAACAATTTATTAATCTATATTCAAATATTAATTATTGTGACAATACGTGATTGATTTGTTAATGATTATCAATTTAAATAGTTTTAAAAAATAAAATATCATAGCGTAAATTATAAATTAGTCATGCTCGTTTAGAAAAACAAACTAACTAATTATTTTTTTCAAAAACTAATCATTCAATCTCTTGTGTTTTAATTTCGTCAATAATTTAATTGTTTCGCCAGTTTTTTATTAAGATTAGTAATTTTTATTCTCAAATTATCCTCTCTCTTTTTTAGTTGAAGAGAGAGAAAAAAGAGTTGATGAATGAGAAAAATAAAAGATAATTTGCTAAAAAAATCACTAATATAACACAATATTGAGAAAATGATTAAATTGTTAATGAAATTAAAACGTAAAGAACTAAACAATTAATTTTTAAAATAACATAAATTAATTAATTTATTTTTTTAAAACGAGAAGAATTAATTTATAATTTATTGAATATAATAAGTCGTATCATTATGACTCAAAATCTTTTCTCCCCATAATTCTCATTTTAAAAAAAAACGATTTACAAACAAAATTTTCAATGCTAAATTTTTATTCAAATTAAACTAATATATTTATATGTGAATACTAAAATATGTTCTCACAATGAGTGCTATTCCTTCTCAAATTTTTCAAATCTCCATCCTATAAAACTTGATTGGGGATAAATATACTCTCGATACAAGGGGAAAAAGCCCTAAATCAAATTAATTGCAACTTAAATAAAAAAAAATAAAAATAAAAACAACCGTTATCAAAAAAGGAAGAGGAAAAAAATCAGCCGATAGCCGGAACTCAAACTCAACAATTAACTGCAGACAAAAGAAAAAAAATTAAAAAGCCAAAAAAAGGAAAAACTCTTTCAAGTCCGCATTCTTTCAATCAGTCAAATTCTACAAAATTCAGACTCTCGAAACCCTAATCCCTTCTCCAAAACCACTCCCACCAACAATTACCACTCAAAACTCCCACAATTCTACCCTTTTTTTCTCGAAGCGCCGTCGAATCTCCTTTTTTTAAGCTCTCTGGGTCGTTTTCTGGTTCAATTTCGAGGAATTGCGTAGTAAATTATTAGGGTTTTGTTTTACGCCGAAAGGGATAGGCTAAAGTTCGATACTTTTTACAGGGGTTTTGTTTAAAAACCTCAAAATTCGCTATTTTGATCGAATTTGTGTTATTTTGAAGTTTTTTGAGGGTTTGGTGAAATTTCAATGGACATTGAGGATTTGGATAGCAGCGGTGAGTTTATGAAAGATTTGATCTTTTTGTATTTTTGGTCTTGTTTTGTTGAATTTGGCTTCAGTTTCTTGTTTATCAAGCTTTTAGCTGGTGTTTTTGGTTGAATTAGGTTTTTTTTTTCTTTTTTTTGTTGCTGAATTTAGCTTTGGTTCCTCGTTTATGAAGTTACTTAGTTTGTGCTTGAAGCAAAGAAGTAACTAAGAAGGTTGTGTGTATAATCAAGTTTTTTAAAATTGTTTTATAGGGCTACAGGAGCTAATTATGTGAATTACGGCTAGTTTTTTTCCCTCCTCTCATGAAGCAGGACTAAGCATTTATGACCTCTGTATTGTGCTTCTTAATTTGTTTATCTAGAGATTTATTTTTTATTTTTTTGTCAGGTTCTTTGTAGCTTGCATTTGTGAAGAAGTAAGTTGGTTTGTTACGGTGGTCGAGTTCATTATTTGTGATTCAAAGGCTGAAAGTGACGGGCTTGATTTTTTAGGAGTTGAAATGGATTACGAGCTCTCTGATAGCAGCGGTGAGTTAGTTTAGAGTTTTTTGTTATTTGTAATGTTTTTTGTGTCCTTTGTGGCTTAATTTCATGAATTGTAAGCTTTTGTTGATGTGAGGTTTGTTTTAGTGTGTCTTTGAGCCTTTAGGTTTAAGGTTCAACATCGTAAGCAATGGATGAAGTTGTCCATACTTGATTATAATCGGGTGTTTGCACTTCGAGGTTAAGGAGAAAATGTCTGGTTTTTCCAAGTGTTGAACTGATGTTTGAATCGCAAGTTTGAGAAAACAATAGCGATGGTTTACTCATGTGTTAATATGTCAGTGTTTTGGGATATACAGGGAAGAGACTTACTTCAATAAGAGATGGCAGGCATATACTTGTTGAGAAACTTTCTTGACCCAGGGTGTCAAGGGCTTGTTCCTGCAATCTTATTACTCTATGCGTGGATGGGCGAGGTTGAGGTGGGTTCAAATGTTAAATCATACCAACAACAGAAAGGGGTGGCGCTGTGCTTATTTCTTGTAAGGAATCTCTGTAAGCAGAACCTTTAACCAGGAAGAAATAAACCTGAAAGAGGAGTGCAAGAGGATGGTTGGTGGGATTAACATTTCCAGATAGAAACAACAGAACGTGAAAGCTGTTGGATATTTCTTGCTAGAAGCTTTCATGTGTGGAACTGTGATGAAAGATTTGTGTTGTTGTTGCATTATACCGAAGCACAGGATAAAGACAAATCAAATCATTCTTCTCCGGCTTTGAGTATATCAATGTTGAAGAGCTACTTCAGTTTTGCATGGTTACTTGATTGGATCTTATAAATTTTTTTCTTTTTGGTCATTGCATTTGTATGATTTTGTTCTATGCATTGGCATTTAGATGATGGGAATTGTTACATTTTGCTATGCTGTAAAGACTTAATGCACTGTGTTCTTTATCTTTAAAATTGTAGGAACTGATGATGACCTTCCACCTACACATCGAGGTAGATTTCAAAGTGGGGTGCGAACTGCTGGGAATGGAAGATCTGGAGTTGGTGGTGCTGCTTCACAGCCAAGGTTGCATAGCGACATGGAAACCCAAATCCACAACATTGAACAAGAAGCATACACTTCAGTCCTCCGAGCTTTTAAAGCCCAGTCAGATGCCATTACTTGGGTATTATTCTTGTTCCTTTCATATACATTAGTTTTAGTATTTTAAATTATTGGAAGTTAAACAAATTTTTGGCACTCTTACTACGAATGTTCTCCTGCAGGAAAAGGAAAGTCTAATTACGGAACTCAGAAAAGAACTAAGAGTTTCAGATGAGGAGCACAGGGAGCTCCTAGCCAGGGTTAACTCTGATGATATGATTCGGAGGATAAGGTTTGGTTTTTCCATGAATATCTGCTGACCAGGTTCTCAACAGATCTGATTTCCAGTCAGTTTTTCTAACGAGTTATCACTTATGATTCCAGGGAATGGAGAAAGGCAAATGGGATCCAACCTAGCATGCCAAGCTCTGCCCAGCCTTCGCATGATCCTATAGCTAGTCCTACTGTTTCAGGATCACGCAAGAAACAGAAAACATCGCAGTCAGTTGCCTCATTGTCCATGGGTGCACCTTCTCCTGTATTGCATCCGTCTATGCAACCATCTACATCAGCCCTGAGACGTGGCCCTCCCCCTGGATCTGGGAACAAGAAGCCCAAATCAGTAAGTTGAATAAATATGACCAACATGATGAGGATTATACTTATCTGGTTTATCCTCAATTTTTGGTTAACGAGGCTGTCTGCTGCATCCTCAATGAAGTCCATGCAGCAACGTTCTACAGGTTTGTCTGGCAGGGCTCAGGTTGCTAGTCGTGGTTCCTCAGGTGCCTTTGCAACCAATGAGTTAATTGGAAAGAAAGTTTGGACTCGATGGCCAGAGGATAACCACTTCTATGAAGCTGTTATAACTGACTACAATCCAGTTGAGGTACAGTCTTCTCTTGACAATGCAATAGTCTGCCAATCACTGAGCTCTGTTTTAACATGATCGTTTTCCACAAATTAACAGGGGAGGCATGCTTTGGTTTATGATATTTATACTGCGGATGAAACATGGGAGTGGGTCAATCTCAAAGAGGTAAGTGTTGCTGTGTTCCTGGGAACTGAGAACATGATATGGTTTGTTTTACATTTCATTATCTTAATGCTGACCTGCAATTTCTTACTTGTAAATGCTGAATCGTGTACGTAGTTTGTAAAATACTGATAGAATTTATCTCCCCTTTTTTTGGTTGCGGGGGTGGGAGAATTCTCTATTCTGTATTACATAATAGCTTGGGTAAAGAAGGAGGTGCTGCTTGGCCTTCTGAAAGATTTGAACACTACGCCTGCTTGCCTGTTCTCTTTTTGTAGTACATCCAAATATGATTGTAGGATTTTATGAAAAGAAGAATGACTTGTGTATAAGAAATTTCATAGCTGGTTACTTGTTTAAAAATTTCCCATCTCCACTAGTTCAACCATTGGAATATGGAGATTTGATTTGGAATGGATTTTTTCTGTTGGATATGATTGTATTCTGCGCTATTTGATAAGATCAAGCTAACCATTTTTCCCTTATGTGCGTGCTTTGTTTGTTCGTGGAGAATGTAATGCTAATCATGTTCCTTGCTTCTTTGGCCTTATTCCAGGCTAGTAGTAGTGTCAAGGGGTCAATTAGTGATGCATTCAATGTGACATGGAAGATTACTGGCAGTGCTTGGTCTTTTGAAAATTGTCCTTGCTTGTGTAGTCTGCAATCAATTTTCTTCGTGTCTTCCCATCACACTTCATCTTTGGAATGTGTCCTTTTCAGAGTCGAATGAATTTCTAGCCTTAGCTGCTACTGATCTGTATGAGTTAATGGCAGATATCTCCTGAAGACATTAGGTGGGAGGATGAGGAACCAGGACTTTTTCGTAGAGGCGGCCGGCCTGGACCAGGTCGTGGGAATAAGAAAGCCATTGCACGAGGTGGTGCAGTTGTTGCTGCAGGAAGAGGCAGAGGAACCACAAAGGGTCAGTCTAAAAAAGATTTCCCTTTGACCCAGAATGGCATTGGTAAGAAGGCTATGGGTGATATTGAGATACTTCACACAGATACTCTAATCAAGGAGGTAAGATGGATGTTGGAACTTGCTTCGCATTGAATTAAAAGGAACTTCATTTTCCTCACATGGTGAATTTGAACAGGTAGAAAAAGTATTTGGTGCCAGCCATCCTGATCCTTTGGAAATTGAGAAAGCAAAGAAAGTTCTGAGAGTAAGTACCACACACCTCCAATCGCTCTACTATTTTTAGTTGCTGCATAAATATCTTCCTCTTCCCTTCCATGCAGGAACAAGAACTAGCCCTGGTCAATGCAATTGCAAGGCTTGAAGATGCATCAGATGGTGAAAGTGGTAATAACTAAATACGCGTAACATGTTCATATTATAATCAATAAAGATCCGCTGCTATCTTTTGTGTCATCTGATTGTAGTTTTTGGGCATTCAGATCGGTCTGTAATAGTTGTATATTGCTATTCGCTTAATTACAAGTGATTTCTTATCCATCCAGTGAGATGCAAGTAAATGGACCTCAAAATATTTCTGAAATCTATCCAAACATTCCATTGCTCGTCTTAAATTCTCAAGCATGATCACTTTTGTCACTTCATTTTCATGTTGATCATCAGTGAGATATGATCATTAAGCAGGCCAATCATTTTGATACATGTGTAGCACTGGTCTTTTTCCTCCGTGTAGTGGATTCTTTTCACCAGAAAACAATCCTTTATTGATGATGAAAAGAATAAATTATGTTTCCTTCTTTTTCTTGGCATCAAAGCAGATGAGGGAGAACACCCATATCCCCATGCTCAATCAATGGATCAAGACCAGGGATGGAGGAAACGTCCATACGATGAGATTGTTGGTGAAGGTAGAGGAATTGAAGGTTCAGATGGCAACAAAATGGCAAGAAATGGTAGAATGGTTCCCAGCGATCAGCATGATGAGAATTATGACACATGACTAAGTAATAGGCTTATTGGCAACTAGTAGCCCTGACTTGTATTATAGCTTGCTCTAGTCTTATGACCAGCCAAGAGCATGGCAACTAGGGTTATTGTCTTTTGGCTAGCGGAGGCAGTAGCTTTGATTTCAGTGTAACTTTAGTTTCAATGTAAATTATTTTCAGAGCAATATCTGACCATGTAAAAATGGCTTTGAAAATCTCTCTCTCTCTCGTATCATTTCTGCAATAGCAATGTGTTAGGCTTAGAGATCACTAACTGAATACTTGACTCTGATGGCACAGGATCTGTAAACCATCAGCCAAATCCTGCAAATTAAACAAAGATAATCAGCATGTACAAGCAAAAGAGTTCCTACAGGGGGGAATCTGATCCAGCACACCTCAAACCACCGTGGCATCGAATGTTCCTATAAAGATGAGATAAACGTAAGAATAAGGTTCACCATCTGGTTATCAAATTCAGGGCCTTCCATTTGAAAGTGGCCTGCCCCTTCAAGTAGATGTGTTTCAACACGTCCAGCAGCAGAACTCAGCTTGTTCTGCAGCTGCTTAACACTGGTAAACCCATCCCTCGTCCCCATGACAAAAAGCTTCGGCTTTGGAGACTTCAGGATTGCCTTGTGGTGTCGTCCAAAGAGTATCGAGGCGAAAATGCCGAAGGGGTATCCTATACTTACATAGCCAACAACTTCTTTGATCTCATCTACTGCAGAACCTGCAATTGGTGCACCTGTTCCAGGAGACCGTGTAATCCTAAGATTATTCAGTTCACACAACAAAGGTCATGGCAAGTTTTATCGTATTGCAATAACAGTTTATGTCAAGAATGTAGAATTCTGGATATCGCAGTAATCATAGTAAAGTGACAACATCAATTCATCACCATGACATTATTTACCAAAAATGCAACAATGACCTGAGTGCAGCAACAGAACTGTGTAACAAACAATACTTCAGAGGAAACTTGCTGCAAATTACAGAATAAGGAATGAAAATACACAAGTTGTAAAGCTCTACCGACATGAAGATCAAAATAAAACTGCAGGTAGTATATAACGTGTTGATCAAAATTCAATCAAAAGCAAAACAGAAAAGAAAGCAATATACAAAAGGATAACTTCATCAACAACACAGATTAAGCAGAAATACAATGGGAGACACTAATTTTCCTATATATCCAGCTCTTTCATTTCTTCCTATTACACGGAAACTCATGTCAGCCTAAAATATGGTGAGAAAGTTATCCTGAAGACAGAGGTGATAAACTCACAGAAAGCAGTTCATCAAATCCCAATTTATGGACAATTTAAACAGAACACATGCTAGAGCTAGATTAATTCTATTAACAAGCACAATCATGACCAAAAATAAAAAATGAATACCATCTTTAAGCTCAAACTTAGTCCTCAATTCCATCAAACTTCCAAATTAGCATATTCAACCACGCTGTGATTGATACATCAAATCCTGCCCTACCTTGTCCTCAAAATCATGATGCATCTTCTCAGATGTGCTTATGACAATGAAACTGTTTTCTCTTTCATTCATTTTTCTTTCTATCATAGATTCACAATTCACAAACCAACACTCATTTCACAGATCCAACAAATCATCAACCTCATCAAGACCAATCAAATAAGTCTAATTAACAGTCACAACGCATTAAACTTTCCTTACCAAAAATCACAAACCCTACACACTTCAAAAAAGGAAAAAAAAATACATACCAGCAGAAGAACCCACCAACAAAATCCTATCAGAAGACAGATTCTCACAAACCCATTTGCAAACAGCAATAACATCCTTGATTTCAGCAAAACCAGTAAGAGAAGCCCTCCCAGTAGACTTACCAGCACCTCTCATATCAAAGGTCACAGCTTTATAACCTTTTTCAGCTAACCCAGCAGCAATCCCTTTCAAAAGAGCTTGACAACCACCCAAGATTGAAAATGGATGTACAAGAACAATCACCAAATTGTCTTTTATCTCTCCTTCTTCTCTTGGCTTGAACAGCCTTGTATGAAGCTTGGCTCCATCACTTGTCTCTACTTTATTGGACTCAACTGTATAGTTTGACATCTTTCAGACATACAAGAGAGGAGAATTTAAAAATGGAGTGGTCTTGGTGAATGAGAAAGAGAGAGAGATTGAGGCTTTTTGTTAACTCTTTTGGACAAGACAAGAGTCAGAACAGTGACAAAGATGACTAGGAAGGGAGTAAATTATAAATTAGTCCTTATATTTTTATAAAATGAATTACATAGTTTTTATTATTTCAAAAACTAATTAATTAATTTTTTTATCAGTATAAATTGTAGTTAATTTAATATTATTTTATGTTAAAAAACATCTTTATTTTTTTAATCAATCTTTTCAAGTCTTTTACTTATTTTTTCATATTTTTATTTATTAAATTAAAATAAACAAAAGAAATTAAAAATAAATAATTAAGTTACAAATAGACTTAAAAATATAGAGATTAATTAATAGCTTTTGAAATCAAAAGGAATATTTGATTCGTTTTGAAAAATTAGAGAAACTAATTTATAATTTACTTGTTAGGGGTTATAAAATGGAAGTTGTTTGCTGGGTAGATTTTGTCTACAAAAAAGCCTAACCATCCTTGAATTTTAAGTCATTTAAAGTTGGATTCCTAAATTTTTTTTATTGATTTTGGAGATTGGTTAATATATATATATATATTGAATTTTTTCTAACACGTGTAAAATCTCGGATCAAAATACCAATAATTGAATTTTTAAAAGGGAGAGATAATAGCCGAAGTTCATTGAATGGACTAAAATTTCAAAGAATTAAAAATTTTAGGATCTCTAAAATCAATTAAAAAAAATTTAAGAACTCAACTTTAAATGATTTAAAATTTAAGGATTTAATATCTAAGGGTAGTTAGAACTTTTTAGCCGAAGTTTTAGGTGAGAAATGAGAGGAGAAACTTGTGTGAATTTGATAGAATTTAATGCCTATGGCTATGGGAGTAGAGTTGCTGGAGTTGGATTTATGGGTTATTTTCAATTTCGAAAAATAATCATATGTAAGCGAGAGCGAGCATATCTTATAAGTATTTCTATATCGAGTACGATACATTTAGAAAAATTTAACAAATTTTTTTACATACAGATTCTAAGGTTTGAAACTAAAAAATTAAGGAATGAAACAATTTTTTTTTTAACTATCAGATTAATCTTTTGAGATTTTGTTTGATAATAAAGGTATTAGAATTAGAATTATTTGGCATTATTTGATTCTCTAGGTATATTGGATAACTCACACTAATTTTATAAAAATTGTATGACTATAAAATTATTTATACTTAACGTTATCAAAATTAAAAAAAAAAACTGAGATGTGTTTGTTAATCATTAGATAAATCTCTAAGGACATGTTTATGAGTTATTTCAATGCATGATGAAGTTAAAAGAGCAAAGCAAATGTAGGGGCCTTGAAGAAATTTCTTGGATGTTGGCACTCACCTGTTTTTTTCAACTAATGAAAGCAGACAATCAACAGCTCCAAGATTTGGGGTCACACCAAACCTATGTAATTAAAGCTTATTCAAGGAGTATCGTACAATCTATATCATCTTTCGGTAGGCAGAGAGTTGTGGCTGTGGTTGAAATGGTAGTTTGAAGTTGTAAAGGTAGTTGTGAAAAAAATTGTAATAAAGATTGTGGGTCTTGGTCTATCGAAATTGTATAATAATGATCATGACAATTGATAATATAAATATATTAATCGTTGTTAATAAATTTATTTTAAAATAAAAATAAAAATTATTTTTAAAAAATAATAATATAAGAGTCGTTATTTTTTAAAAAAAGAAGTAATATTTGACATTATTGTTATATAATATCATAATTATTATATTTAGATAAAATATCATTGGATTCTCTATAACGTTATATAACGAAAATGAACATATCTAAATCTATTAACTAGTTAGAGAGTTGTGATATAGTTGAAATCTTAGTTTTAATTGTAGCAGTAGTTGTGAAAAAAATTATAATAAAGATTGTAGTTCATAGTTTATCATAATTGTATAACATGAATCATGACAATTGATAACATAAATATATTAGTAGTTACTAATATATTTATTCTAAAATAAAAAAATAAAAGAATTTTTTAAAAACCAATAATATAACAGTCATTATTTACAAATAATAATAATAATAATTTATATTTAGATAAAATGTCATCAGATTCTCTATAACGTTATATAAAAAAAAAAATTTAAATCTATTAAATAATAATATAATGATTGTTATTTAAAATATATCTAGTAATCAAGGAGATTTATTCTCTCATTTGATATTTCAAGTTTGAATTTGGGTATTAATATCCAAGGAAATTCATTCTCCTTAAACGCACCAAATCCACGTAATAAAGTGATAAACATACCTTTAAGATCGCCTTAAAAAGGAATTCAATCTTTGATTAACTTCTCATTTCTAACCTTTTCTTATTTGCAGGCTTGAGTCTTTTATATGGATGATCCAAATGAAGGTTGATTTCACTTTCAATCAATTTTAAGTTTCGAAGTTAAAATTCATTTTCAAACTTCATACACCAGAATGAAACCCAAAAAAAAAAAAAAAAAAAAAAACTTTCATTCATGTTTTCCCTAAGCATCCTGTGTGTATTCACTGGCTGGCTACTACAAACATTCTACGAGTTTCAAATTACAATCCCATTTCATCCCTTCTTTTGTCTGATCTTTCTCCACACACCCTCACTCCTTCTAAAGTGAAAGTCCCTCTACACCGACCAAACAAAAATTCAAAAACCTCCCAAAAAATAATTTACATTATACAACCACTACCATTATCACCTCCGTGGTCTCTTTTTTGATCTTCCGGCACCGCCTACCCCTACCTCAGAATCATCATTCTCTCTCCCTCTCTTCCCTGTCCCGCCACCCGACTCCGTTTGCTTCTTCGGTGGCCTTCCTCTTTTTATGTTTCTACTATCCTCTCCCGAACCTCTTCCTTTCGAACTCCTTGTCACCCTCTTCGTTATCTCATCTGCTTCCCTTCCTCTCCTCTTTTTATCCTCCATTTTACTGTCTTTACTCTCATCCTCCGAGGAATCATCATCGTTCTCCGTGAGTCGACTCGGAGAATTTTGCTTCATCCTTTTCAAGAAGCTTGCTGCTCCTTGCTTCTTCCTCCCTGTATTTTCTTTCCTATCCAGCTTAATCTCCAACGCATCATGTGAACTTAATTCATTACCACCGTATCGATGATTTATCTCTCCATTCTTGCTGCTTGTTCTTGAGTTTCTACGCCCTGAGACCGACCTCTCTTTTGTTCTTTTCTTCTTTAAACCCTTCTCCTCAACCCTAACAGCCGAAATTTCAACCTTCTTCTCGTTTACCTTAGGTTTTTCTTCAATCTCTGTATCTCTTTTATCACTTTTTTTACCAGAACCTTCAGATATTTCTTTTACGGAACCGTGTTTGCTGCAGGCCATCAGAGTAGAAGAAGATTTGTACGGTTTTGAAATAGAAGCAGAATGTTGTTCGGCTGCAGGCTTAACAGCCAGAGGTTGAGGTTTCGGCTTCCGAAGCTTCTCCTTAATTTCCTTCAAAACTACAGCTCGAAGTTCATTCGCAGCAAGATTTTCCGGTGAATTTTTTCTGAAGAAAACAATTGCATTGTTTAACAAAATCAGAAGATCCTTGAAGAATCTTTGGAAGCAATTGGAGTAGACCCCTTTATTCAGCCTAGATTGAATCATTTGAAGATCCATGTGCTGCCGAACCAACTTTCTGTACCTTTCAGATTCCTGAAAAACAATAGAAATTCCATAATAAAAAAAAAACTTTTTGTCTCAAAATTCTCTCTGAACGTGCAAGGCCACTAGCAGTCGCTGTTAAGCCATTTGACACGTAACAAAAGACGCTGGCTATTCCAAGGAAATTGTGGCAACAGTTGTGCAGAAATTAGGGGAACTCAATTAATAATTCAGATATGGATCTGCATCTGTTTGCTTTTATTTTCAACCTTTTTCAAAAAGAAATTTCCCGGGCCATAATTACATTGACTTTGACTATTAAGCTTAAAACGCAAGCACAAGTTGTCTTTAGACGAGGAAAGAAAATTCGTGTGGCATGTTAAGAGTGGCCATCCAGAGACCAATCGACAACGGGAACTTGTGTTAAGGGAAGACAATTATGTCCAACCAGTAGATGTCCATTTCGTCCTGCTCCAAAAAAACTAGGTTTTTATTCCCACCTAGCTAATTAAATAATATATATATTAAAACTTCTAAATTTATCTGATATTATTCTTTTATTATACACAAGTACTAAATATTGTTGAAATTTTTATTTTTTATTTTTTTTAAAAAAAGCCAGCTAATCCTAATCCAGCTGGGGCCCTCCCGAGCCACCATATGAACTGAGACAGAGTGGGTGGGTACGGAGAAACGGGAGAGACAAGAGCTGACCCGACATGATCCATTATCATCCTCACTTGCTGCCTTTTAAAGGACAAACCCAGATACCATAGCACAAAGGAGTCCATGCTGGCCCAAACCCACCGAGCCCATTTCATCACCAACCAACTAAGAACACGTGCAACGATGTCATCAACCAAATAGCGTCAAAAAGTCCATATTCCTGACTGTACAAGGCAGGCTTTTATGTCCACAAAGGCACAAACAGATTGGCAGTGGTGCTGGTTATGGTCAAGCACTCATTTAACCAAGATTGGCCCGACTTAACTTTTATTGAAAAAAGTTGATGACGTAATTCTGGACGGCCTAAAATTATGCTATGTAATTATAAAATTATCCTATGTACTTAACAAATATTATCAGCATCTTCACCTCAGAATCTATTTGTAATGACTAGCATATAGCTAATATTCCATCTTTACACCTAGTAATTTCACCCCTAGAAAACATAGGGTCATGGGGTTTACAATGGCTTTTGCACACTTAAATATGTTAGGTACAAGTTTTTGAGAAAGGTTAAAAATTAAGAAAAGTAGATATTTTTGGAGGACAAACTTGCCCTCCAATCCCATCAATTTTTTTCCCCACGCTGTCTCTCTCTTTCAAAAGACACTCTAAATAATCTTTTTATTTCTCATTCACCAACTATTATTAATACTTAAATTACTTTCCATTTCTTTTCACTAAAAAATCACACTTCAATTCATTATTACACCAAACACCCTTAAATACATTTATAAAAATTACTCTTATTTTTTTGATCTCATACCAACTGCCCTCTGCGTATTTAAAACCTTGACCCACGCGAGAAAATATTTTAAATGAGAAGACAAGTAGAAAACAATGATAAAAGAGGAGTAAATTATAAATTAATTTAATATTATATTATCTAAAAAAATGTCTTATTTTCTCCTTAATTTTACCATATTATTTACTCTCTTTTGTTAATAAATTACAAAAGAACGAAAAGGACTAATGTACGATTAGATTTAAAAACATAAAGACTAATTATTTAGTTTTTGAAAATAAAAAGATTAATTTAATTCATTTTGTAAAACTAAAGAAACTAATTTATAAATTAATTTAATATTATTTTTTCTAAAAAAAAGTCTTATTTCCTCCTTAATTTTTCCATAATATTGACTCTCCTTATTTTTAATACAAAAATAAATTACAAAAGAACGAAAAGGACTAATGTACGATTAGATTTAAAAACTAATTATTTAGTTTTTGAAAATAAAAAAATCAATTTAATTCATTTTGTAAAACTAAACAAACTAATTTATAATTTAATTCATTTTGTAAAAATAAAGAAACTAATTTATAAGTTACTCATAAAAGAAGATATGTTAAAAATATCATGGCTGCCAGATAGTTTGCAAAAAAGTACAGTTTCTATACCTGAAAAGTCGTTCGTCGTCGCAAATAAGATAGCCATTGACTAGTTGACTCCAATTATGCCAAAAGGCATTGAAGGACACCAAACAAAATTACAAAACCGAAGATGAGTGGAAACAATAGTGTCAAAATATTTCAAATCATGTAATTGTTTAACGTAGGAATGTCTTAGTGTTGAAGCATCTTTAATTTTTGGTCAAAAGATTAAAAGGGGTGGTAGACCGTTTCAGAAACCTCTGTATGTTTCTTACTTCTAAGACTAGAACTAGAATGGAATTATTTTTGGACGAAAGACAGGCCAAAGGCCAAGAAATTTCGAAATGGCATTTCTAAGGGTTATAAAAACAAACAAGGAAGAGTCAAGAATGAGGTAAACATTTTGATGTACTTGTTACCAAATTACCCTATTGAAAACAATTTGTCAACCTATGAGAAACAAATCTAAATATTTGAACGATGAAAATATTTTTGGAACTGTTTGTAAGTCAAATCAATTCTATATATATTACGATCTTAAGAATGCATAGTCTATACTACATTATGAGAAATTTAATAAATTTCTTCAGATAGGCCAAAAATTTGTATTCAGAAAAAAAAATCTTGTTTAACTATTAAATCAACTGTTCGAAGTTAATCAAAAATCTTTTTATTATGAATTATCCCATTAATCATATCATCAGCCACAACAAACAAACATGTCTGAATAAAATATTATTGAGTATTGATCTAAAACTCTAGCCGATTAGACCATCTGACAGTGCGTAAACATGCAGTTGTTTAGTTGCAATTTTTTTTTTAAAAAAAAGAATTTCTAATCTATAAATGGGAAAAGCAAAAGGACACCGAACATTCTAGCCTTAAAAAAAAATGGAAAGACAAACAAGCCAACCACAAAAGCAATTATCTTTAACTGTACTCCAAAAATCGGCACGTTATTTTCAAAACTCCTACTCTGGCCCCACCAAAACCAAGATGCATTGCATCCACACCGTTTAACTAGATCTAAATATCTAATGCACGGCGTCCAAAAAACTAACGTACTTTCATAAACGAGGATGCCCATGCACTGTACTGCAATATAACACCCTCCTCCCTCTCATCTCTCATAGCTAAGAACCAAATTACCAAAACACCCTCCCGTGGATATGGTCTACCTTCTGGGGTAACCTCAACATGGTCAAGTGCAAAGCTGCGATTGCCAATTTTTTTTTTTTACAAACAAAAAGCATTTCACCTAATTTATTATTGTGAACCATCATACTAATCCAAATTAAGAAATTAACCTAAAATTTAACTATAATTAGACTAAACTCTCATTTATGAGTTTGTATTTGCTTTCAATATCTTTAACATTATCGACAATAAAAAATATTAATTAAATAAAAATTTTGTTAATGGGATCGTATGAATCAATGTATCGTATCGCATCGATTAATGTATAGTATCAATTTATATATTGGTATCCACTTGTAATTTCATCCTTGATATTTGTAAATATGCGGAATGTGATTACACGAGCTACAACATAAATAGCATGATTATACTAATTCTTTTTATTTTTTTCCCCTTATATGATCCTGTCTTTTTGAAAGTTCGTTTTTTATATATTTTGTATTTTCTTTTTAAAATAAAGGGTAATTAAATAAGGATAATCAAAAAATTACCTGGCTTCGGAGCCGCTTTTCGAAGACTGAGCCGAGCCGATGAGACCGAATAATCCCAAGAAGTTTAAACCATGGTTCAGATTTGACGGCAGGCAACTTTTTCCTGGCGGGAGAAACCTCATCATCGCCACCCTCTCTCTCCTCCTCCCCACTGCTACTCCCTTCTCCACTACTACGACGTCGTTTCTTCTTTTTCAACGACAAACTTACCGAACTTTGCACGTCACTACTGTTGTTGTTGTTGTTGTTATTGTTATTATTATTATTTTTAATATCCTTCTCTTTCTCTTCCCGCTTTGACTCCCCTACAGACTCACCTAACTCGTTCGAGTCAGGACCGAGTCCACCCACCCGACTCAATCTCTCAGTTTTCATTTCCATTTTCGGTTTTTTATCGTCGTCATCTTCTAACTTACCGTTATGTGACCATTCCCGCTCGGCTTCCGGGTCGGACCTTAACCGATCCGGATCCGGATCCTCCTTGATCGCATCCGGTTCGGGTTTTATGTCTGTGTTGTTGTTTTGTTCTTTCTCCGTTTCCTCCTCAGCTTTCTGTGGCTGCTGACTCGTCGAATTGGATTCGTTGAACGATCGTTCATCACCATCGCCAGACTCCTCGCCGACGGTGGATTTACCGGCAACCAACTCCGTCGAAGGTTTAGCCAGATCTGATGACTTCTCCTTCTCCTTCAAGCTCCTCTCCCTGTCCTCTTCTAGCCTCTTCACTTTCATTTCAAGCGACCTGTCAATCAAAAGCGAAAACAAAACTCAGTAGATCTCGAAACGAAGCTGAAATCGGATCTTTCGAAGAACAAAGCGGTAAGTCGTTTACTGTAATTTACACGATAGATGCGTCGCGTCGATGGACTTCGCGACGAAGCTCATCAACGCGAAGTTTACGGAGCTCATCAACTAACGAGGAAGCGGTGTCGTTTCGCAGAGTAGTGAAGCCGAAACGTCGTTTGAGGTCGTTGAACTTGTCAATACAGTTTTGTGAAGTGAGGGGGAGAGAGTGGAGGTTCTGTTAGATACTTCCATAGCTATTGAGTCCCAAGAATCGGTTCCATGGCGGTTTACGGCGGACGCTAGCAGTAACTCCTCTAACGTGCCCCATGGTGGAGGTGGTTGTTGCTGTGGTTTAGCCATGAATGAAGAGTAAAAATGGTAACGAAACAGATGATGATGAAGAAGAAGGTTTCATTTCATGATGTTAAGATTTATTTGAAATTAGGGTTTTTGTGTTCTGATTCATTTGATTTGTCATTTATACAGTCTGATTGTTAATGGACGATGATGATTCGAGTTTTATTTTTTCTCTCCTCTGCTTCGATTTTGCTTTGTTTTCGCGGTTTTGGGTTTGGCTCTTTTTCGTGGGCTTTTTTTTTTTTTTTAAGTTTTGATTGATAAAGGATTTTTGGGTTTGGTAAAGTATTCTTTTAGTCCCTTAAGATGTAATATTTTCTACTTTGGATCCTCTATTTTAGCAATTTCACTTGTCGATCTCTATACATCTAAATGTTAAGTATCCTACTTTTGAATTTTGTTCGGATTTTTCTTTTTGCGATTGGTGAGAAATTATGGGAAATCAAAAGAAATAAAAGCATAAAAAAAATGAAATAATTTATGAGAAAAATTAGAGCTGTGTCATTTATTAAGTGCCAAATAGAAAATTTGATGCATTCTAAAATTAGAAGAATACCCTTAAAAATATTTAAAATATAAAATTAGAAGTAGAATATGGGTGAATCTATAAAAAGAAAGTATAATTTATATGTAATAATGCTTTCAATAAGTTACGACATTACCTGCAATTATTAAATACTTGGTAAAATGTGTAGAGTTGTATTATTGATATTAAATGAAATCTATAAAGTTGTATTACTAATATTAAATTAAATGGGCCAATTTTGACAGTCTTTTATAATGAGATATTTTTTAAATTTAATTACTTTATCATTTATAAGTACAAAAAGTTTGGTATCGTCAACTAAAAAGTCCCATTAATTATTTTAAATTTCTATTCGTCCGATAATATATAGAATTATATTAACTAAAAGACATTCAAAAGAGAGCCCAGCATGATTTCAAACGAGTTATCCATATAAGAATTAGACATGTACTATTGACAGTCAAAAGGATTGGTTTGATGGTTGAAAATATTTATTTTCTTTCTTGATTTCATGATTTCAAACTTTGAGAAGATCATTGGAAGAATTTATTAAATTGTTTATAAATACATCGTATCAATATAAAAAGATATACTTTAAAAACCATTCGTTTAGTTCGAAAATATTTCTACCGACGAATTAAAAAAAAAGATATATATTAAAATTTTCTTAAGATAGTATCGTTGGTATTGAAAAAATGAAAACTACAGGGGCTTAGGTGGAGTATTGCTGAATATACAAAGATTTCAATATAATTTTCCTGCTGTTTATTTTACCTAGTAAACTGATTCGTGTTTTGGTGAATATTTTTAAGATTACCTTTTAGCGGATAAATTCATTAGCTGATGTGTGCTACCATTTTGGGACTTAGGAGGATTAACTTATTGTTTGACGTGGCCAGATAAAAGATATTCCTTTACAGTTTTTAGAACTAATTATTTTCTATGAAAATGGATTTTATTAAATTGCAGCAAAACGAAAATCTCATTTTTATTTATTATTCGATTATTAAAATACATTTGAATGAACTTATGTGTCGAATGATAGATAATTTTAATAATGTATTTTTTTCTAGATCTAAGAGTATATGTTTTTTCTTTTAGAGATATAAAAATTGACAAAAATAAAATCTTAAATTTTTTAAAAAATTTCAGATAAATCTTACTCAATTATTTTTATCATAAAATTATTTATGTAATCGTTATTTTTATAAAAAAAATATATAAAACCAAATAAAGTTCAGAAGAGATCAACAAAAATTAAATTAAGACTTAAAAAATTGATTTTGCAATAAATTAATTTTCTTGAGATATTTGATCAATTTAGCCCTAGAAAAATCCGCTGACATTAAAACGGGAAAAACCTGACATTAGTCTGCTAGAATTACAGGCGGATGTCCTTTACAGGGAACCGTCTATTTCTGGAGGGAGTTTGAGTGGGTCCCCACATCTATTTCTACGACCTTTTTGTTTGGCTGAGCTCGAATGAAGAGCTGGTAATGATCTGGTGACAGTGCTGTCAGGATGCTTGCAGTCCGTCCCGTTTGATTAAGAACTATTTATCAAAACATCTATTATTTCGAAAAAAAATCAAAATTTTCTCGAATTTATCAATCTTTTAATTTCTAATTTTAGAATGTAATTTTCTTCGATTTTTTTTTCATTTAGAATTTATTTATTTATGTTGATTTTTAACCGTAAAAGTACATATAATTTACACGAAGTTTATTTTTAAGTTTTTTCAATAGTTAAAAAATATCAAAATTTATAAATATTTTTCTCTTTTTTTCAAAACACCTTTTGTTTTCTAAAATATTCCACAATTTCTTACTTCTTAGCATTCGGTAGGAAATAAATAAATTTTGAAAGTAAACACAAAATATCTATAATTTCAGGTGTGTTTCTAGTTGTTGAGAAATTGCAATTACATTTTTAATTGATAGCAATGACCTGATTTTAAATAAAAAATAGTCTGAAAAGTATTTAATTAAAAATTAAAAGTTGAGAAATCGAATATAAAATGACTCGAGGAACTGATTATAAAATGATTTAAAAGGGGAAATTTGGATAGTTTGGCTGAAAAAATATACAAAACCATGTATTTTGAAGTGAAGTTGTAATTAACTAAATGATTGCGGATAGTATTAGAAATTTATTGAAAAAACAGAGAATATTAGAAAGGTTTTTTATTTATTAAATCAAAATAAAAATATTACGAGACATTTCATAAACAAGAGAGGTTAAATTAATGGAAAAAGCTATATAATAAATACATCAACTTTAAATCTTTTCTCAATCAAACACATTAACTTTTATTTTTTTCATTCAGTACATCAATTTTTAAAAAAATGTTGATTAAGATTTTTTTATCTAATTTTTCATCTAGTGATGATGTGTTAGTTAATAGAGAAAATTAAATGATTAAATTGTTTTTCTTTCTATCATCCTCCCAAGTTGTTATTATTGGCAATTAGCACTTACCAGCTTCTTTGCTATCTTTTTTTTTTTAATTAATCTGATTTGCTTTTTAAAAAAAAATTAATAATTAAACAATAATAATAATTTGAAAGGAAAAAAGAAAAAAGAAGTCATTTAGTGTTTTTTTATTAATTGTCATATCACCGTTAAATGAAAAATTAGATGAAAAAATTTAATAGGATGAAATAAAAAAATAAAAATTAATGTATTCAATTGAAAAAAACAATTAATCACACCCTATTGGCTGGCATTTTTATGGAAGCTTTTGTTGTTGGTACAAAACCAACCCCGAAATCAAAAGGTAAATACATAAAAATTATTTACGTTTATGAAAGATATTCTTTGGATCAAAGCTGGAATTTCAATTGCAGAAAAAAAAATTACAGGAGTTACCTGGTAGGCAAAAACCATGTTTAAGGCCACAAAAGATTCGTGAGATGAAAAGATTGTTAGGTAGCTCGTTATACAACGAAACATATTCATTTATTTAATAAATAAATAGTCAAACACTATATAAAATTGATTTTTTTTTAAATAAAAGAAAACGGCAAAAGGAAGAGTAAATTATAAATTAATTCCTTTAGCTTTGAAAAATAAATTAATTAGTCCATCTTATTCCAAAACTAATTATTCAATCCCTTTTATTCATTTTATATTTTTTTTGTTAAAAAAATATATTGAGAAGAAAAGACAGTTTTCGAAATAAAAAAATATTAAATTAAAAATAATCATTACTCATAAAAAATTAAATAATTAATTTTTAAAACAAAAGAGGTCGATTAATTTATTTTTCAAAAATAGAACAATTTATTTATAATTTATTCTAAAGAGAGTATATTGTCACGAATTTGACCTTTCACAAGCTCTCGTGTGCCACTTGACTTAATTCTTCTCTAAATCAAACTAAATCAGCATTATTCACGCAAAGTTATTAAGTAAAGAAGACACACGTAAGAGATATAATAACTCTTTGTGTTGCTTTCTCTAAAACTAACAACTTCAATATTACACTTTATTAAATTTTTGGATATCTTAATCAAATGAAAGTCTTACTTATTTATAGTTTTTTATCTTCTCGATGGATGACTAGAATCTATTTGATCTAATGATTATAATTAATAGAACTATTATATCTAGATATTTACAAGAAATCATCTAGATATTTACAAGCTAAAACAACGAGGAACTCTCTAAAATTCTCTACGTCATGTCTAGATTTTTTTTGAATATCTTAGAGGTTTCTCCATCTGGATATGTACAAGCTGAAATAATGAGACATTCTCTAAAATTCTTCAAGGCATGTCTAGATTTCTCTTGAATATATTAGAGACTTCTCCATTGCTTCATAATTTTTTAGATACTTTTAGACTTATCTAATGTTCTCAATAATTTTTAAAAAATCCCTCTTTTGAACGGATGCATAAATTGATGCTTTTTTGAGATTTGATTCCATGATATGAAGTCACATCATAACATGATTTTATTTTTGATAAGCCAAAATATGTTTCAGTCGCTACAATCTGGACAACGTCATACTTTGGATTTTAAGTGTTAACATTTCCCATATCAATCTTTATGCTTTTTAAGAAGTACCAAAAAACGATATTTAATCGTTAAATTAATATCTAATGAATTTTGATGAATTATCCTTTTTTTTTTTTTTTTGCCTTTCTAAAGTCTCATACAATTAATGCTGTCCAAAAAAAAGCAAAAAAAACCTTAAAAAGTTGGTCCACCATTGGTGAAGTTGAGAATATTTTTTTTGAAAATGAGTATTGATATTGATTAACTTTTAAACCATGGGAGCTGAAGTGAAATAGTATTGAATCACAGGGTGGCTTTTTTATCCTCTTGTCTACTTTTCTTTTTATCACACACACACACATATATATATACTCACACGTTAAATGATTTTAATTCCTAACTTTTCCAATAATCAAGGTAAAAAATTCAAATTTTTTATTAATGATTTTGCAACAAATAAAACATTCCTTAAAATAATTAAACTCGAGTTTGTATATAAAACCAGCCAATCATGTTATAGTAATTACTTTGGTTCTTGTATCTTGTTTTGTAAATACATCTTCGATGTTTTTTCACATTATTCGTATTAAATACATTACCTATTAAATTTTCATATGAAACTTCATGTCACGTTGTTCCTAGCACATAAAAAAAAAACTTAATTAAATAATAATAATAAAAACATATTGAATAAATAAATTCATTATAAATTGAGATGAGTAAAGAATTTGATTTTTTTACCTTGATTATTAAATAAGTTAGGAATTAAAATCGTTTAACGAAGTTTCGTGATATAAACGTGATATAAACATGATTGACTTACATATTATCTGAAATCACAAATATAAAAAACACTAAAATAAATTGTTTGCAAATTACAAAAACAAAACCACACACATATATATAAAGCTAAATAACCATTTTTTACTTTTTTTTATTATTATTATAAAAACAACAATTTCTTATGTTATAAAAAATAAATGATTAAAGTAATTTTTTTAGTAATATAATTTAAACTTTTTAATATTTTCTAAAAATACTCGAACAAGTGATTCCAGGTTGTAAAGTTTCGTGAATTTCCTTGAGTTCAAGTGGGTCTCGCACCTATGTCTGCCATGTTCAGCCTGGCATGGTTGAATGTAATGGTTCAGAAAAATTTGGTCACAGCCATGTCCGGGTGTTTAACCTTTTATATCCAAATCCATATGGCAATGAACTCCCTCCTAACATGGGATGTAGAAAAGTTAGTTTTAGAATATCCTTATCATCAAGAACTGAAAAATCACATATATAATTATTGAAAAAACAAGATAAAAATTAAATTTTATGTTGGAATCTTACAACAAGTCTTTTCATAATACGAGATAGAGATAAATTAAATATACTGGCACCATGTTTAGAGATGTAGGCATCGGATCCATTAATTCAGTTTCTTACTTTATCCATAAAAAAATAATCTATCAATTACTCCGAAAAAAATCACTATATAAATATTTATTTAATCCATACCTGCTTATTAAATATCTATTAAATTTAATTTATTAAAAATATTTATTTTAGTCCCTATAGCTTTTAAGAAAAGTTTTTTTATTCTTAAAATTTTCATTTTGATAATTTATTTATAGGTTTTTTTGGTCCTCGAGTTTTCAAAAAAATATTTTGATCCTTAATTTTTAATTTTATGCAATTAAATTCACACATATTAATAAAAAATATATAAATAAATTAGTAGGTATCAATATGGTAAATAGTGGATACTCGTATCCTGAAATTACATTAGCGTGCATGTATTTTTTATATTTTTACCCATTTCAATATCCATTGAACATTTTTAATAGGTATTTATTGAATCGAGTAAAATGAATATCAGCTTTATATTTAGCCCATTATCATCCCTGTTTACGTGAGTGAATAATATATATATATATATATATATATATATATATATATATATATATATATATATATATAGGTTTTTTTTATTTGTTTTGTTTTAAAAATAGAAAAAGAAAACAATTGATAATATGGAAAAATTAACAGAAAAAAATATTTTTTAGAATAAAATAATATTAAATTAAATACTGTCAAATACCGTTCAAAACTAAATAATTATTTTTTTAAAATAAAAAAACTAATTAATTCGTTTATAAAAAATTAGAGGGACTGATTTATAATTTACTCACGAAACAGCAATATTTTTCAAATTTAGGAAATTTCACTAGAGCGGGAAAAGAAGCCACTCTCTGAAAAGACCCCAAAAATCCCACACACAGCTAAAACACAGCCATTTATTTCTGTAACCAACAAAAAAAAATTCTCAAGATTCTTGAACTGGGTTTTCTTTAGTTTCTCTTCAAGATTATTAAATCAGGATTTTGTAAATTGGGTTTTTCTTCTTTTGAAAAGATCATGGGCAGAACTGTGAATAGAAAGGCAGGAAGTAAAAGTAATGGAAACCCAGTTGACTTGAACCAGGAACTCAGGGAAGTGAAGCGTGAACGTGTGACTCGAAGCCGGGTGAACTCAGGAGTGGAAGAACCGAATCAGCAAGCTCAGGAAATGGACCGGCGAGTCCTCCGGTCTATGTATCGTACCTTACAGAATAGAATCAAGGGTATTAATTATTTCTTGGTTTCAAATTGCTCAATTATCTTGTTTTAGTTATTTTGTTGATAATTTTAATTTAATCATTCGAATTATTTTTTGTTGTTGCAGATAAGAGAGATGATTTAATGAGACTGGATTCGGAAAGGTTTAATACCATGATTAAGGAAGTTGAAAATTTGCATCAGTTTGGTAAATTTGGGTTCTTATCAGTATTTATTTTTGAAATTAATTTCAAATTTAAGGATTAAAAGAAGATGTGATTTTGTTTTATTATTCCTATAATTATGCAAAGAATGTGAAGATTTATGGATTTTTGTGTGAACCCATGTTGGGATTTCAGTACAGAAGCCAAGAGAGCAAGTTGCAGATGCAGAGGCATTGTTGGGGTTAACTAACACTTTGGTGTCTTCCGTTAAGTCACAGTCAAATGATGGTATCACACCTGCAGATTTTGTAGACCATTTGATTAAAGAGTTTGGGCAGCCAACTAGGAATTTAGACAACGATGAGGATGCCCCGGTTTCGATCAAGTGGAAAGATCTTGGTCTTGTTGTTTCTCCCATTTTTCGGAGGTGTACGGGGCTTAGTACAATGTGAGTTCTTGTGATACCTTTTTTAATAGTTACTAGTGTGAGAAATACTAGCAAAATTCAAGCGTGTAGCTATTGTAGTAGCTTGATTGTGCGTGCAAGTGGGTTGCTTCGTGCTCGCATATGAGCACTGATAGGTGTAACAATCACGACTGTCATTAGTTTTTATCTTCTGGTTTGGTTTTGTGTGTGCTACGTTAGGGATCTTTTTCTTTTGGTTTTTACTTTTTCTTTTGATGTTGTTTTGTCCAGGCTGGGACCAATGAATACCGAGTTGAAACAAAGGAAGGCTGTAGTTCATAGAAAGCGTACGAGATCAACTGAAAAAGCTCAGCCTGAAGAGGTGATATTTCCTTTTTGGCTCATGTTTAATGCACTTACTAGACATTTCAAGTTACAGATCCATGATTAATTGTGCGGTCTTAGTTTCTACCATGTTCTGCAACGTTTATTGTGATTGCAACTTTGTGTTGTGAGGCCTTATGGGCATGAGCACATAGATAGAGGGAGTGAAGTTTTAGGAATTAGGGGGTAATGCAATTTGCAGTGTGGGAATCAGGAAAGCAAATGCTGTTTTCTACTTGTATATTCCCAGCACAATTGTGTCGTATAAGATTCTCATATATGAATCGATGTTTTTAGATAGTGTGTTTCAACTATAACTATGACGTGCATAATTGATTTTTCCAGTGATATTCTCGCAAGAGTGAGCACTTATACAAGTTTGTGGTTTAATGTAAATTAGGTTGATGATACTGGAGCAGAAAAGAAGACAGATACTGATAAGAATATGGCAACAATATTTGGGATCTTAAAGGAGAAGAGAAGAGTTAGACTTGAAAATTTGATCTTGAACAGAAAGTCTTTTGCACAGACCGTGGAGAATTTATTTGCACTGTCATTCTTAGTTAAAGATGGCAGGGTTGAAATTGTTGTGGATGAAAGTGGATACCATTTTGTTTGTAAGTGTATTTCTTTACAGTTAATTCAGATTTTTTCTTCATTTGTTTTGCACGTTTTGTATATACTTGTACTTTTGGCTTAGCTCTTGTTGTCACTTATTTCTTCAGCACCTAGGAATGGTCCAGCTCCCAGTTCTGTTATGTCCGGGGAGGTTGCTTATAGACATTTCGTGTTCAGATTTGACTTCAAGGATTGGAAGGTAGGGAATAGGAATTTGATTCTGTTCCCATAAACTCTTGTGCGAACGAAGATGTCTTCTAACTTCTGTTTTGTCAAAATTCGCAGCTAATGAAGAATATGGTGCCGGAAGGCGAGGAGCTTATGCCACACAAAGAAAGTTCTGCTGCTTCTCAGGTGGAGCTAGAGGCTAACAACAATCAAGGAACACAACCTCGGACACCCATCAGGAAATTCTCTAGGAACCGTGGCTTGGTTGTCCAAGAAGATGCAGTTATAGTGGAAGACTCTCCTGAGATTGATGATGTAGATGCCAAAGTCACTGGCATCAGGAGGTGTAGGCGCAAGATCACTTGAATGAGGGGCTTGCTTGTTTGCATGTCATAGTGGCAGCAACTGTTTTGGGTTGGATGATGGGTGTGTATATATAGGTACACCCTACGTATTTGAACTTCTGAGTAACATTTTGCATTGCTTGGCTGTAGTTTTGGGCTGATGCTGTCTTTCTCTTTCCCTCTGGGTATAACAAATTATTTAGGGTTCTATGCAATGTCCTTTGTGAAACTAGGCCACTAAACTCACTATTCATATTCTTCATGAAAGATCAATAAGAAAGTTTGTGAGGACATTTTGTACTTGCTAGGAGTCACTGTAGATCATTTCAAATCAGTTGTTGGTTTTTGGTTATTATTATGCCTAAGCATCTTGAGAGTAAGGTCACTGTGATTTGAATTGGCAGCAGCCCTTGGACATGCTGAAGAATTATTGGCCATTTTGTAAAGGTTTCAGAGCTTCATAGTTGTGGACTGAATTGGACGATTGATTTCGCAAAATCCATTTGATTTGTGTCAAGGACTGGGCTTTAGAATGTGAAAAAACTTTTACTTCCATAAAAGTAGTTTTGTAGTACCCATCTTATATAATAATCTGACTCTCTAATAGGTTTATAGGCTTTTAATTAAGTCTAAATATGGTTATAAATTTTTAATCATATCTATTATTTCTAAATAATGTGTGAATTTTCAATCTATAATTCTAGTCAATTTTTTTTTTTAAATCATGAGCAAATTTTTTAGCCAAAATACTCCTTAATGAAATTAACAAAATAACCATTTGAAATAACAAGACCAAAAGTCTTTAGATTTTTTTTTCTTTTGGCATTTCAATCAAGGATATTTTGATAAAAAAAAAAAAATTGCTTGAGATTGAAAAAAAAAAATTGAAAAGATAGATTAGAGACTTAAATGTTATACAAAAATAAAATATATATAATTAAAAACATAAAACCATATTGAAAAACTTAAAGATTTGTTAAGGAAAATGTGGAAATATGTTTATTTATAAGCAAATGATGAATTGGAAGATAAAGCTAGCTAGCAGCATGAGCTGAGAGGATTACTTGCATGGACATTGCCAAAAAGAAAATAAAAAGGAATGAGAAGAAAAACAAATTCTTATCAAGAACGATTTTCTAGTCTAATTAACTCATCCACACCGACAGCCTGAAAGAAGATGTTACAATCTGTTCAAACAGCAATCACTACATGGAATAAAAGTTGAAAATTGCAAACATTATCAGAAACTGTTCTCCCTACTAAAACAAATTCTCATGAAAAAATTGGGGCCGCTGGCCAAGCCGTCCTATGGCAGTGCCGATAAAGGGGTAGATGAGAATAAGAAGGCAGCACAATATGTAATCAAAGTTTCACTTAACGGATCAACCTGCCTGTAATTTTCCCTAGTGCTTGTCTGTCGGAATGTCAAGGTCTTTGAATATTGGGCTGTCGACACCGACACCCATTGCGTTGAGGCCATTGTCAACGTACATAACCGTACCAGTGACAGCAGAAGCCAAAGGTGACGCTAAGAAGGCAGCAGCATTACCCACCTCATCTGTTTCATCAGTTTTTCAACTTAGGAATGACCATCGATGGAAGAAAATTAAGAAATCATTAAACTTAGGAGTCAGGAACAATTTAAGTTCACCTGCAGATAGTTCTTTTTGCAGGGGTGCATTGGCTAATGAATATTCAATCATGGTGTCAATAAATCCAATTGCTTTTGCAGCACGGCTTCTTAGTGGACCTGCGACGTCAAGAAAGAAAATTGAGGCAATGACACCAAAGGAGATACTTATGGAAGGTACCCCTGTTGATATCAAACAAATCCAAAACCCAAGTATGGTGTAACTTAGTGACAACTTAAACTGCACTAATCCAGAAATGGGCACAACGAACAAGGACAGTGTTCTAGCTACAAAACACATGATAAAAAAAGAAGAGCTATTTGTCCTTCCAGCTATTACAATCACGCTGCTGTTTACCCTAAGACTGGATCTAATTCATGCAAAATTACATGTAAATTGGAAGTTGAAACCATGACCGGATGAAAACACTGATTATCCGGGTCTACCATCTCATTCTCCCATAGTGGTTGGTAGAGCACCATTTATAATGGGGCACAGCGGATAGTAGCTACCTGCCAATTTAATGTATCTGATGAGGTATTGAAAATTCTTAACGCATCTAGTGATAGATAAAGAGCTACCTATGTAGAGCACTAAGTTGAGAAGTAAAATAAACAATACATCACAGAAATCATTAAGTAACATATCTAGGGGTTTTTTTAAGGAGCAGAATACCCTTAACAAAACTTTATTTTCCAATAAAGTGGTGTTACTGAACAAGATAACCCAAATTATATTCTCTGGACGTGCTTATTTGAGTAAAACTACTAGATGAAGGTCAGCACATGGCCATATCAGGAGCAGTGGTGCATCCTAGTGCTCAAGGATAGAAGACAGGCATTGGGTTCAATGGGATAGATAAATTTCCTTGAAAAATAGGAGAAATTAATAGAAAATTGATGGGCAAGTTACCCGCAGATATTGTGTTGACCCTGATTCTGTGTTTCCTTCCTGCTTCAAATGCAAGCACCTAAACAAGAATAAATAGAGTCAAGAAAATGAACATGTATATTCATAAATCAAGTACAAAGGTAGAAAGGAAATGACTACTTACTCGTGTATCACTCTCAAGTGCAGCTTTGGCAGAACTCATGCCTCCACCATATCTGCAATATGAGATTGTTTAAAACTGTCAACTATGAGAAATCGCAATTCTGTAACTCTGGAAGACAGGAAAAAAAAAAATTGACAAGACAAAAATACCCTGGAATGATTCTCTCTGAAGCAATGTATGTGAGAGAAATTGATGAGCCACCTGTACCAGCAGAAGTCCGTTTAGATTTTGTTTACATGTCTTCTAAAGAAATTAAAGATATAGCTGAAAATGCTGTAAGATTGTAGAAGAAAGAAGGCCTGCCTGGATTCATTATTGGAATGAAATGTTTGAGTAAAGAAATGTATGAGTAACTGGATGCAGATATCGCTGCAAGATATCCTTTCCTTGATGTTTCCAAAAGGGGCTTGGTAACCTATTAAGAAGATGATTTCATTGTTATGTAGAAAAGATAAAATGCATACAAGTTTTGACATGAAAATTTGTTTTACCTCTGGTCCATTGGCAAGTGAGTGCACAAGGATGTCAATGCTGCCAAAATCCTGTTTGACAGATTCAGCAACTTCCTGCAATAAACGACCATATAGAAGGTCAGTGGATAGGTAAAATCTATACAAGTTAAAATGCTAAAGAGGATGGCTAAACCACATACTGAGCGTGCAAATGTGAAAATTTTAAAAAAATTATGGTTTGTCTAGAAACTTTTAATAAGCCAATGAAACATTTGAACAACCTAAATCCTAGGGTACAAAACTAAACACCAAGATATCAAAATCTTTCATTCAAAGCCTGCAACTAAATACTGATTTATGAGTAAGGTTTTAAAATTTCGGGGCAAAGCAATCCAAGGTAAACAATTTATATCAAGGAAATGCAATACAAGGTTATTGGGTGGCTCTTGAAAGTATTCGATATGATAACAAGGGAAATGAAATTTATAGACCCATACCTGAACAGTCCACTTACTGGATCCTGCATAACGTTTATTTGCTTTCACCTGCAAGAAATAACATAAAAGCATGTTATGTCAAAAGATGTTAGACCAACCCTGCATATGATAAACAGACTATACTCTTCTTGTCCATTACATCTTCAGGTACATCCTCAGGGTTGTCAAACACTGCATCAAGGGGATATACTTTGGTGATCTCCATCAAGGAACCATCTGGCAACCTGAAGATCCCGACAATTTGTTAGTAGATTCCATTTATAAGTCTCACATTAGAGCATAATTTAAATAGCCTCTAGCTCTAGCATCTTACACACGAGATTCATCAAACTTTCCCCGTCGCAGGCTTGATTCAAAAATGTTCAAAGCCTGCAAAAGAAGCTTCCTAGTCACTACCCAAATACTTTTACATGCCACAAAAAATTTAAGCAAACTGAAAAGAAATATTCTAAAGAAGAATGGGAATTGATTTACTCACAGGCACCCATGTTCCAACCAGAATTTCAGCACCAGAAGCAGCAAGGGATTTTGCTATTGCCCAACCATACCCATTGTCATCAGCCACACCAGCAATAAATGCCCGTTTACCTAAATATTACTTGTAGTTTAGTTGATCACAGATTTGCAGAATTGCTAATGTATTCAAACGATGGCAGAAAATGGCCTTTTAGTAGTATTCAAACAACAGACACCTAAACACTAACGATCCAAGGAGAATTTTTAGATGCTCAACTTCAGTGCCAAAATAGATTTGACGAAATGTTAGTTCCACCATTTACAGAAGAAAAAAGAATGTTTTCTAGATGCTGCTTACATAATGCTAAGAGCATATACTAATAAAGGTAAGGAGTTCAGCATTCTAGCCAACAAAAAGAGAAACAAGAAAAAAAGCAAAAGTACCTCTCAAATCAATCGGCAAACCAGATACTGGCTTACTTTCACTAGATTCAGACATTGCCTTCGTCACAACCTTATTTAATTTAACTGAAGATGACATGAAAGTCCTTTGGAAAGGCTGGATAGATGATATATGAGAACCACTGGCAAGCTTAGACCATGATGCCCCTTTAGAATTGGCTCCAACAACTGCAGCACCTGCCTTAACAACTCTGCGAGAAGAGGAAATGCAGGGCCTTGCAGTTGCCATTTGAAGGCCAGAAGCCGCAGTTGCCGCCATTCTCAACAAATTAATTTTTTCGAAGAAAATAAAGACCTGCAGAATATATAAAGATCATTCTCCATGCTGCCTCACTTAAAAACCATCTCTATAATGTCATTTCAAAATCCAGCCTAGACTAAGCACTCCAAAGGTAGAAATCCATTTATGGATCATGAGTCATGAACTGTAGCATATTAATTCCTAACGTTCATCATTCTGTGTTACAAAATTTTAGCATTTGCATATTATTTTTTTCATGAAAATCACTAATTTCTTTACCAGCAATTAGGAAAAAGAACTTTCTTGGTACTCTCTATTCTTCTGATTTCTTGTCATCAATTTAAAAAACTCTCATTCCTTTGATGAACAAGGAAAAAAATTCTATGAATCCAAAAACAGGAACTAAAAATTGAATAGCAAATCAAAATACTTCACTGGAACCCCAAGCTAATGGAGCAGCAACATAAAGAGCTGAACCAAGAAAACTAACATTATGAGCTCAATACTACAATCTAAAATGTATAATTACTCAAAATCTAGAAAGAAACCATCTTTAATTTTTCAAATCACGCACAAACACCAAATAGACATAAAAACAAGCACTTCAACTTCAAAATCCACCAAATGATCAACCCTAATTAATTCAAATCTCACATTCTAACACAAATCCAACCCCCATTACAGAAAACCAAACAAATTAAAAAATATATAAATAAAAGCGCGCACACACAGAGAAAGCAAGTGAGGCCAATGTGTATGCTACCTTCGGAAAATGTAGAGAGCCAATGTGACAGACTAGCTAAACCAAGAAATGGTTTTGTTCTACAAAGCTAACAAAGAAGTGATTTTCGCTTTTGGTGAGAGTTACAAAGGAAAGGTAGAGTCTTTTTGAGAATGAAGAAATGGGGTTTTGTGGGGTTTTCGATGAGATCGAGGTTTAGTTAGTTGCAGCAGCTAAAATTTTAAGTGTCGAAAACTAAGATTGATAGAAAGCTGACTGTTCTGCTCGTTCAGTTGCTGTTTCTTTCTAGTTGAATTGCTGGTGGCTGATGTGATTGAGAGGCTAAAGATCATTACGGTCCCTTTATTTCCAAATAGGATCAAACCAAATTTCATACTTTAGTTGATGTCAAGAAAACCCTTTTACTTTAAACTTAACGTGATTTTAATCCCTTGAAATGATTTTTTACTATATTTAACAGTCAGGTGAGTCTCATGTGATGTGATTTCATTGAAAAATAGATTTATTATTGCATTTAATTTAAATTTAAGGGCTTAATTTGAGATACTTTAAAGTGTAGAATCTAATTCCATCAAATATATAAAGTAAAGGGATCATATGTGATTTTTAGCAGAATCGAGATACCAAACGATTCGTTGGTTGGGTGGAGTAAATTATAAATTAGTCCTTTTAGTTTTAAAAAATAATTAGTTAGTCCTTTTTGTAAATTTCATATTATTTTTCAATTTATTTTAATAAATAGGAAAGATAAAAAAAATAGATAGATTTTATAAAAAGATTGATGAGAAAATAGGAAAGGTTTTGGAATAAATTAATATTAAATTAAGCAGGATCAACGTTGGTCAAGGGACTAATTAATTAATTTTTGAAACTAAAGAGATTATTTAGTTCATTTAAAAATATAGAGATACTAAGTTATGATTCATTCGTGGGATTCTGGTAAGTAGTACATTAGTAGACGAGAATGTTAGGGTGATGTTTGGGCTTGCAAGGTTGGATTGATAACTTTGAACTTTGTAGGCAGCTAAAATGGGCCTACGTTTGTCAAACCTGTCCAGAAGAAAACTTTTGGGCTGGACTAGATTGGTTTGGGTTGTTGGGTCATGAACAATTCAATGTTGAGTTAAGCCCAAACCCAATGTAAAAAACTATCCAATGTTCGCATGAGATGTGCCCGAGTAAATTATAGATTAGCCCCTCTGGTTTTTGAAAATAATAGTGTCTTTAGTTTCAAAAAATAATTAATTAGTCTCTATATTTTTAAATCTATTTCTAATCGTTTATTTTCAATTTATTATCTTTTTTTAAGAGGTAAGAAATAGTAAAAAAAATGAAAGAATTGATAAAAAAATATTTTTTTAATACAAAATAATATTGATCAACACTAGTCAAGTGACTAATTAATTAATTTTTTTAAAAAAAACTAAAAAAACTAATTTATAATTTACTTTCATATATATATATATATATATTTGGAATTAGGAGAAATGTTGGGTTAATAAAAAACGTATTGTATATGGCTTGAATTTTATGAACCAATAATATATTTAGCTCATTAGAATTTTTTTCTTTATACTTATGAGGTATTTAAACCTCGTGACTCTGTTTAGAAAATAGAATGAAAGATAGAGACTATGTATTGAACTTCCATGAATTTTGTGTTTTCTTGCTATCAAGCTAATAAAACTCTAATCTCACTTGTGAAGTAGGTAATTCATCGAACCACATAAGTCATATACGTTGATAATTTATTTAACTTATATTTTAATTTTTTTCGGTGATTACTTGTTTTTTTTTTCGTTATTTATTATAACAAAATAAATAATAAAGCTTGGTGAGTGTCTCAGAGAGCAAAAAGGCTGTTCTTTTGGAGGAAACAATGGATGGTGGGAGAGGGGTCAGTGACCTAATTGAGCCATGAGATATGGACAGGTTGAGCAGTGTATTCCACCCTTGACACCTACATTTTAATTGGATTTTTATCGCATGATGAACTGTTTAGCGGTCTACCTTATAGATTTTGAGTGTCATCTATGGCCATATCTTGTGAAGGATTACAAAAATCATTTTGTTTTGTTTTCTTGTAGATATATTTGTTCCCCAGAAGGCCAAAGCGACCTGTAAACATACAGTGTAAAATGAGGGATCATAGCGCATGCAATATTAACAGTGTAATTTTTAGTGTTAATAGTAATAGTAATATAATTATTAAAGAAAGCAATTTTTGGCAATGTGTTAGCTATGTTGTAGATGATTTGTCAGCACCTAATAATAATAATAATAATAATATAAAAAATTAATCTATGTGTATGAACATTGATCCGAAAAAAAAAAATCTAATTTTAAAAGAAAAAAAAAGAATAGTATTTAATTTGTTGGTGCAGGTGACAATTTTTGATTTATTTAGTATAAGTGTTCTCCCAAAGAGGTTGTTGTTTGTAAATTTTTTTAGTACTAGAGTTAATGGTTAAATATATTTTTATATAATAAGGTAATTATTCAATTTTTTTTATATCTCTAATATTGAGGCTAATTTTATCTTTAATATAAGTTTATTTTTTTAATTTATTATTCTAGTAAGATTTTAAAGTTAAATTATCGAATTAGTCATGTGATTAATTTGCACATGAAATCTTGTATTTATTCGGATTGTAAAAATATTTTAAAAATAAAAAATTAGCATGTGCCAACTGGCAATCACGTGATTAATGCTGATGGTTTGACCTAAAAATTATGTCAAACCAATAAATGAAAAAGTTAATATTTATTTAAAAATAAAATTGACTTGATTAAGTATATAAAGAGAAATTAAGCCATTAATCTTTAATATTATTTAAAGCCAAATCAAAAGTATGGCTAAAATTGATTTGAAAACTTAATTAACACACATCAGCTGCCCATTAATATTGTCAAATCCATTAATTAATTTCAAATATAACATTATTGCATAAATTTATCATGGTGGAAATTTTCATCTTCCCCGTCATGGATCTCTCAAAATCACATCCACTTATGAATTAATATATTTATTTCTAATCATCAATAAGATTTCTAATGTTTATGACACCATCCACACTGCGTTCAATCTAAAATGATAATAGTATATATAGTATTAATTAATACTATAAATCATGATCACGTGCACTCATGATGATTTTATCTGCATGTGTTCTATCCTCACTAATTATTTCATACTAAATTAAATTATTCGGGTGTTTATATATATATTAAAAATTAAGGTATTTTTTTGACAAATTTTTACGTCAATATTTTAAAATTCTTATCTAGTTAGTCTTAGATAAACAATCTACAGCCATATTGATATATTCGTGAGATCTTTTTTTCTGAAAACCATCTCTTACATATTCTAACATACAGTGTTCTCATATTATTAATTTTTTTTTAAAAAATGCACTACTTTAATTTCTTAGGTCACCCAAATCTTTCTCACTATGCATATATGATTGTTTCTAATGAAAATCTTGTGACAGTGTTCTTATATTATATATATTTTTTAAATGCACTACTTTAATTTCTTAGGTCACCAAATCTTTCTTACTATACATGTATGATTGTTTCTAATGAAAATCTGCTGACCTAAATTGCACAAGCTCCATTTGGTTATGGAGCCAACAAAATCCCAGAGGTCAAAAATGGATATTGGGAAATGATTATGACCTTTAATTTGTCGTCTTGATGAACAATGACATCCCAATAAAGGCGGCAAAAAGGAGAGCAAAGTGCATGGCTAATACACGTGAAAATGAGGTTATATATAGAGAGAAATTATATAATATAATAATCAAGATATACACTCCAATATATTCTTATATTTTTAATTATATTTATTATGTTTTTTAATAATATTTAAATTTTCAAAATGTTTTTTTAATCAATTTTTTTTATGATGAGCAAATTGTTATCCTAAATATCAAAAAAAAAAAAACTTAAAAAATAGAACATGCAGATTATGTGACTTTAAATTATTTTTATTTTTTTATTTCAATCAAAGGTATTTTGATAAAAAAAATATCATTGTTAGAAAAATTGATTGAAAAGAAAAATCAGAGACTTAATTTTATCTAGTTTGAGAAATGAATTATTTAGTTTATTTTTTAATTTTAAAAATTAAAATTTTAGTCAATTTTGTCAATTTGTTTTTGTTTTAAAAAAGAAGAAAAGAAAAAATTGATGTGATGAAAAGATTGATGATAAAAAAAAAAATAGAATGAAATAATATTAAATTAAATGTATTCAATATTCATAAAAAGATTGAATAATTAATTTTTTTTAAAAAATAATTAATTTGTTCCTCAAAACTAGAGGAGCTCATTTATAATTTACTCTTTCCACCCGAAATTTTGTAACAGAAATTCCAAGTTTAATCACTAGACTATCCTCTAGAACTTGATCGAAACAAGTTTGACGAAGACAATAGTTACGCATTGCCAGCAAAGGAGAAATCAAATTCTAAGATTTTGAAAAGGTAACGAGTCACAACAAGTGAGTAAATTATAAATTAATCCTTTTAATTTTACAAAAAGAATTGAATAGTGTTTTTTATTTTAAAATTGAATATGATTAATTTAATACTATTTTATTAAAAAACATCCCTAATTTTTTATCTGTCTTTTTATACTTTCTACCTATTTTTTACCATTTTTTTTATTTCTTAAAACAAAAGAATAAAATAAATAAATAAATAACTACAAATAGATTTAAAAACATAAAAATTAATTAATTAAATTTTAAAATAAAAAAGTTATTTAATTTATTTTGCAAAACTAAATGCATTAAATATAATTAATTTACTCCACAACAAGTGGTAGGCAATATCCCAATCGGGTCTAAGTGGGCGACAGCTTATCTAATGATAAGATGAATTGAAATGGACACTCCTAAATCGTTTGATTTGATAAGTCATGTAGTTGCACAGTGTATTATATATGGCCCTGTCCTTATCGCTTTTTCAGCTTTGTTTTTTTGCCGTGAAATCACCAAGTTCCTCTCCTTATTCTTTCGTAATTTTTTCTTCATGTGTAAACATATTTTCCATTGAAGATTCATTTTTAATAGTATTAATTCTTAAGAAGAGATGAGGTTTTATTGGATTCCACAAATCAAATATTTCAATGAGAAAGAAAAAACATATTTTAGCACAAGATTCAAAATCTGCGTAAAGAATCAAACTCGATAGTAATTTTATATTGGATAAATTTCAAAAATAAAAGTTATAAAGTCTAATTGAAACAAATCAAACGTGTTAATTGAAATTAAAACAACACATAAAGCGAAAAAAAGAACAATTAAATTTACTAATTTTTTTAAATTTTGTTCTAACGGAATATCAAATGATTCTCGAGATATGCAACAAAGGATAGTTTTTCTTATCCATAAATCTCATCCCATCTTTTCAGAATTCTAACATGAGGTTTCTAAACCAAAATCCCAAATCGAAACCGGTGCACTAGATCCTCTGAGTAACCAAGTACAATAGAATATTAATCTTTCTGTAAACAAAGGTAATTAATTTTTGATCTAGCCAAATGACCTTGTAATCTCGAAGACATATACAAGCAGCCAATGGAACCTAACCCTTTACGTTAACAAGAGTTCGGGGTTCAAACTTGAAGCTCAGATTGAGACACAATTGGCTAAAGCCCTAATTGAGCCGTCTTCTTGTCACTTAATGCTCACCCCAAAAAGCCTAAGCTCTTTTTCCTTGACCTTGTTTTTTGATTCCAACTTGCTCAACCCTTTCTCTTCTTTCAATCCTTTGCCATCTTTTTGTACCTTGCTTCTCATGTTCTGCCTCAAACTGACTTCCAATTCTCTTCGCATATCCTCTATTTGGTTAACCCCATCAAGCTTACCACTTTGTTCATTGTAATAAATTATATCAATTAAGGAAAATTTTTGGTCTTGAGCATGCTCTTGTGCCTTATAATTTGTGCACGCACATGTATAAAACGTAATGATATCCTTTTCCTTCAATTTTTTCTCCTTAACAAACCTATTCCAACCCTTTGTGAAAACAAAGCTTTGGCTACTTCTCCAATAGCAGTATCTAAATTTCCAAGACTTCATCAACCTATCATAAAATATGAGTTCTGTGTCTTCTACGCCAGCATTTAGTGGTGCCCCATCACCTTCAACGTTTTTTAAAATGTAGGGCAAATACTTAACTGCAAATTTTTTGGGTATCACAACTCTATTAAGCTTACCTACATCGCTAGGAGTTAGTTCCTTTTGAAAAAGTCGTATGCATGAAAATTGTTCATCACCATGCACCATCCTTCCATTGAGACCATCACCACTTCCACCAATTTCTTCTCTCTGTGTTTGTTTTCTAAGAAAATCCTCAAAATTCTGTTGATAAGATCCATCTCTAATCATGTTCAGAATTGCTTCTGTGCTATATTGGTTCTGAAAATTAGGCTCTTGAATATTCCGGTCCGTCCACGGAAAATTTCGATGTAAATCAGTGCTTCGAAGCCTTATGGCCATACTATCATAGGCCATAGCTGCTTCTTTCTCAGTATTGAATGTCCCTATCCAAATCCTTTGATGGTTTGCATATATTTGTGCACCCCAATGTCCATTTTGCTGCTGAACAATGCCTTTCAATCTTGCTACATTACCATTGCTATCATGCCTTCCTCGTTTCTTGCTTCTGCGAAACACACGATCGTGCTGACAAGAATTTGAATCCGAAGTTTCGACGACGATGATAGGCTTTCTGGCATTTGAAACCATGCTTGATGATGCTTCTTCTTCCATTGAAAATGATCCAAGTGGAAAAATTAGGGCATATAGAATACAGTGGTAGCTAGGGAGGTGAAAAAAAACTCATAGGAGTAATATCACTCTTTTTTGATAATGAAATAACTCATAATACTTGAAGAGAAGCAATTTGATACGATTGTTAAGGAAGAAATCGAGGGATAGAATTGTTTGAGCAAAAGAACAAATGTGGTAACAAATTTATCTATATAGGATCAGTAAATATTCCAAGACACAAACATTTGTAAGGTTGTCTTTGGGAAACTAAACAAGTTGGGTATAATTTGACAGCAAATTCAAACAAATTGCATTTGTAAGAACAACTAATTTGATTGCAACATCTTTTAGAACATTCCTGCAATACCTTAATTTAGACAAATTTTGTTCAGTTTGTTGCTACTAATTGGAAGCTTGCTTGCATATCTTCAGCTTTCATGAGACCCCTGAAGGATTGATATATAAATGACAACTTGGCTGCTTATGTAGAATGATAGAATCCTTACATAAATACTGAGTAATCAGGAGTCTTCCAACTCAACAAAACAGAAGTAGTTAAGAGTGTAAAAACTGAAAAAAGAAAGTTCTTCTATTTATAACTACATTTAAATTCCAAAAATCCAAATAGTTAGGATACAGGGGAGTAAATTATAAATCCACCCCTCTAAATTTTATGAAACGAATTAATTTGTTTCTTTATTTTAAAAACTAATCATTTAGTTCTGATATTATAAATTTTCTTGTAACTTAACCATTTTTGTCATTTTTAATTTATTTTAATTTTTAAGAAATAGAAAAAGAAAAAAATTATGAAATAATTGATGAGAAAATATGATATATATATATATATATATTTTTATCAAATAAAGTAATATTGGGTGCGGTCAATATTGGTTAATGACTAAATAATTAGTTTTTAAAACAAAGAAGATTAATTAATTTATTTTTAAAAAATAGAAGGACTAATTTATAATTTACTAAAAAATGAAGGATAAAAAAACCAAAATTAATAGGCTCATCCTTTGTTTACTTAATTTAGGATTAATTTTGTGTTTTGTTGACATATATACCAGTCTGTTAATATTTTTGTTTTGTTGTTCAATAAAATACTATTGATCAGTTGAGTCCAGCACCCTTACCTAGTCTGTCAATAATGCCATGAATCATTTTTCTTTTAGAAACAGCTGAATGTAACAAAAATAGATTTTGCTGAATTAATTAACATGGAATTAGCACTCTCACAACACTGTTAGTTATTTTTAATTACGTATACCATGATTTACCTGTCTACTACATGGTAAATATTGTTTCTAAACATGCCGAATTAAAGCTTTGAGTTAAATTTTGACTCATAACATGATCTAATGTAACGTAATGTAATTATCTCCATTTATTAAAATATAAAATTATTAATTAACTCATATCAATTTGTTGGTCAAAAATATGCCAAACTTCATTAGTCATTAGTGACTTGTTACGTGTGTGTTTTTGTGTGTGTATATATATATTGGTTCATCAAGAAGTTTGTGGGTCTCAAGCTACATAACGAGAATAACCATCTTCAGTCACATAATAATAGGAGTGAGTATTTTGTTTTTCTGTTTGATTTTTCATAATTTCGGTTTGATTTTCAGTTAATCAAATTTACAAAACTAAAAACAAATCCAAACCGAAGTACAATTCGGTTTTTGGTTTTTTTGATTTAAACCATTTTTAAAAAAATTAATATACATAGATAAAAAACGCCATCAATTCATTTATGTGTATAATAATGTTAGAGTATTGACTTTTTAGTTTATTTACATTATTTTAAACTTAAAAAAATTAAGAAACAAAAAAAAATTGATTTTTGATTTAAACCGAACTAAAAATTCCAAAAATCAAACCGAACAAAAAAAATCATTTTTTTTAGTTAAAAACCAAACTAAAATTAGCATTTGAGTTCAGTTTTCGATTTAAATATAGTAGTGCTCATCGCAGTATAATAACCAAATATACTGGAGTTATTGGATTCACATTCTTCGCTAAAAGAAGTTATAGATAAGCATGCAATTACTAAGTTCTGTCTGCTTATATAGTAAGTAAACTGTTGTCTATATTTTTAATCTTATCCATCTATATTATCATTATATATATATATATATTTTTTATAATACTTAATGAGTAATCAATATAAGTTGTCCCATAAAAAGAGACTAACACAAAAATGAAAGAGAAATAAGAACGAAAAAATTAAAAAAAGAAATTTGAGTCATTATTGAAATTTTCTTATTACTTTTGATAGATTTGAATGTGATTTTTTTTTATGTGTCTATTTCTTTTCTAAAAAATAGACTAATGAAATAACTATCATATATATACACTAATTAACAAGATATATAATCATCCTCAGATCGTAAGATTTTTGAAACAAATATCTACCATGCATTAAGCTAGCGCATTACGTACCTATCAACAATAATTAAGTTAGTCCATTCCTATCAAAACACTAACTAATTTTCCTATTAATTTCCTTACCTCTTGACTTATCAAAACCCTAACTAATTAATTTTCCTTTCCTTATCAAACCATCTCTCCACCTATTAAAAAGTTATCAATCGTTAGATCAATATCCAATGGCCGGAAATAGCTTAATTAATTAATTAGCTAGTATCCAAAGAGAACTACCCTAGAGTACAAACCCTATTTAAAGAAAAATGTTCATAAGAAATTGGCAAAATTTAAAATATTGAAGAATTAAATAATAATAATTATTCCATTGATCTATTTTGAGATCAAGGCCGATATAAAGAAGAAGAAAAAAATTACATCCAACCCACCAAAAATGATATAAATATTTCTAATAATACTCATTTTTTATTTTTATAAATTTTCTCTTGCATTTCTGATCTGTCTCTCTTTTTATGTGCGTATGTATTTCTCTCTATGCAATAAGCATTATTAGTTACTCTGGGTAAAGTAAAATTTCTCAAAAATTAAAATGTTTTTTAAAGGTATTTTTGTTATTTGCTTTTTCAGGCGTAATTTATTGTCCATCAATAAATTATAAATTAGTCCATCTAATTTTAAGAAATAAATTAATTAGTCTCTCTTATTTCAAAAACTAATTATTTATTCTCTATATTTTAAAATTTTTTTGTGTAACTTAATCCTATTAGTTCATTTTCAATTTATTTTGATTTTTTTTAAGAAATAGAAAATAAAAAAATAAGTAAAAAAATATATATAGAAGAATTGATGAAAAAACATGATATTGTTTTTAATATTAAATCAAACATAGTCAACACTGATAAAAAATAAATAATTAAGTTTAAAACACAAGTGACTAATTGATTTGTTTCTTAAAAATAGAAGAATAGTTTCTAATTTACTCTTATTAATTAACGACGTACTAATTCATGATAACTTGTTAACGGTCTATAGCCATTTGTTTTTCGAAGAAAAATAAAAAAAGGCAGTGAGAATTTTCTAGGCACATCTAAACAAAAAGATCCGTTTTAATTTCTTGTGTACAACTGGTGATCAAAGAAATTGAAAAAGAGTAGGAGTAGGAGTTTTATTAGGAATTAGTTAGCAATATAGAAGACTAATTCCTCGACTTAATGAAACTAACTTAGCGTTATTTAAGGATGACTTCTTAATTGTTAAGATAATCCCATTACTATATAAACTCTCCTTTCCTCTCCCATTCTCTCTACCGTTCAAAAATACTTCAATAATTTTCTTGGCTATCGACACTAGCTAGCTAGGTTTTCATTTTTTGTGAGTGTGATATGAAGGAAATAGTTTATCAAAAACCTAAGCATTAACACATTGGATATTGAGAGTGATTGAGGCCATTGGCCAGCTTTGTTTATCTTTTAAACATAAATGACAATAGGGTTTCTTGGATTTTCTAGCTTACAAGCAGCAAGTCTTATCGACACACGTTCTTCGCCATCACCAGAATCCGGTATAATCATTGGTACCGCACGTTCTTCCCCATCCCAAGAACTCATCACAATCCCGGAGAAATTTAAGTTGTCCTTGGTCAAGTTTCGTAAAAGGTTTGTCATTGTATTATTGTGCGATTATACATTAATGAATATCCTAGTCTGGCTGTTCCTTATTCAGATAAAACATTGCATGTTGATTATCAAACACTTCAAGCTTATCTAATTACTTAGAAAGTTGTCAAAGATCATGTCATAGATTCTATAATGCAATGTAGTCTATTTTCATGGTCTATATATATATAGAATTAGCAAGTGGGAAGAAAGACATGGCATGGGTTTTTTTTGGATTTTCAAGCCAATTTTATTTTTACTATAATTGGCTCCTTTTTTTTTTTTTAAATAATCTAATGGAATTTGCATCTAAAGGATTGTTCTTATTCTTATCCTATTTTTTGTTTACATTATTGATAAGAACACTTAACAACAAGGCTAAAAAATAGAATTGCGTATAAAGCTTATTTCTTCTTGTCCTTATCTATACTTTTGCTGGATAATGGTTCTACTTTTGTTGCTTATCCCGTTTTCTCAAAATATGGCAGAAAAGAAATTGTCTTCTTCCTACACTTACACAATTATGCATGTACATATTGACTTGGATTTTTTTTTTTTTTTTACAAGAAGGGAATATTTTTAAGAAATTCATACTTCCCACATCGAACAAATGTTATAAGTGCATTTCACATTCTTTTTTTATCAATAGTTGTCTTAAAGTTGGAGCATGTTAAAAGTTTTATAAATGTTTTTCTTCATAAAGATGACTAAATTGAAAAAATATTTGTCAATAGAATGCAAAAAGTATATATAGTGTTGAGGACTGCTACTTATGCATGGTGATGAATTAATTGGAATTTAATTATGAATGGATAACACTGAGAAGAAAGTGAAATTGAGGAGAGATTATCAAATGACTTGGTGAGGACTAAGGAAGGAGATGGTGTCTTTTTCACATGAAAGTAATATCCCACTGGCCTGATCTGATCATGGAAAAAATGACCAAGTTTGTGGCACACACTCTTCCAAGCTCACATCTCTTCCCTATTCCATTTTCCACCTATATTTTCTTCGTCAATAGCAATAATAAAGTATGATGAAAATGACATGCACCCTCCACTCTATAATCCTCCCTTTGTTTTCCTATAAATTGAACTCTCTTGCACCACAATCTTAACCATCTTAATTTCTCATTTGCATTTAACTTCTTCTCCTCCTTTTGTTTCTCCTTTTATCTTATTGTTTTTGGATTTTGGTGAGTTTTCTTTTTGACCTTTTAGTTTATTTCTTATTTTCTTTTTGTTGAACATGGCCATGCATAAAGTCTTAACGTCCTATGTTACTTGCCATTACATTATATATGTGTGTGCTCTTTTCTATATATTTCCTTCAAATTCTGCCGATCAATTCATATCTTTGTTCCATCTCTGACCAATTTCTGATCATATTTTGTAGAACAAACATTCAATTGCCACTATGGATTCTTTCCCTTCCACCAACCTTGCGCTAAAGGTTAGCAAAATACTAAACTATGTCAAATAAGAAGTAGTAAATACTCTTGTCCTACCACGTTTTTGAATTTTATTTTTTGCTGTAAACAGGTGACAGGAGAAAGTGTGATCTCTACAGAAAATGTGGCAGAGGACAGAATCAGACGTGAGGAAGAACAGGAGATTGCTAACAATAAGCGTTCCGTTATTTGGAAGAGATCTGGAGGGTGGAAAGCGGCAACCATCTTGCTAGGTATTAATAACCAAAAATAAAAAATAAAAAAAACTTGTAAATTTTTATTGTGTAACTAATTATGGCTTGTGAAAAATGTGATTGTTTAATGTTATTTTTGTTTTCTACTTCATTCTGCTGCAGCAAATCAATGCCTGAGTACACTAGCTTTCTTTGGAGTTGGTGTGAATTTGGTGCTGTTCTTAACAAGAGTTCTTGGTCAAAGTAATGCTGATGCTGCCAATAATGTCAGCAAGTGGACTGGCACAGTTTATATGTGCTCACTCATTGGAGCTTTCCTCAGTGATTCCTACTGGGGCAGATACTTGACTTGTGCAATCTTTCAGCTAATATTCGTCTCGGTATGTTTTCCTTTTCAGAAGTTGAAATCTGAATTTATTTTTGTAATTTTGATGTGTTTTGCTAACCAATGTGTATGTTAATTAGGGGTTGGTGCTGGTATCGGTATCATCCTGGTTTTTCTTGATCAAACCAGAAGGATGCGGTAATGGAGCATTAAGCTGCACGCCGGCATCATCAATGGGAGTAGCTATTTTCTACTTGGCTATATACTTAGTAGCCTTTGGATATGGTGGACACCAACCTTCTATAGCCACATTGGGAGCTGATCAATTTGATGAGTCGAAACCGAAAGAGAGAAATTCTAAGGCAGCTTTCTTTTGCTATTTCTATTTTGCACTCAACTTTGGATCGCTATTCTCGAACACCCTTTTGGTGTATTTTGAGGATCATGGCAAATGGACCCTAGGTTTCCTGCTATCATTAGGTTCTGCAGTCTTAGCCTTGGTGTCATTCTTTTTTGGGACACCTGGTTACCAGTATGTAAAACCTTGCGGCAACCCTTTGCCTCGAGTTGCTCAGGTGTTGGTGGCTGCAGCTAAGAAATGGGACGTTATCCCGGCGAAACCTGATGAACTGTATGAAGTAGAAGGACCGGATTCTGCTATCAAAGGGAGCAGAAAGATTCTTCACAGTGATGATTTCGAGTAAGTGCTGGTTATCCTACTTTAGATTAATGAATATTATTCTTCAAAGTGTGTTAGTAGCTTAATAAAGCCTTAATCCAATTATTTAGTCATCCATATTTTTCTTCTTATGAGACTAACCACATATAGATCAGATTACTGAAGTGGTCATTTTTTCAAGGCAAAGCCACATGGAGATAAGGCTTGATCTATAAGGTTGATAGCCATAATTTTTGGTCTTAAGCATGCCAGGAAAGGGACTGGCAATTGATTTATGATTTCTAATTTTGTTTCTTTTTTAATGTTTGGTCAGGTTTTTGGACAAGGCAGCAACAATGACAGAGGAGGATCTAAGTCACGAAAAGAATCCATGGAGGCTTTGCACAATAACTCAAGTAGAGGAAGCCAAATGTGTTCTTAAAATGTTACCTATTTGGCTGTGCACTATAATTTACTCCGTTGTCTTCACACAGATGGCATCCCTCTTTGTTGAGCAAGGAGATGTCATGAATTCCTTTATTGGAAACTTTCACCTACCAGCTGCTAGCATGTCTTTCTTCGATATCTGCAGTGTCCTTGCTTGCACCGGAATTTATCGCCAAATCCTCGTGCCATTGGCCGGAAAGTTGAGCCGTAATCCTAAGGGCTTAACTGAGCTTCAGAGGATGGGAATTGGACTCATCATTGGAATGCTAGCAATGCTTGCAGCAGGTGCTACGGAGATTGAAAGGCTCAAGCATGCCACTGAAGGGCAAAAAGTTAGCTCTTTAAGCATATTTTGGCAAATTCCACAGTATGTTCTTGTTGGTGCATCTGAGGTTTTCATGTATGTAGGTCAATTGGAGTTCTTTAATGGGCAAGCACCAGACGGGATAAAAAGTTTCGGAAGCTCACTTTGCATGGCTTCAATCTCTCTTGGCAACTTTGTCAGTAGCATGCTGGTCAATATGGTGATGAAGATTACAGCTAAAGGTGACCAACCTGGATGGATCCCAGATGACTTGAACACAGGCCACATGGACAGGTTCTACTTCCTGATTGCAGTGTTAACAGCCTTTGATTTTGTGATTTATTTGTTCTGTGCCAAGTGGTACACGCCTATCAACCTTGATGACAGCCAGAAGGGCATTGAGATGGAAAAGCAAGAGGGTGATGTGCTTGCAAGAGTTTAATCAGCTAGACCTTGATTTGAACCAAAGTAGGAGGCTAAGATGTCTCTCTCCAACTTTGTCAAACCATCACCAGCTTCTTGTTGGTTATTGCTGGTTTTCATTTTCGTTTCTAACTTTAGAATGAGTGCTTTGGGATGACTCATTTCCACAAGAAGAAAGCATGACCTTTGCTTGTTCAGGAATGATTGCTTTCTTCTTCTGGTTGTAGGATTTCGTAATATTTGTTACAAATAAGTCAGGCAGATCTTGATTAGGTTCTGTCAATGGAATGCAATGTAATTATTTATATCTTCCTTATGAAGTATATTTGTTCATCAGATTCTCTGCATTGTTTTCTAAGGTTCTGCATATTAGGGAAAATGATTAAGACTATGGCTTTTCTTGATCAGGATTAAAACATTGTTAATTTGTGTTTTCCCCTCCCTTGATTCCTTCAAACTTGGATTTATTTTATATTGCAACATATGACCCACAATGTCACCAAAATTGACCTAATGGCCGCGATGCGGTTTTTGGCCAGTCTGCACCTACCTCAGACGCAGTATGTTGAATTCTAGGAAGCAAATCCACACAAAGCAATTTGGTTTAGGAGTCAGATAATTAGTGGAACTGAAGTGCCACAACACAGTAACTTGCGTGTCAATGCTCCATTCTGCAATAGCTTTCATGTCTTTTTAATGGTTTTCACGTCATGTTTTTGAAGGGGACAATAAGCTGAGGAGAGGAAATTGACAAGTTTCTCACAGAGATTGATCCAAATGTCTGCTAAACTCGAAATGGCCTTATGTTTAAATCAAATAATTTCTGGACTCGTTGCTTTGCCTTTGATATCAACTCTTCAGAATCACTGTACCCAAGATTATGACAACATTGTAGCGACAGATTGATCAGCACACATCCTAGATCAATCACGCACCGCGAGCTCATCCCATGTCACCAGGCTAGACCCATGTGACCGACACTCACGCGTCCGCGCACACGTAAGCACACAGGTAACAGTCATGGGTGCTTCATCATAGCTTCTACATCGATGTGTCGTCTTCCTATGACGTGACTTAGGGCATTAGGGCTAGTTTGTTTCTTGTGCTAGCAGAAAGATATGACATGGGGCATTAGGTTACACCAGACCAAAAATGGATATTTTAGACGGTTTTTTTTCTTATACAAACGGTTTATATATAACGTCTCAAAACTGTCTGTAATGTCATCGTCTCTAAAACGCAACGACAATTTTTCTAATCGTTCTTAGAAAATTTTGAGACGATTTCTTAGAGACCAATTATGTATATTCCTAAAAATATAGAAGTGTTTAGTCTATCATCTATGTATTAATAGTCTTTATCATATGATTCTCTTCTATGAAGAAGGAAAAAAAAAAAAATAGAGAAATTCATACCAGAAGATGAAAAAGAGGGACTTCCTTTCAGGAATGACTTCGGACAAAGCCTAACAGAATCCACAACTTGGATCATGTATCTCAGTCTTGGCTCAACTTGTCCCATTTTCTTTCAGATTCTTTAAAGAGCAAAAGAGAAACCTATCTCTTTAAAGAATGGACAGAAACTGGTCATGGAAGTGATAGACAACGAAACCTTACCTAAGAACTAGGACAAGTTGACCTAAGTTAGTGTTAACTGCCGACTCAACACCATGAAGCAAGAACAATGGCATTTATTTAAGGTATGATTGGCTATTCTTTGCTTGGCTTGATGGGCTCTGCTCAACACCAAGAACATGACGGGCCTCGTCTATGGTGGTTGGCTTATCTACTATGTGATGGGGCATTTGCCATTTTAGTTTTCAACAGGCTATTTGTACCATTCTGCTATTTGGTGCACTCATTTTCTCACTGGAAGATTTTCAAAATTTCACTCATTGATCTGAAATGTTCTCTATTAAATTTCAAAGCTATCCACATCCAAGCTATAGTATCCTAGGACAAAAATCAATTAAAAACGGGTCATGGTCAAAAAGTAATTTTTTTTATATCACATTGTCATCATATTGCCAATATATATTACATATATTTACCATCAATATATTCTAATTTCATTGTTCATCAATAACATGATCAACCATCGAACAACTCGTTCTAAAGGCTGGTTTTAAAATTTAAATTTAAAATAAAAATATAAAAAAAGTAATTTTTTTTTTTAATTCTTGGACCAATTAATATTAAGATTAATCCGCCTTTATTGAAAAATAAAAAGGATTTATCATTCGTCTATTAAAAAGAAATTAAACACTATATAAAATAAAAAAAACATCTTTTTTAAAATATAACTCATATAGTAAGTAGATTTGTTTCTCACGTTATTATTTTAGTTCAAAATTTAAGGAAAAAAATGTTGAGAATGAATTTTTTTTTTTTTGGTGAATGTATTAATCTTAATGCAGACGATGCATTTGCCTAAGATCGAGAAATGTCTGAAAATAACTTAAGCGTTAGACCAAAAAAAAAAAACCGAGTACGATTAAGAGCGAATTTATTAGGCCTGAAAGCCCAACAACAAAAATCCATCAATTCATTTGGGCTTAGCCTCAACAAAAAGCTACCTAAAAAAAGCCCAACGTCAGTACCATTCTCCGCATTCCACTCGAGCTGACATTCCCGCTTCTTCCATTCTCAAGGCAAGACTAAAAGCCTCCGATTCTTCACCTTCGATTCCTCAAAAAGAAAAGTTACCAAAAAAAAAAAAAAAATGCCACAGCCACCGTCTGCACCACCGCCACCAGAACTGGTGGCGAAAAACAGATTCTTAGGGTTTCTAATTTGGCAAACCTTCGCTTCCACCACCATTTACTTTTTCACAAAACTCTTCCTGCTCTGCTTTTTTACCACTCTTAAATTCTCACCATCTCAACTTTTTCTTTCACTTCTCAAAATTTTTACTTTTACCTTCTCTAACCTTCTCTTCTCTTCTTTTCAATCTATCCTCTCCTCTCCACAACCTCTCCCCTCCGCGTCTCCGCTCCAGCTCGCCGTCGGTCTCGTCCGCTTTGCATTTGTGTCTTCGCCTGCGGAGCCTGAGTTCCGCCGCCGTGCGTTGGTTTCGGCGAGATTTGTGGTGTTTGTGGTGTTTGCTGGGGTATCTGGGGTTTTGTCAGTGGTGTGTTTTTGTGGTTCTGATGGGTTTGAGCTGATTACGAGATTAGGGTTTAGGGGTTTTGTGTTTGGGGTTTTGTATGGGTTGTTTTATGTTTATAAAAGAAGATGGGTTTTGGATTTTCCGATCATTCAGGTCAGTGACTGTTGCTAATTTTATTTTTTATTATTTTATTTTATTTTGTTTTTGCTGTGTTAGTTTTGTTGATAAAGTTGTGATCTTGATGTTTGAATTGGATTGTTATTGAAAATGAAATATGGGTTCTTGATAATGTGGAAGATCAATCCAAGTGAGTGTGGCATTTTGTTAATTTCTACCACTTTTTTTAAAGATTTTTATTTTTGGGTTGGTTGTTAATGTGAATGTTTGTTGAAAAAGTTGTGTTCTTGATGTTTGAATTGGATTGTTATTGAAAGTGGATTATGGATGTTTGATGATGTGAAAGACCTATTTGAGACTAGAGTCGTAAGGTGTTAATTTTTGTTGATAAAATATAAGGTCTAGCCATGTTATTAAGACTGAAATTTGGGTGCTTTTTGATTATTTGATTGAAGACTTGTATCGGATTAGTGAATGTAAAGGGTGAGACTTTGTAAACTGTTTTTGAAACATATTTTGTGTCGCTTAGAGATGCAAGTTATAATTTTCACTGCAAGAGTGCTTACAAGTGTGGTTTTATAAGAAGGATGAGTTTTGGATTTTCCAATTATTCAATCAAGTATCTGTTGTTGTTTAATTGGTTGGTTTCTTTTTATGCTAATCTATTGGTGGTACTCTTTTAGTTATGGGATCTGTGATTGCTGATTTTTTTGTTGGCTTCATGGACAGCGTCCTCTTTTCTACAGCTTCAAGATGGGACTTCCTTTGGCTATTAAACGAGCTATAAAGCTTTCGAATGCAGCTTACTTATTCTCAGCCGTGCTGCTAGTGTTTCTTCCAGAGCAATTTAAGAGTGGAGGGACAATGGGGCAGTTCATCACCGAGCAGATCATTCTGTATGTTGGGAACTTTTCTGTGGTTCTCTGTTGGGAATTGAGTCACCATTTACATCAGGTTAGTATGAATGCCCGTATAGTTTTTATGTCACTATTTAACAAAAGCCATTCCATGTATCGTAACTTAAATAAGTCAATGAACCAAAAAGCTACATAACTTTGGCTTTCATGCTTTATAGTTTATCACCCTGAGCTATCTGATTTCTATTTATATTTCTTTCTTTACTGGACAAGTAAAAGAGTACAAAAGAAGTAAGAAACTATTTTTTGTGTGACTGTGGAATGTCCAATGCACTTTGCTTGGAGAAAATTTAACTGAACGTCCAACCATATTTTTCTTTTCTTCCCTGGACAGTTAAAAATAGTTTCTTAATAGTATACAATTTTTTTTTTAATTTTTTGAGGAAGCTAAAAGAACACAGTAATGATAAAAATCTTGGGTTTCCATTGACACTATTACAGGTTTGAGTTTTTGAAAAAGCAGCCACTGAAGAATTTGTCTGTCTTCAAATGCGTCTTCTGAATATCCTGCTTCAATGAGAGAATAACTCTTTAATGGTCTTGTCAATCTAAACAGAACATAAATAGCAAACCTTTAGTTCAGCAATGATTGCCACTCATTGATCCTTATTCAAGCTGCAGGGATTTTTATCCTTTTGTTTTTTAATCTTTATGGATCAGATTAGAAATAATCTTGCAATAGGGCTCCATATAGAGCGACTTTTTCATCTTATTATTTCTGTCAGTCTGCTCCATATGTAGTCTGCAGTAGACTACGTATGGAAGATCTTCCTTTTCTGGTTCTGCTTTCTAACATTTCTTCCTCTTGCAATAGTAAGAATCTTCTCACTGTTGCATTAGTTGCAATGAAAATAACTTTGCAGATGGCTATATGTTCGTGTTTTGGTGTGTTGCTTCGTTTGGATCATAGTGTAGTAGGTTTTTTGTAGATATTACCTCTTACTTTCGAAGATAATTGGCAACAATTGTCTATCTCCTCCCAAACCCTACTTCTTTTGACACCTTGCTGTTATTGTGAAGGTGCTACACACAAAAAGGTTCTTGTTTGCACCGCCAAAAGGTTCTGCAGCAGCAGAGACAAATCCCAGCGAGCCTCTCCTTGCAGCCCTTGAGGAGAGCATTCCAGATTCTCTTCCACAGTATCTTGCATATCTTGATCTCTGTATGGTTTGTGAGAATAATGTAGACACTTGGCGTCGAGCTGCATTTTTTGAAGAAACTGGTGAAACTTACAGAAGAGTTGTTGCTGCATGCTTGAGGCCTCTGGAACAGCTTACATCTAACTTGAGTGAAGGCTTGGAAGTTGACAAGGTACATCAACTATCCAATCAATTGCAGTCGCCAACTGACCCTCAACTGGATTCGAAGCATTGTGAACTACTAAACAACTTCCAGGTATTGAAAGTTGGTGCTGATGACATTGAATTCTATTAAAATATTCTGCTTTTTATATGTTTGTTGTAGTTATTTCACATTTATTTTGTCCTAAACAAATCACTATTGCAGATAACATTTCAACGTTTGAGTATCTCAATATGCATGTTGGGCAGCTAGTATCTCTGGTTTTTTAAGTTTTATTTATAACTAGGTTACCCAGCTTCTTGCCTGATGCAGCAGAACCTGTAGCAATGCATCTGATACTTTCAAATAGAGTTCAAAATTGATTTCAAAATTAGACGGTAGAAATTTGTTCGAATAGCATATTGATAGAAGAAATCTCTTGTACTGCAAGTGGCCTGTGATTGAAAATTTTCCCACCTTATGTGAATTATTGTACCAATATGAGTACTTTAGACAATTTAACAATGGATTTCAATTCGTGCAGAAGTATGCATGGTGTGCCAGGGCAGTAGCCTCCTTGACTGCATGGTCACATGAGGAGGACAAATTTGGGGTTGCGCAACTCACTGGTAGCAATGCTGCTGTTATCTCAACACTTATCTCTAGCCTCCTTGCTGTTGAAGCTTTCATGGGGAAGAAGACAAGCTTGCAACCCCAACAGTTGATGGGGCCAGCTGCTATTAAATGGAATTCTCCAAACACGGGAAGAAGAGATGTTGTGACAACGAAAAAACGAGGTGGTCCTCTACATGCAAAAGCCTATGCCATGGCTGATGTGCTAAGGACCTCAATCTACGGCATTGTGTCTGCTTTCCACGATGAGATGTTCGCAAGTGCTAAAGCAGGTCTTCTTGAGAAGGACTGGATTACTAAAGGCAAGCCCCTTTTCGGAACCTACGAGCTGCTCGTGCAGAAATTGCGTCATTTCCTGGATTTTCGAGCTAACTAGCTACTCAGTTGCATGTGTTCGGCACTATTCTCCTTAAATTCCCCCATGGCTCGGATCATTTAGAGCAATCGGCATCAAGGAGATGAGCTTGTTTGTTAGCCTGGAGCTATTCGCAAAGTTTTAACAGGTAATTTCAATTTTGCTTTGGAAGATAACTGAAAGTGTAACTATAAAATCATGTTGTATTATTGGAGAACCTCTGAAGAATCGATCGTATTACCGACCTAGTTGCCAAATGATTTGAATCAAGTGGTAGGGATATAATGGTTACTGAGTGTTGATACAAACAGGGCACGAGGATAAATGTGACCTCTGAAGGGCAATTGTTTGAAAAAATTCTCAGAAAATGCTGTACCTCTATCAATTTTTCTTGATATTCCGAGTTCAAGTTGGATACACTTTGCTTCACATTGCACCTTCTTGTTCTGACAGTCAGATACTCAGATGTTCTCTACTCCTTTTCCTTTCATATGTGAGTGAAATCATTCCTAGGTTACATTAACACAAGTTCTTTTCTAGTCAGTACTGCTACAGAATTTCCTCCATAGGGGTTTGAACTTTGGACTCTTGAGATAGGTTTGAATTTAGGGGTCTGATATTTTATTTTCATGATTTCGTTGAATTTATTTAGGACCTCCAAATTAAAATTTGACATAAACTTTCTCCCCAATTGTTAATGCTTAATCTATTGTAATTAGGTCATAAGTACGTTTGTTTCTGACGTTATGTTTTTTCGAATTCGAGGGAGAATTATTATTGTAAAAAAAATTCTGGGACCTCATTAGAAGGTAACTGGTGGTTTATTTAGGATATAATCATAAAAGAATTTATTTTTTTATATGAGATTTTTAAAATATGTGAAAAATAAAACTTATTTTAAGGCTCATTTTCAAGCCCAATATCAAAGATGAATGAGTCTTCTTCCGTGAAACGGTAACACTCCACTGCCTACATGCAATAGACACGTGTACATACAAAATAAATAGATTTATTTACGCAGGGATGATACCCTTTTCATCGAGTAAATTATAAATTAGTATCTCTATTCTCTAGTTTTGAAAAATAAATAAATAAATTATTTTTATTTTATGTAGTCCTTTAACAGTATTTATCAGGCTTAATTTAACATTATTTTATTTCAAAAATAATTAATTTATTTTATGTAGTCATTTAACGGTATTTATCAGGCTTAATTTAACATTATTTAATTTCAAAAAATATCTTTTTTTCTTATTAATTTTTTTTATGAAATATATATTACATATTTTTTTAAAATAAAATAATTAGTTTTTAAAATATGAAGGACTAGTTAAATTGTAAATTAAACCTTTTTTATTGTGATTGTAAATCAAAATTTGTTGTTTAATGCAACTAATCAATTAGTTTTTGCAGTCTTAAAAATTAAAAATAACATATTTAATTCCTACATTCTTCAATCTATTGATTTAATCCTTCCATCAATTTCATGTTCTAATTATTTATGAGTTTTTTTATTTTTTCTACTTTTTTTATTTTTTTAATTTTAAAAACAGAATAAAGAAAAGAGAAGTAGTTAAGCTGAAAATTTGATTAGGAAAGAAGACATTTTTAGAAGGAAAAAAATTAGTAAATTGAGAATCTTCTTTACTTGTCAAGAAACTATTTAATTATTACTTATATTACAAGGACTAAACAGATAGTATCAGAAAACTATGGGGACTAAGTTTTAATAAATTCTTGTTATGACGATAGAAAAGGATATCTGGTCAGTCACAAACTTCTAACATCACCTCACTCACTTAATGACCCAATACTCACGCACGCACGCCCACGTCACGTGCGCCTCTCTTCTCTAATCCTCAGATTAAATTACAAATTAATCCCTATCTTTGAAAAATGAATCCATTAGTCCTTATTGTTTTAAAAATTAATTTAATAGTTTTTCAACCGGTTTTTACGAATTCAACATTATTTTATTTCAAAAAATATCTATTTTCTCGTCAATTTTTCTATAATATATAATTATTTTTTATTTTTCTATTTTTAAAATAAAAAAAGCAAATTATAAAAAAGCATAAACTGGACCAAAATGGACTAAATAATAGATTTTAAAAAAAGGATTAATTAATTCGTTTTTCAAACTTAAAGGGACTAATTTATGATTTACTCATCCTCTTACTAATTTCTAAACATAAATAAACCCCATTTAAACCTAATTTTCGATTCCGCTTTTTCTTTTTGCCTTTTCTTTTTAATTTTTCTTTTCCTTTGCAGTTTTCGTTTTTCATTTATTTCCCTTTGAAGTCCCCAACCCCGCTCTTTCGTTCTCTTCTCTTCTTCGAAACCCTAGCTTTCGTACTCTCTCTCTCTCTCGCTAGGGTTTTTCTTTCACTCTTTCCCTTTCGTTTTCTCTCAAATTTCTCTTTCTTTGGTGGCTTAGTTAGTGAGAGGAGTAGTAGTTATTGTATTGTTGGATCTGAAATCATTTAAATAGAATGGAATTTGGAGGCGGTCACCGCAAGAGAAGCAGACACGACGGTGCTTTTAACGGCAATGGAGGCCACAAAAAGAACAGACAAGGTACGGTTCCTTTTCAATCTTTCTCTCGCTCTTCTATGTTTCATACTCTTTTTTTTTTTGTTAGAATTTGTGCTTAGTTAGTTAGGGTGCTAAAGAAATGCACAGAATTTATTAAATAGTCAATAGCTCTGGAGTTAAATGAAAGATAAAACAAAACAGGCTAAGATATTGTGCTAAAAAGAAAAAAAAATTGTAGTTAAATTGAGTGTGTTAATGCTGTTTTGGTTAGTTTCTGAGAGGAATTAAGAGTTCAATTCTGAAAATAAATTTATCTGTTTTGTTATCGAGGCATGTTTTTTTAGTCTATTTCGAAGTTAACTTTTTATAAATTTTATTTTCTAGTTGAGTTTTTAATTTAGTTATTGGTTAGTGTTTTTTTTTTTTTTTTTTGGAATTCAATGGGTGAGTGCATATGTTTATATTACTATTCTTGTTGTTTTTTTGCTCCTGTACTGCTCCTGTACTTTGAGAAGCCAGTTTCGCTAGGTATCCCTTATTTTTCCGAGTAATTGTTCAAAAGAAAAAAAGGCAGAAAAGAAAATGTGCGAGCTGAAATCTTTTTGCAACTGAGGATATTATTTATTTATTTATTTTTAGCTTAAAAAGATAAGGTTTTAGCTTTTAATTTAAACTGTCTTCTCACTATTTTGTCCTAGCTTGGAAAATTATAGATATATAAAAAAAGGAGTGATAGAACTGTTTTGGGCACTTTCTTGTTTTGAAAACTACTATTGGATTGTTCTTCATACTTGGATAGTTTATCTATTTCTATAAAATTTTACTTATTTGCATTGTTTATATCATATAAAATCACCATGTTATCAATGGTAATCAGAAATGAAAGACTTTCCTGAAGTTTGAAGGTTAATAAATCACTGAAATCTTAACTGAGAGAAATTAATTAATTTTGGTGCAACAGAAATGGAGTCCTTTTCATCTGGTATAGGAAGCAAATCGAAGCCATGCACAAAGTTTTTCAGGTTCAAATCTTGACCTATCTAAAATAAATAGTCGAAATGCTGCTACATCTATTTGTAATCTGTATAAATTGTAAAATAAGCTCTCTTACACACTTTTTTAATTGCAATTTGAAATCAGTGTGATTTGGACTAATGAATTGGGAAGTTAAAGTTGTGGTACAGGTTTTTCTCTAATCATGATAACCAAGACAATTGAACAGAAACGGTTGATTACAGAGAGTACTTTTGGATAACTACATGCTTGGACATATGTAAACTGAGAAGTTTTACAGGAAGCAAAATTTGCCCACACCTTATAATGGACATTTATAATTTGTTATAGTCTTTGCAAGTAAAATTCATGATACATTGACGAGTAGTTAGCAACTGGCTTATATAGCCTAGAGCAGGCTCTCTATGACAGTTGAATAACAGCGTAAGTGTGTGTTATAGACTCAAAGTTCGTTTTGCTACTTTGATTTTTGTTTGTCGTGTAATTTTTCTGGCAAAGTTCTGTATGCATATTACATTACTGATGAACGCAACAATCACGGGACTGGGACTCTTTTGGCCTTTATATGCCACCCTGTCAAAATAAGAAATTCCTTGGGATGAGATAAGCTGTTATATCTTTGCTATGTTTTGCATTATTAAAAATGTTTCCATTGCTTTTCAATTGTCTGCCATAAGAAAATGCCTCTCCCGTTACTTTACAATAAGTATGATGTGCTCCTAGATTAGCTATGAGAAGGAAATTTTAGATTTTGCGGTTTCAAGTTATGGTTCTTTTAGGGATTAATGCAATATTGATCTCAGTTACTGTAAATGCCTCTGTTAAAGCCACATATTTGTGAAATTTTAGTTTTGATGCTACCAGGCAGGATGATCTATTCTTTTAAATTGATATTCATTCCTTTTGTGAAAGGTCTTTGGTTCTTCAACTCTTAATTTTGCTGTAACTGTCGTTCTTCAACTCTTAATTTTGCTGTAACTGTCCTTTCCCATATTCTTAAGCCTCTGACTGGTGGAAGACTCAAAATAAGTTGATGTGTTCTATCATTCTGTGATATGTTGTGTTTCTTCATGATAACAAATATTGCGCTTTGATTTTTAACTAGATGAATTTTATTTTTTCTTTGATGTGGGTAATCTATTGACAATTGATGTCAACATCTGTGTGTGGTTGAACGATGAGCTTAGATAAAAAAAAATTTCTTCCCAAACTCTCTCTGTGTTTGAATTAGATTTGGTAATTCTGTGTTCCAAATTTGCAAACATGTTGTCATTTTTTTTTTTTTTTTTAATAGAGATTTGTTAATCTGCCTCATCTACCTGGCTGCAATGGTCTTGGCGCTGCTTGCTACTTGGTGCTTTGTCTTCTTTCTTTTTTTCTTTTTAAATGCTTCACTGCTTGGTTTGTTGCCTGAGATGATTGTTTTTTATTGATGTTGAATTATCAGGATGTTAAAATATATTCTCATTAAAGGTAGATGAATGCATTCAACTTTTAACAGTGTTTCAAAAAAATTATATAGGATGGATATATGTAGTTTCATTATGTAAGTGTTGATTAATTCATTTTTGTCCTTATGTTAATTAAATTGGAAAATGTCCTAGATGTGCTAGTGGTGTTATTGGAATGTCAATGAGCTTGTGGCCTCGGCTACCTTTTTTTGAATGGCAACTTTTTCCCTCAAAGCGCAATATTTGTTATCGTGAAGAAACACAACATATCACATCAACTTATTTTGAGTGTTCCACCAGTCAGGCTTAAGAAAACGGGAAATGACAGTTACAGCAAAATTAAGAGTTGAAGAGCCAAAGACCTTGTACAAAAAGAATGAATATCAATTTAAAAGAACTGGTCATCCTGCCTGGTAGCACCAAAACTAAAATTTCACAAATTTGTGGCTTTAACAGAGGCATTTACAGTAACTGAGATCGATATTGCATTAACTCATTAAAGGTGGATGAATGCATTCAACTTTTAACAGTGTTTCTAAAAAATTATATAATATGGATATATGTAGTTTCATTATGTAAGTGTTGGTTAATTTATTTTTTTCCTTATGTTCATTACATTGGAATATGTTCTGGATGTGTTAGTGGTGTCATTGGAATTTCAATGAGCCAGTGGCCTCGGCTACCTTTTTTTGAATGGCTACTTTTTCCCTTGGTGCATCAGAAGAGTCTTTGTTAAATGAAAGCTGGTTACTAATTTTTATGCTCTTTTTGCTCATTGACTGGTGGTGGCGCATCTTCCATGTTATTTATTACCTTTTGTTGTACTTTTGCAAGTCTATTGTGCTCTAGAGATCTTTGCTTAAGCTAATAATGCTGTCAGTTGTCATTGTTGATTTGTTCTATGTTGCTCCCCTCCCTCTAAAAAAAAAAAAAAAATCATGCGTCTGCTTTGAATTTGAGTCCGATATCTGATTTAATTCTCTTGCAACATTTATTTTGGTAATTGTAAACTTGTAATTAAATAGACTTCGTGCTGCAGAAAAAGTTCTCATTGTCTGGGTTTTTTTTCTATCCTTCTGTTTTGCAGTACTTCTGGATGCCCATTTGGTGAGGGATGCCACTTCTTGCATTATGTTCCTGGTGGGTTCAAAGCTGTGTCTCAGATGCTTAATATTGGTGGCAACCCAGCACTTCCACCAGCCTCCAGAAATCAAGGTGCCCCACCCCCATCTTATCAAGATCGCTCTTCTCCTCCATCTGTGAAGTCGCGTTTGTGCAATAAATACAACACAGTTGAAGGTTGCAAATTTGGTGATAAATGCCATTTTGCCCATGGTGAGTGGGAGCTTGGGAAGGCAGCAGCTCCTCCATCGTATGAGGATCCTCGTGCCATGGGGCCAATTCCAGGCAGGATGAGTCGACACATGGAGCATCCACACCAAGGTCATGGTGCTGCAGCCAGCTTTGGGTCCTCTGCTACTACTAAGATAAGTATTGATGCTTCACTTGCTGGAGCCATCATTGGGAAAAATGGTGTTAACTCAAAGCATATCTGCCGTTTTACTGGAGCCAAGCTTTCCATAAGGGAGCATGAGGCAGACCCTAAAAAGAGGAACATAGAGCTCGAGGGTTCATTTGATCAGATCAGTAAAGCAAGTGACATGGTTCGCCAACTTATTTCAAATGTCGGTCAAGCCTCTGGACCACCTCCCATGAGGAACCAACCAATGCATTCTTCTGGTGGATCAAACAACTTCAAGACTAAGATCTGTGAGAACTTCAACAAAGGAGCTTGCACTTTTGGGGATAGGTGCCATTTTGCACATGGTGCTGAGGAATTGCGCAAGTCAGGAATGTGACCTCCCTTTCGCCACCTTGTCTCTTTCTTCTTCTTCTTGTGTTAGGACATACTCTTGTTATAGCTTTTGGTTATTTGGCATGGTTACCGAGTATTTTGGGATTCAGAAATAGACAGATGCCATCTGTAAGAGTTCTAGGTTTTTCTGTTCGCAATTTTATTGATCTTTTTGTTTCCTTATGATGGTCTGCTGTCCTTTTGTTACAGAAGTCTTGGGACAAAGCTTGCCAGGTTGAACTTAGGTTTTCTTTGTAAGACACATAGTTTACCTGCCTTTTGCTGCTTCAATCTCTTAAACTTGGTTTTGCCTGGCTAATAAATGTTAAATTTGTTCAAATGAAGTAGGTTTTTGGATTGAAATTAAGGATAAAGGAAACTGGAGGATGGGAACCTCCATCCTCTATTTTCCGGCAGGTGTAGAGACGAATGCCAGCATCTCAGGCACATGGGTTTTAGGTATTAAGCTCTTTCCGGCATGAACGCCAGTCATATGTTCTCATGATTGCTTTACAGGCATGAATACCAGTCATCTGTTCTGATGATTGCTTTACGTTAACATGGAAGTAAAATCAAATCGAAAAACATGAGAAGGCAAACCATTCCTTAACAGAATCACTTTTACAAGAAGACTCAACAAATGTCTTTTCTTTTAACCATCCTATTCGTTGCCATTAGCCTTTTTGGCCGCTTCTCTAGCCCTTTTCTTCTCCTCCTCCTTTCTATACTTGATCCCACAGGCATTGCACAATGTCTGAAAGTATGAACAAAACGTAGCATATAAATGTACTTTGCACAGTAAACATGAATAAGGAAGCTAAACGTACCTTTTTTCCTGGAAGTTACCTTGGGACCATGGGGGCCTTTGCGCCACATTGGGGTGTCATCGGTGTTGCAGCACGGGTTACTGCACCTCTTATTAAGGCCAATGTTGCTCCCTTCACGTTGATGCCTAGAGCCTCTCCTTTGTGAACCAGAGGAACTTCCAATCTGACCATGATCAATATTCCTAGGCATTGTGTTTGGACCATTCATGGGAGGTGTTGGAAAGTTACCCGGATCGCTATTGAAACTAGCGTAGGAGTTGGGGTAAGCAGGAAATCCCACTACAGAACCATTAGTATTCATGTAGTGGGGATGGTTCCCCATAATCTCCTGTGGCCATGAGCCATGAAGATTGCCTCCAATGAGCATTCCATGGTGATTCATACCAGCTTCTCCTCCTCCTCCATGAGTCAACATTCCTTGGTGATTTAAACCAGCATTCCCTCCTTCATTAGCCATTTCATGATGATTTGAGCCCTGTGCAAGCAAAGTATGAAAAACCTTTACTAAACTATTTTATACTCTTTCTATATCAAACAGATTGTCGTGTTTGATTTTTCATGCAATTTAAAAAAATTAATAATTACTATATTCAATCATCATTCTTCATAAAATACTTTCGTTTGAGTCGTAAGCTTTGAATTTGAGATGTTATAGAAAGATATATACTTAATATTTTGATTAAAATAAATATTCTGGGACAAATAAAAATAGAAAGCAAGAAAGTAACTTGAGACAGACGAAGTGTTAGATATTTAATGATCTTATTGCTTAACTTTCTATTTTCAATTGAACTCTAATGTGGGGCATTTGTCAAATTAAGTTCGAAATGATGTTTTTTATTTTTTTGAAAAATGAAAGGTTTAATTTGATAAAATACCAATTAAGTAGGAGCTTACCATAAAATAAAGATCATGGTTTGCATCAAAATCACTTTAGAAAACCAATTTAATGTATTTTTCTTTTTGGATGAAAATTATGGTTTTCAACTTTTTCTTATAGTATTCTTTGGAATTATAAAAACTATGACTAAAAAAAGGTAACCAAACTCCCATTCTTTGAAAAAATTAAGGTTTTTTTCCCTCCAAAAAAAAAAAACCCATTTTTTTCTCAACAGCTGCAATTCCACACCCCTTCGCTACCTGTTTGGCAATACAACAATTATGTAGCAACTATTTAGCCAAACAAACCTTTGGTTGCCTTTGTACATCGAAAATAAACATGCTTAGGTTATTTTTTATTTTTATTAAAAAAAAATCAAAACAAAACCAACTCCACAATTATAATCTAAAATTTAAAATTATCATATTCATGTCTTCTATATCTGATAATAATGAAATTATTAATATATGAAGTACATAAGGGAAAATTTATTTATTTTTTAGAAAAATTATTTGTACTCAAATGACCTAGCTACCTTTTTTTTACTATGCTATAATGGTTTATAATTTAACAACATTGTCAAGTCTAACAAATTAACCGGTAATTAAGTCTCGTGGCTCAAGGACGATCGTGTTTTTTATCTCATTAAAGTTTTAGGTTCGAATCTCGCTCTTGTGACATAAAAAAAAAAAAAAAAAGACTTAAGAAATTTGATTCAAACATAACTCATAACATTCAATAATTAAGAATTAAGCATCAAATTAATTAGATGATACAAGCTAGCCATATCAAAATATCATTGTTAATCTCCATCACATAATTATCTTTCCTTGTCAAAATCAAATAAATAAACCAAATCATTTGGAAAATTGGAATAAAATTATCATGGATCAAATCAATAAACTAAGTTAGACGATCTAATTAGCATATATAGTGGGAAGATTCACAGTAAATGACAATTATGTAAGATTAATTCTCATGTGACTATCTTGATTAGTCCTATATGATGCTTGATAGGATGTTAATCCTAGAGAGAAACTACACAACTATAATCTATGATAGATTTAAAACCAACTCTACAAATTTAAAATTATCTTATTCATATCTCCTATATATGATAAGAATGAAATCATTAATATATGAAATATATATATGGAAAATTTTATTTATTTTTTAGAAAAATTATTTCAACTCAAATGACCTAGCTACCCATTTTTACGAGGCTATAATGGTTTATAATTTAACAACATTGTTAGATCTAACAAATTAACAGTAAGCCTCGTGGCTCAATGACGTCGGTGTTTCTTATCTCATTAAAGGTTATAGGTTCGAATCTCGCTATTGTGACTAAAAAAGGGGAAAAAAAAACACTAACTTGTGACAAAAAAAATATATATTAAATTAGATTCAAACATAACTAATAACATTCAATAATTAAGAAGGAAGCATCAAATTAAATAGATGATACAAGCTAGCTATATCAAAGTATCGATGTCAATCACCATCACATAATTATCCTTTCCTTGTCAAAATCCAATAAATAAACCAGATCATTTGGAAAATTGGAATAAAATTATCATGGATCAAATCTGTCTTGGATCAAATCAATAAACTAAGTTAGATCATCTAATTAGCATATATAGTGGGAAGATTCCCCATTAAATAACAAAATTATGTAAGATTAATTCTCATGTCACTATCTTGATTAGTCCTATATGATACTTGATAGGATGTTAATCCTAGAAAGAAACTACACAATTACAATCTATAATAGATTTGGGCAGAAATTCATAAGAAAAAAAAATGGGCAGAAAATTTCAAACTAGTAGATCAAAGTAGTGATCAAATTAAGGGCTATACCTGTGTGTATGGAGCATTGAAATTGAGGTAATTGGCTGGTTGATGGTTCTTGAGTACTGTAGCAGACCTAAAATATTGCTCAAATTGAGGTTGATCATGATCATGATCATGATCATTTGGTAATCCCAATTTCAGAGTCAAGTCCACATTGTTTTCTGTGTTTTTTTGATGATCGTAGCCCCCATTCCAGTGATTAAACCGCTGAGAATCCATGAATATTCTTTGCCTGGACCAAAAACCTTTGTAAAAACAGCCAAAATGACCATGCAATATTATTATGAAATAAAGTTGATATATTTATAAAAGCGAAATACATAGAAAGATAAAAGACGAGAGAGAGGTGAGCATGCAACAGAGTTAAAACTGAAGTACTCAACGGATAAAAACAAAAGACTGACAAAGATAGTATAAAGAGACACACTTTTAATGTGATGTAATAACAAAAATCATCATTAAGACAGACAAGCACTGACTAATTTTTATTTTTTTGAACGTATAGTACAGTACTGTATATATTGTAGTACTTCATTTTCTTGGTTATGATCGTCCCGTGAGAATCAGAATTTTTTGATCATCTCAACCTCTTGTCACATTGATCTTAACTCCAAGATCTAAAATTAATCCCGCATAAACATCCATCAAATTTATGTTTTGAAATTCATTTTAATTAAAAAAAAAATCAAATTAGTGCCCCAATCTTTGGTAAGAAGATCTTATGTTAAAATAATGAGAGATAATATTAAATAATGTACGGGGTTTTTTTGTTTTTTTTAACTCACATATCTTAAACTTTTAATAGAATTAATTTATTAAAATTTAAATCTGTAACTTCTTATTGTAAAAGAACATTAGCATTAGATTACAAACTCTATGATATTGCAAATGTGTTTTAATCACTATTATTTAATTGATCTAAATCCTTCACTTATCAAATGCAGAAATGTTTAATTCTTCTTCATTCAATGCGTACAACAACAATTATGGTTAGAATATAAAATTGTTTTGATTGTGCCTTAATTTTACCTAACACTTTTTAGATTGAAAGTAATGGGTTTTGGCAATTTACCAGCACATACATATACTATATAAATGGGGGACTAAATTGGTAAAATCAGTAGTTGGAGATTCAATCTAAAAACTATATATAGCTCGGAGATTTAATTCGGAATTTGTGCTTATAATTTTTACTACTTACTAAGTAGAACCATTACATACTACGTCGTACGCTTTCGAACTACTTTCAATCTTTTTTGTCTTAACTTTTCTCATTTTTATACTAGGTTGTTAATTAAATTTCATTTCTTATGTATTATGGATATATAATTTCACTATAAGTATTCTAGTTTTTAATGTTTTTCAATCGAGAATATGAGGTTTAGTTTTTCTCGATTGAAATCATTAATTTTTTTTAAATTACAAATTAAGTATTTTGCATCAAACTTGGTCAATTTCTCTATTATTTAATGACAAGCTTTTTTACTCTAAACTATCAAATTGCAATTTTATCTTTTGTTTTTTTTTTTGGGAATGAACATTTCCTTCTCAATTATTTTATCTTTTTGCACTTTTTGTATATCAAATATTCAAATTGTCCTTGTATCTAAAAAATTGAAAAGGAAAAAATAATTTGGAAGAAAAAATTCTCTCCAAAAATAAAGGAATAAAATCATAATTCAACAATCTGGAGCAAATGAAACATCATTAGACAATGGAGCAATTAACAAAAGTTAAATGGAAATACTTGATTGATAGTTTTAAAATAATCGTTGTATTAAAAAATATATATATATATATATTTTATATATTTAGTTGAGAAAATATTAGAAATGGGTGTTCTTATAATGCATTTATCCCTACAATTAGAAGAGTGGAGGGGTGGGACGATTAGCAAATAAAAATGTTTTTCTGCTAAGCAGAAATATATTTTACAAATGCAAAAGGAGAAATAATTTGTTTTATTTTGTTAAAAGATCATATCCAACTCCAATACGAAATTAGGATAATGGATAGCATCTTAATGGAGCTACGGCTCATTTCAAAACAAAGAAATAAAGATTTTTATAACTTGTTTAGTCAGTAAACTTGTCAAACTTTTATTACATAGAAAATATAAAAGAAAACAGTCTTTATAAAAGGGAAAAAAAAAAAAAAAAAACACACACACACACAAACGAGCAAACAAAACACAAAATAGCATACAACTAAATTGTCTTTGGCTTTTTACCAAATCTCCCCAGCTTAATTTCCTTTCTGCCTATTTGCAGCTTCTCTGGCCTTTCTTTTTATCTTCATCTTTGCATATGTCTGATACCGCAAGCATTGCATAATGTCTGAAATAATGGAAATAACAAAAGCAAATTAGCACTCTCATCACACACTTATAATCATATATAGCCATGTAATAATAATTTTTAAATAATTTTTAAAAAATACTAAAATACACAAACAGTTCTAATCTGCTAAAACTCATGTATCTGATAGTTTTTTTTAATAAAGTAGATTTGAGTTTTAATGACTTTAGTTTATTTAGTAATTACGTAATGAAAATAAACTACTCTCATTATGTAATTCAAGAAACATGAGCCTCTCGATAAACTAAAAAAAATACAAAAATGTATTAATAGTTGTAATCAAAATTTGTAATAATAAAAAAAGAGTTTTGCACATATCAAGATCTCATACAATTTAAATTTTTTTATTAAAACATAAAGTTTTTTTTTTGTTCAATTTAAGAGTTTTACTCTTATATTGTTGTTTCGTACCCTAATGTATCACGTACGCACACGTGGTAATTTCTATCCAAGTAATAACTTGCCACGTGTTATGATAAGTCCAAATCAAGTAATTGAATTGGTGACATGATAAACTATTATTGATTAAAACTTACTATGTGTGTTTATGTCGCACATTAAGGTTTGAAATAACAACAACATAAAAGTATAACTCTTAAATTGAATAGAAAACAATTAGGATTTCAATAAAAAAAAATCTGAATTATACAAGATATCCAAATGCATAAAAAAAGTTACCTTTGGTCTGAGGGGACCTTTCCTCCAAATAGGCGTATTATTTGTTTCACAGTTGACATTAGAACATGTCTTGTAGGGATCATTGTAGCATGCGTCTTGTCGGCGCTTAAAGTATTTCTTGTTGGATCTGAAGAAGGTTGCCTCACCATTTTTGGATGAGAAATCCAGAAGAACATAGTTGTTCAAGGTTGTGGGTACAAGCAGGTTACAATAGGAGGAGCCGGTAACTCTTAACATAGAGTTGGTATTCTGAGCAGTACTGCCCATAAGATTCTTGTTCAAGTTGATGCAATGGAAGTGGATTTGGTCATCTTGGGATGGAATTCCTCCGACCATCATTCCAGCAATATTTTCTTTTAGCCATTTATATCTTATAGAATTGATGGAGTGAAAAAAGATAAATTGAACAATATTAAAAGATTATTTTACTTAAGAAATATTTTGTTATAAGAAGGTGAAAATGACGTGTAGAAAATAAGTGAGAAAGGTCTTTGACATGATTTGATCATCTACAACATAGACTTATGAACGTGAAATGAAAATGAGAGTGATTCAAGTAATAGCAACCTGTACTTGCATAAGATCATAAAATAGAATTTAATATTAATATTTGTTATAAAAAAATCATCCCTAATTAAATAGAATGTAATTTTAAGAATCTATGTTTTAGATTTTCATAATTAATTTAAGAACAAGAGTTAATTAAATTCTACTTATAAATATATATACTGCGTGGATTTTGGTTATGTAATAATTAAAAATGAAGGATAAAAATTTTGTTGTTTGTTGTACCTAATTACTTCCATAAATGACTAATAATATATTCATATTTTAAAGATGGAAAATCACAAATTGTTTGACATAGACTATTTTTAACAATAGCCATAACTACATAATTTATGTTGTATCATCATTTTTCTATTTGTTGAAATTAACTATTGGGCTTCATATATGTAATCCTTTTTCATACACATTGATGATTCATATGAATCTCAAATAGCAAATACATTTTTTAGAGTATTAATTATATATGTATTTTTTTCAATTTTTTTTATATTCATGGAAATACTATTGATCATAAACTTGTGGGTTAGACAAAGCAAATGCATTAAAAATGATTTTTCAATATCTATAAGAAATGAAAAACAAAACTAATTAAAAATGTGGTTTGACAATAACTTTCATAAAAAAATGAAAGTGAAAATTACAATTACAATTACAATTACAAGTAGGTGCATCCCATGTAAGTAATGAAAATTTTAAAATATGTCAACTTTGAGAACAATAATATTCCCAGCAAATTAACTTTAAAGTCGTAACAAATTCTTCATCTTTTGTAAGGTAGAGTGATGTATATACCTTGTCAATGGTGTTGGGGCCACTGAAACTGAAGTTGGCAAGGTTTGGAGTCGTCGTCATCGGGCCATTAAAACTGAAGTTAGCAAGGCTAGAGTCGTCACGGAGACTGGCTTATTGAACAGATCACTCATGTTTATTTGATGATTTGTTAAACCTAGTTTCAGGTTTAGGTCCGCTCTGTTTCCTGCATTATTCTTGTCATTGAAGCCATCATTTGTGGCAGTTGCTTGATGGAACCACTGAGAATCCATGTGTTTGAAGTCTTGTTTGCCTGCAAATAAAAACAACCATCACCATGCAAAATTACTAAACAAAAAATTAAATTAAAAAAACACATATATTTGAACTTTTTGATTTAAACTTATTTATTGACTTTGATATAATCTTGCAAAGATCAAATATACCGATCTCCTTTTTAGCAGCTGATGTCTTTTGGCAAGAGATGCCAATGTGACAATCCATGATTAGAATAAAGAAAACATTGACTTATGAACAAAATAAATATAGTTTTAACTCCATTTGTGGCTTCTTTTTAAACAAAAAAAGGTGCAATAACGAATTTGGGAAAATAAGAAAAATCACTTTACAGAAAGATTTGAGCATATATATATATATAGAAAGATAGTGGAGACTACAAGATCAATCGCATGAATTCTTTAATATGGACAAAGGCACTTTTAGGGAAAAAAAAACACAAACCCAAAAGATGGTTGGAGGGAGAGGGAGAGATAGATTTCCAACTAGCAAAGGTATTAAACTCATGAAGGCAAGAGTATTAGCTTTGTATTGGGGCGAGGGGAACGGCATTCTATAGGGCCTTATTTGAAAGACTTGAAAGGCATGGATTTATATATATATATATATATATGGAAAGTTAGAAATAAAAAATAAAAAATAAGAATAAGATGAAATAAGAAACAAGTAAACATATTCTAATAGTTGTTTATCCAATTACTTCCTTAAATGAAGTTATAAGATTTGAGTTCTAGTGATTTCAATTTTTCCTATTATAATATATTTAAGAAGATCACTCTCATTATTGAAAAAAAAAAAAAAAAAACCTGATGTTTCGGTAAATTGTAATATATGGCAATGTTGTGGTGTAATTTCAAAACCAAATATGTTTATTTTATTTTTGATAAGTCATAATAGTTGAGTAAATTATCAATTAGTCTCTTTCGTTTTGAAAAATAAAATAATTAGTCCATTTAATTTTAAAAATTAATTATTTAATCCTTTTAATCCATGTTGATTGTCGCTACCCGATGTCGGATGGGACTCCTCGAACATATCTAAAATCAGATTGAATATTTATAAGTTTATTTACGAGTTTAGAGTCACCACCTAGTATTTAAGGAACTAGGAACCTAAAAGTAGCATCGATTCGGAGATTCCTAAAGTAAGGAGTTGGTTACGTTTAAGGAAGATATTTAATCACCTAAAAATGCCCTTTTCGAAAAAAGGTACCATGCACGGTTTAGTTCTGAATTATCTCCTAAAATCCATGTCAAGCTATTTTTCTAAATTTTTATCTCCTATTTTCTTTTAGACTAAGTGAATTTTTTAATTTTTGAGCGTGGCATCATATTGAAACGATCGTCGGTCCCCTTTCGTTGGGTGACACGTCGATTCAAACATCGGATCCACTAAAAGCCTTGACACAACCGGCGTGTCGGAGAACGTCTTGAGTAAAGGTGATTTTTGATGACGTCAACCCCTATCAAATAGGAGATTTCGTCGAGAATTTTGAATTTTGTGACGTCGGTCCCTATTAGATAGGAGACTTCATCGAATTTATTTATTTGTTTATTTTTTTTTTTGATGATGCAGTCCCTACCATGTAGGAGACTTCGCCAAATTTTTTTATATATATAATTTTTCTAGCAATACATATTAAAGAAAAGAAGATAATAAAAATTCTAAATTAATAAAGAAAAACTATAAGAAATAAAATAAATCGGCTAAAAAAATTAAATCAATAAAAAAAATCATCCTATATAAACGGGTAAATAAATAAATAAATGAAAATAAAAAAAAATCCTATACCTAAAATATTAACCTACCACTTTTACTCTTTTTTTTCTTTTTTTACCCATCCCCATTTTTTCCTTTTTCTTCTTATTTTTTTCCCTAATTCTATTTTTTTTTCATTTCCTTTTTTTTTTTTTTTTGGGTTTTTGAAAAGTGGGTTGCGAGATGGGTTTCTCCCTTTTTTTTTAGGAAAGGGTGCGGGTTGGGTTGAAATCAGCCCAACCCCTTTTCTTTTCTTTTTTTTCGCTTCGGGCTTGAGTCAGGCTGAAATCAATCCAGCTCCCCTTTTTATTTCTCTATGGGTCGCGGGTCGGCCGGACCTCAAGCCTCGAAAACAAGTCTCGTTTTCTTTTGTTTTTATTTTTCGGATCAAAACCAAAATTTTTCAGTTTTCAACCTTTCTCTCTCTTGTTCATTTTTTTCTCCCTAATTCTTCAAATCTTCGAAACTACAATGCTATCCGATTAAATGATTCAATTAAACAACATGCATTCTTTCCTCCATTAAGACTTAATTCAAAGAAACCAACTTGAATAAGTGACTAACAAAACTAGGGAAAGCAATAACGAAATCGAACCCAAGAACTGACACGGGAATTGGATGAACAACACCAAGAACATAAACCGAGAAACCCAACAATTCGAGCGAGGAATTCACAATTCCAAAATCAAAAAACCCGTGAAGTGAGAGTCGTTGCGGATAGTGAAAATTTATCTCGAGAAAACCAAAACAAAGAAAGAAAAAGGAAGCCAATTTGAAGAACCGAAACCAAAGTCTATGAACACAATGAACACAAACCCGGAAAAACCCGAAACGCGTAGTCGCCGTAAATCAAAAAAATCAACCCCTTTTACTATTGATTTCCACTCTCTCTCAACCCAAAATTTTTCTCCCAATTTCTTCCCCCTTTTTCCTAAAATTCAACTCGTTTTATAGCCAAAAAATTTCCTAAAATCGAATCCAAATCCCTGCATTTTCTCGTCAAAATTTTTCCTCTTTAATTCATGATTAATTGTGAAATCAAAACAGAAAATTCTCATTGATTCCCGTTAGTGTTGGTTTTGGTAACAAAATCCATGATTAATACACAATAAAAAACAAGAAATTCATGGAGGATTTGGGCGGATTCTCCGAAAGATTTTCGGAGAGAATCGCCTTGGAGCGAACGACGAGTCGTCTCCTCCACTTTGGTCCTCGAGTTTAAATTTCAGCAATTACGCCCTCTCGTGAAATAATTTCAGCACAATCTCATCAATTATGTCCCCGGAGGTGCAATTTAAAGCCTAAACTTTTTAATTGACTCGATTCCACCCCTAATTCCTTCAATTGTATCCCTAAATGAATTTTTTTTCATCGTTTTCTTTTTTTCTTTTTCCTTCTCTCTTTTTTTTAATAAACTTCAAATTAAAAAAAATAATAATAAATAAACATAAAATAAATAAATAAATAAAAATAAAAAATAAGAAAATTTTGGGTTATTACATTGATCATGATTAATTTAATATTTTTTTTATGAAATTTCTTCTTTTCTCATCAATTTTTATATATTTTTAGTTATTTTTTATTTCTTTTCTATTTATTCAAATAAAAAATCAAAATAAATTAAAATTTTTTTAAAAAAAATAAATAATTAGTTTTTTAAACTAGGATGACTAATTAATTCGTTTCTCAAAAGAAGAGGGACTAATTTATAATTTACTCCACAATATTTATATAAAACCGAAGGCACAAAAAGCCAATGATATATAATTTGATAGTTAAATTTAGATTTCATCCAAAAGATTTAAATCTTATAATAAATAAGTTTATAGTAAATACATCATGAATGTATCTTTATATAATATCCAAAGTCTTTCATATATCCTTAAGTTTTCAATTACATCCTATTTGTCTCTATTTTTTTTTTTTAATATTCAATCCGTCTTTCCGATTAAATTTTTCGACTATGGATAAATTTTTTTAACCAAAATATCATTTACTAAATAAAAGAAAAATACTTAAAGTCACATGTTTTTAAAATAATCGAAAAGATAGAAAACTTTGAAATCTTTAAAATATTATATTATTCTATTTTATTTTATATTTCAATCAAGATTATTTTAGTTAAAAACAAATTTTGTAGCAGAAAAAATTAATCGAAAAGATAGATTGAAAATCTCAAAAAAATTTAGAAACGAGATGGAATGCAATTACAAATTTAAAGACGAGATAGAAAACTTTGAGTACTATATAAAAATAAATTGATCTATTTAACTATAAGTTTATTCTCAGCCTTTTATAAAAATTGGAAGGCTAATAAATTAGTTTTTCTTTTTTTGTCTGCACATAATAGGAAAAAGATTGGCTTTAATATATATGTATGTCTACAATAATAATTCTTAAAAGCTTTTCGAAATCCAAGGGTGGATCAAAATATAAATCACATAAATCGAATTAATCAATAAATCCTGTGATCTCAGATTTTTTTTTTTTTTTTAAATAACTCTATGATCCAAAAATTCCGAGTATCCAAGAACTATGACTATTTATGGTATCTTTTATGCACAAGAAAACTACCACGCCTAAATTTGGATATTAATTAATGCATATTTATATAGCAAACAACAATTTAATTCATACTAAAACAAACAAGCTAGGTAAGAGTACCTCAGGTATTTATATAACAAACACACTTTCCTAAATAATAAAAAGAAAAATATAGTAAACTTGTTTAGCGTTACTAATTACTCTCTTTGTTCCTCTGTTTATATATGTTTTAACATATTTGTTTGATTTTTTAAGTAATATATTTCTTAAAATATTTTTAATTTATACTGCTTTCGTGTTATGCAAGATTAAATTTGATGACTAACAATTCTATAATGATTATTTTTTAAAATACTTTTAATTTATACTTCTTTCTAACTTTATGATTGAAAATCTAGAAAAGGAAAAATAAATTATAACAAATTTATAAAAAGAAAAAAAAATTCTAATCTAAGTATAAACATTTTTGCTGGATTATTAGTAAATACTTTTAAATTTATTAGTTTCTTTTTGAAGATTTCCATTGCTATATATATATATATATATATATATGAAAATAATGATATATTAAGTCTTTTTCTCACTAAAAAATATATTTTTATTTTTATTTTTCGTGTAATACCGAAATATTTGGATGATTCATTTTCTTTATTTTACTAAGATCTCTGGGCTTTGGCCCAACTAGTCCACTCCTGGAATTGGCTAAGATGATAGGGATATATTCATATATTGTCTGAATATAATTATAAATAGGTGATTTTAAAAGCACTCTTGGGTTGGATTATTTTTCTTATTTGGCAACTTTATGTTTGGGCCTCATCAGTTTAAGTATGGGCTCTGGGCTTAACCCAAGTTCATACACCGAAAGACCAATCCATCGCTCTATGGATGCATGAAAACGGTGCAAAAGTCTTTAAAATCAAGGTTTTTTTTTTTAAATAGCAATAATAAATAATCTTTACAATGTACGTAATGAAAAAATTAATGAGCATATTTATTTTTTTTTCGAGAAAACGAGAGACCGAGAGGTTATTGTTTCTAAAGGCAGGCTTCGGGCCTATCATGTATTTTCTAACCTCTCCTTCATGACAAAGTGCTTGTTTTTAGCATGCATTCAACTTGTTCGACTTTATGTCTGTGAAATGTTCTTCTGTATCCAGTTTAAGTTTCTCAAAAAAAAAAAAAAATTTCTCTACGTTCTACGGTTTGGTTTTTAAATTTAATTACGTAGGAAAATGTTGAGCTATGGTTCGGTTGATTTGTTGATATCCACAGTAAAATATCTTTATGGTTTCGTTCAGGAAAATTGTTAGCGACTGCTAAATTTAGAAGAAAGTAGTTAATTTATTTCAAAAATGAAAAAAAGAGAAGTAGGTAGGATTAGAAAAGAATTTGTAATTTTGGAAAAGATTGATAAACTACAAGGACTAGTTTAGAATTAACTCATTAAAATTTGATTAAACTGCATAAATAATCAGACCAAACCCATATGTATTGATTTAATTTAAACGATTGATTGTTAAAGTACTTTTGGTGACACCATCAGTATGGTTATCATTAGCGACCATTTTTTTTAAGTTTAGGTGACACCTATTATCCTTCCCTTCTTTTCTTAGTAATTTACGGAGAAATTTTATAATACGTAAGAAGTAACTAGTGACATGTACGGTAGCTTACTCTTTGGGCCCACTTTGAGAAGAGAGATAGACATATAAATAGAGAGAGAAAAAAATAGGAGAGAGAAAATAAAAAAAATTGAGCGGACGTAGAAATCTTCTTATCAAAAATAGGAGAGAGAAAATAAAAAAAATTGAGCGGACGTAGAAATCTTCTTATCACTTTTGATGGGTATAGATATAATTTTTCTCTTTTTTTATGTATCTATCTCTCTCCTCAAAGTTGGCCCAAGGAGTAACTACTGTACATGCCATTAGTTACTCCTCGTGTATTATAAAATTTTTCGTAATTTACGTTTTAAGACAATTATTATTTTCTTAAAGCAAACAAAATATAAATATGAGAAAACAGTCTTAATACTGGAAAATATTATATAGATTATAAAAAATATAAGAAAACAGTCTTAATAATAATAATAATAATAATAACACATGAGCAGACAGAACATAATAGCAACACAACTAAAAATGCTTTTGGCTTTGGAAATACTCTTCATCCTAATCAATCTGCCCTGTTGGCAGCTTCTCTGGCCTTCTTTCTCTCTTCATTTTTTCTATATCTTATCCCACAAGCGTTGCACAGAGTCTGAAATAATGGAAAAGAACAAAAGCATATCAGCCCTTTCAAACAATCAAACACATAATAATTATATAAAAAGCAAAAAAAAAAAAAAAAAAAAAACTCTAAAATGTATTAACTGTTGCACTCTAAATTTTGAAAATTAAAGGAATTGCTTACGTTTGCTCCAAGGGGACCTCTTCTCCACATCGGAGTGTTAGTCGTCTCACAGTTAGCATCACTGCATGTCTTGTAAAGATTAAAATAACGTACTTGAGGTTGACGCCTAGAATTTTTCCAGTTCCTAGAATATTTCCAGTTGGATTTGGAGGAGGTTCCAGTCTTATCGTTCTTGGATGAGAAATCCAGGAGTACACGATTTTTCAAAGTAGCTGGTGGAGATAGAAGATTCTGCCTGGAGGAGCGAGCGGCTCGTAACATAGAGTTGGTATTTTGAGCCACATTGCCCACAATATTATTGCCTAAGTTTATTGAATCGGATTGGTTCCCCATTTCATGTGAGCATGGATTGAGGTGGCTGATTGGGCCATCTTGAAAGGGAAATCCTCCAACCATCATTTCACCCTCATTCCTTGGAGTATTTCCTCCTCTGTTGTTGCCGATAATATTGGTGTTTAGACCAACAACATCCTGATTGTAAAATGGGCGAAAGTGATTTACACCAATATGTTTTTCAGCTCCACTGGTTTGTCCAAGGTTAATCTCCTGTTAAAGAAAATATTAGTCTTATTTTTTTATTTTTTGAAGAGTTCTTTTGTTCTTGCTTTTGTTTTAGCCGTTTGACATTAACAACCAGTTTATATGTCTTATGTCATTTGTAAAGTAAAAATGCTAAATAAAATGTGGGAAAATATATCAAACAACTATATCATTTTAAAATAATTTCATTTTAAGAAGGTGAAATGTATAAATAAGTGAGAAAGGTTTTGACATAGTTTGACCATGTACAACATAAAATTATGAGTGCAAAATGAAAAGTGATTCAAGTGATCATAAAATCATAAAATGGGATTTAATATTAAAAGTTCATAAAAGTCATCCTGATTAAATACAATGTAGTAAAACAAAATCTATGTTTTAGATTTCCTCTCTTAGTTAAGTTTCACTTACAAAATATATATATATATATATTGCATGAATTTCAATGACGTTATAGCAATAAAAAAAAGAGTAAAAAATTTATAGATTGAGCTACCTAATTACTTCCATAAACGAATAAATATATATTCATATTTTAAAGATGGATAACTGCAAATTGTCTGGCACAGGTCATTTTAAACGATAGCTATAATTGTATAGTTAATCTCGTACCATCATTTTTATCTTTTCAAATTAACTATTCAAAATCTTCTATGTAATCATTTTTCATACCCATTGATGGATCATATGGATCTTGGATAGCAAATACATTTTCTAGCATATAAATTATATCTGTTTTTCTGTTTTTATATTTGTGGAAATACAATTGATCATAAACTTGCAGGTTAGACAAAGCAAATGAGTTCAAAATGATTTTCCAATATATACAAAAGATGAGGGGAAAAAAAAAAAGAGTGATTTGACAATGATTTTTGTAAAAAAATGAAATGAAAAAAAATTATATTTATTTTGATACGGAAATTATAATTAGCTGCTTCCATGTAAGTAATGAAATTTGTAATATATATAAACTTTGAATATTCGCAAACAAATAACTTTAATTGTCATAACAAATTTTTCATCATTTATCAGATAGAGTGATATATATACCTTATTATTGGTTTTGGGGCCATTGAAACTGAAGTTGGCAAGGCTTGGAGTCGTCATGAGGCCATTAAAACTGAAGTTCGAAAGGCTAGGAGTCGTCATGGAGATTGGCTTATTGAATAGATCACTCAGGTTTATTTGATGATTTGTATCATCATGATTTGCTAAACCTAATTTCAGGTTTAGGTCCACCTTTTCTCTTGCATTATTCTTGTCATTGAACCCACCATTTGAGGCAGTTGCTTGATGGAACCATCGAGAATCCATAGTGTTTGAAGTCTTTTTTCGTCTGCAAATAAAACAACCACATCCACGCAAAATTAGCAAAAAAATAAAAATAAAAATTGGACATGAAACTTTTTCTTTTGAAAATATGTATAACATCGATCTAATCTTGTAAGATTAAATACCGATCTCTTCTTTGCTTCTTTTTAAACAAAAACGGTGCATAACAAATTTGGTGAATAAGAAAAGATAATTTTTAGAAAAAGATTTGAGCAAATCTTATACTATCTACATATATGTAGAGAGAATGGAGATCACTACAAGATCAACCATGTAAATCCTTTTATATGGACAAAGGCACTACTAGAAGAAAAAAAAAACACAAACCCAAAGGATGGTTAGAGGGAGAAGAAGGCTTACAACTAGCAAAGGTAATAAACTAGTGAAGGCAAGAGTATTAGCTTAATTGCTAGTGGTGTGAAGTGAACAACATTCTATAGGGTCATATTTATAGGACTTTGGAGGCAAGGATATATGTGGAATTTTAGAAAAATAAATAATAAAAAAAGAAGAAGAAAATTAGAAAAAAGTAGATATAATCTAGTGGTTATTTAGCCTATTAGAGAGTAATATAAAACATTCAATTTTTTCCTATTATATCATCTAAAAAAGGACAACTCTCGTTAATAATTCAAAAATGTTAGATATCCGGAAAAAAAATTCAAAGACGATGTTTCTATAAATTATCATATATGACAATGTGTGTGGTGTAATTTCAAAAGTAACGTTTTATTTTATTTTTATTTTTTTATAAGCGAGTAATGTATGTGTGTGTGTGTATATATGTATAAAACATTATGTGGTCTTAAAAGCTTGGGTTAAGATAATTTTTTGACATACCATCCCCTTTTTCTTTTCTAATTAAAAATATAATAGTACAAAATAGTATGGCTTGTTTAAGTTTTAAATTCAAAAAACTTTTATTTAAAAAGATATGTTAGAAAGTAATATTAAAGCATTCATAACTTTTTAATTGATATTTTTTTGGACATGATATCAGAATATTACTTATCAAATAGTTATGAGTTCGAATGTTACAATTCTCATCTTCTCTTCTAATTTTTTTTTAAATCAAATATAAAATAATGGTGGATTTGTATAAATTTCAAATCCAAAAAACCTTTCATTTAAGAGATATATTAGGGAATAATATAAAAAACTATTCTAAGATCTTCACCTACTTTTGAATTGAAATAGTTTTTCAACAAGTTATAATATAAATATAACACAAAAAAGCACAAAAAGATCATATTCATATTCAAATACAGTTAAAACATAGTTGAATCATACCTGATTTTAATTTTTTTTTTGTTATTTTCATACTTGATGAGAAACTATTTTCTCCAAAAAAAAATACCTTTCAAACATTTTTTTTTTTGTCAATTGCTATCATATTATGTGTGTATTTAATCTAGCAAAAGGACATTGATATCCTTAAACGGAATATATAGAAACCAGATGGCTTACCACAATCCCTGAAAAAAAGAGACAGAGAGAGAGAAGAAGTACGAAAACAAAATAAAAGTTAATACTCAAGCAGAGAAAAGAAAAATGTTCAAGCTCATCCGAGCTAAATTCAAGTTATCGTTATATATATATATAATTTGCATGCACTTAGAAATAGGACTCCTTTTTTCTGAAAAAAAAAAAAAGGTTTGGACGGCTAATGAATTAGTTTATAGATTTTCATCTGCACATAATTGGAAAAAGATTGGCTTTAACATGTCTACGATAATAGTTTTTAAAAGTTCTTCAAAACCCATAATTTGATTAAAATATAAATCATATTAATCAAATTAATCAATAACTCCTGTGATGTCAGATAAAAAAGGAAAAACAAATCCTGTGATGGTCTAAAAATGCTGAGTATCTAAGAACTATAACTATTGATGGTATCTTTTATTGCGCAAGAAACCCATGAGGCCTAGATTTGGATATTAATTAATGCATATTTATATGGAAAACAACAATTTGAATTCATAATAAAACAAATACGGTAAGAGTATCTCAGATATTTAGCAAACAGCACACTTTCCTAAACAAAGACAGAAAAATATAGTAAACTTGATTAGTCTTATTAATTATTCTAAGTTTTAAAAAGATTGTCTTCTTTTTCTATTTATATATATCTTAAAGTATTTGTTTGATCAAAACTTTGAGTGATATATTTTTTAAAAGGGTAAAATTCACCAATCAAATTGTTATTTCCATCACTTTTTAAAAATAATTACCAATACATCTTCCACTGCATCCTCCATTAATTATCAATAATTATTATAAAATAAATATTAGTGGAGGGTGTATTGATAATTTTTTGAAAAAAAATGATGAAAATAACAATTTAATTGATGAATTTAGCAATACTACTTTCTAAAATACTCTTAATTACTATTGGTTTTATGTCAAGGAGGATTAAAATTGATGACTAACAATTCTATATTAAAAAAATAATATTTTAGAAAAGTAAGAACAAAAAAGGTTGAACAATTAATAATAATTTTTTTTTAATATGAGTGAAAAGTTTAAGAGAATAATCTCTTTGAGACATAAAAAGTGCTTGAAAAATTAAAAAAAAGTGTAAGCAATGATTAATGTCTCTAATTTTAAGATTTGGATCTTATCATGTCCAAGAAAATATGATCTATCATTTTCTTTTAATCTAAACTTTCCAAAATAAATAAATGACTAAGATCTCAGTAGCCAATATTTACTTAATGTAATACTAAATTAGATGTTTGGATCTAGAAAAGGAAATTAAAACAAATCCATAAAAAGGAAAAAAAAATCTAAGATCTCCAATTCTAAGTATAACCATTTTCGCTAGATTATTAGGAGAAATTTTATAATACTAAAGGATTAACTATATATAGTTATTTCTTAGGAGAGATAGACTCAGAAGAAAACAGAAGCAAGAGAAAAGAATTAAAAAGTATATATATAAAACTCTAAGTGGAGATATTTTTGTGACTTTTGATTTATTCGAATGTGATTTATTTATTTATAAATTTCCTATAAGTGTAATTTTTTTGTTTGAAAATTTGCATTCGCTCATTTTTAATTAAATTTTGTGTATAATTTTTTTCTTTTAATTACAAGTAGTAATATCCATTAATTTATTGAATTAAATCTCTATATTTTAACAAATAAGTATTATTATTATTTTAATAATAAACTATAACAACGCGTGTGCAATCTACTAGTTAGAGTATTAAATACAAAACTATTATTTGGACCAACAACTTAAATTTATGCGTTGAAATGATTCTTTAATGGTGGAAAAATATAGAGATTATCTTTATTCATTAGGCCAATTCCCTCCATGCCGAGAAAAAATATTTTATGTATTTTTCTCACCGAAAAATTTATGTTACTTTGGACGTGGAATACAGAAATATTTCGATTATCTTTTTCTCTTTTCTTTCCTTTTTTAAAAACAAAAAAAAAAAACAAAAGAAGTTTGGGCTTTGGCCCCAACTTTATGTTTGGGCCGCATTGGTAAAGTTTGGGCTGTAGGTAGGCATGCGCTTGACTGAGTTCATAGACCTAAAAGACCAATATACCCTTCTATGTGGATGCACGGAAAGGGCGCGATAGCATTCAAAACCAAGGGAGTAAATTACAAATTATTCCCACTGTTTTTGAAAAATAAATTAATTAGTTTTCTTTATTTTAAAAATTATTTATTTATTTTTTTAAAAAATATTTTTCACTTTTAATTTAATAATATTTTATTTTAAAAATTTTCATATTTTCTCATCAATCATTTCTTTTTTTTTTACTTATTTTTTATTTTTCTACTTCTGAAAATAAAAAATCAAAATAAATTAAAAAAAGAAAGAAAATGATTAAGTTATTAAAAAATTTAAAAATATAGAGATTAAATAATTAATTTTTAAAATTTAAAAATTATTTTTTAAAAAAAATAAAGCGATAACTTATAATTGACACTTCAAAACCAAGGTGGTTTTTTTTTTAAAAAAAAATGTACCTAAGAGAGAGGGGGGGGGAAGAGCATAATTTCTCTCTCTCTCTCTCTCTTTTTTTTTTTTTTTTTTTTTTTTTTTTTTTGCGACGAGAAATTGAACTCCAATTGAGATGATTTTTTTGAATCTACACTAATTTAAGGGCTTGTTTATGAGCCACGGCTATTATAAATCAGGTTCACGTAATAATTTTTTAATCTCAATAATATCACCTATTAAGAACCTCATATTCTATATAAGAAAAAGACTATAGTCTTCGTATGTTTCTGTGGAAATAATACTACAATATACTGTCTGAGTTTAATTCCTATGAATAATTCACACTATAACGAGGTATTTGCATTAAATCATATGATAAAAGAGAAAAACATAAAAACGGAAAAGAAGAAATCAGGCATTTTTTCGTTAGATCAGTCCGTTACATATTTAACGGCAAGGGATTAGATTGGAACTTCTTGGAAACATTAAAATAATATTGAGAAAATATATCCTAAAAAAACTAGAAAAAGTTGAGCTATGGTTTGGTTGATTTTTTGATATCTACAGTAAAAAATCTTTGTGGTGGAAATGTCTCAGACTTGGCCGATTTCGTTCATGGGAATTGTTAGCGACTACAAAATTGAGAAGAAGGTTGTTAATTTATTTCAAAGATGAAAAAAGAGAAGTTGGTAGGATTAGAAAATTTGATCAGGAAAAAAATTGTAAATTTGGAACAAATTGATAAACTACAAGGACTAGTTTATAATTAACTCATTAAAATTTGATTAAACTGCATAAATATTATATAGATTATAAGAAAACAGTCTTAATGATAACAATAATAACACATGAGCAAACAGAACATAATAGTAACACAACTAAAATGCTTTTGGCTTTGGAAATACTCTTCATCCTAATCAATCTGGCCTATTGGCAGCTTCCTTGGCCTTCTTTCTCTCTTCATTCTTTCTATATCTGATCCCACAAGCGTTGCAGAGAGTCTGAAATAATGGAAAAGAACAAAAGCAAATTAGCACTTTCACACACTCAAACACATATATAACCACATAATAATTATGTAAAAAGCAAAAAAAAAAAAAAAAAAAAACACTAAAATGTAATAATGGTTGCACTCTAAATTTTGAAAATTAAAGGAATTGCTTACGTTTGCTCCAAGGGGACCTCTCCTCCACATCGGAGTGTTAATCGTCTCACAGTTAGCATCACTGCATGTCTTGTAAAGATTATAATAACGTACTTCAGGTTGACGCCTAGAATATTTCCAGTTGGTCCTGGAGGAGATTCCAGTCTTACTGTTCTTGGGTGAGAAATCCAAAAGCACACGATTTTTCAAAGTAGCTGGTGGAAATAGAAGATTCTGCCTGGAGGAGTGAGCAGCTCGTAACACAGGGTTGGTATTTTGAGCCACGATTCCATTACTGCTTAAGTTTATTGAATCGGATTGGCTCCCCATTTCATGCGTGCATGGATTGAGGTGGCTGATTGGGCCATCGTTCAAGGGAAATCCTCCAACCATCATTCCAACCTCATTCCTAGGAATATTTCCTCCTCTGTTGTTGCCGATATTGGTGTTTGGACCAACAAAATCCTGATTGCAAAATGGGCCGAAGTGATTTACACCAATATGTTTTCCAGCTCCACTGTTTGGTCCAAGGTTAATCTCCTGTTAAAGCAAGTATTAGTTTTATTTTTTATATTTTGAAGATTTTTTCTGTTCTTGCTTTTGTTTTAGCCTTTTGACACTAAAAACCAGTATATATGCGTTATGGCATTTAAAAAGTAAAAATGCTAAATCAAACGTCGTGGGAAAATATATTAAACAACTATTTTATTTTAAAATAATTTCATTTTAAGAATTGAAATGTATAAATAAGTGAGAAAGGTTTTGACATGGTTTGACCGTGTACAACATAAAATTATGAAAGCAAAAAGGAAAGTGATTCAAGTGATCATAAAATCATAAAATTGGATTTAACATTAAAAAGTTCTTAAAAATCATCATGATTAAATACAGTGTAGTAAACAAAATCTATGATTTAGATTTCCATAAGTAATTTAAGGAAGAGAATTAGTTAAGTTTCACTTATATATAAGTGTGTTGTGTGAATTTCGATGACGATATAGTAACAAAAAATGATAAAAAAAATTGTGATTGTGCTACCTAATTACTTTCATAAACAATTAAATATATATTCATACTTTAAAGATGGATAGTTACAAATTGTCTGACACAAACTATTTTGAACGATAACTATTATTGTATAGTTAATCTCGTAACATCATTTTTATCTTTTCAAATTAAATATTCAGCATCTTCTATGTAATGGTTCATATGGATCTTGCATAGCAAATGTATTTTCTACAGTGTATATATATATATAGCTTTTATATTTGTGAAATTACTATTGATCATATACTTGTAGGTTAGACAAAGAAAATGAGTTAAAAATGATTTTCCAATAAATACAAGAAGATGAGGGGAAAAACAGAGTGATTTGACAATGATTTTTGTAAAAAAAATGAAATGAAAAACATTTTATTTATTTTGATGCGGAAATTATAATTAGGCGCATCCACGTGAGTAATGAAATTTGTAATGTATATCAACTTTGAATATTCGCAACAAATAACTTTAGTAGTCATAACAAATTCTTCATCATTTACCAGATAGAGTGATATATATACCTTGTTACTGGTTTTGAGGCCATTGAAACTGAAGTTGGCAAGGCTTGGAGTTGTCATGAGGCCATTAAAACTGAAGTTGGCAAGGCTAGGAGTTGTCATGGAGACCGGCTTATTGAATAGATCACTTATGTTTATTTGATGATTTGTATCATCATGATGTGCTAAACCCAGTTTCAGGTTTAGGTCCACCTTTTTTCCAGCATTATTCTTGTCATTGAAGCCATCATTTGAGGCAGTTGCTTGATGGAACCATCGAGAATCCATAGTGTTTGAAGTCTTTTTCGTCTGCAAATAAAACAACCACATCCACATAAAATTATCAAAAAATTAAAATAAAAATTGGACATGAAACTTTTTCTTTTGCAAATATGTATAACATCGATCTAATCTTGTAAGATTAAATACCGATCTCCTTTTTGCTTCTTTTTAAACAACAAAGGTGTAATAACGAATTTGGCGGTTAAGAAATATAATTTTTAGAAAAAGATTTGAGCAAATCTTATATTATCTATATATATGTAGAGAGAATGGAGAACACTATAAGATCAACCATGTAAATCTTTTTATATGGACAAAGGCACTACTAAAAAAAAACACAAACCCAAAGAATGGTTGGAGGGAGAGAGAAGGAGAGGGAAAAGAAGGCTTACAACTAGCAAAGGTATTAAACTAGTGAAGGCAAGAGTATTAGCTTAATTGCTAGTGGTGTGAAGTGACCAACATTCTATAGGGTCATATTTATAGGACTTTAGAGGCAAGGATATATGTGGAATTTTTGGAAAATAAATAATAAAAAAAGAAGAAAATAAGAAAAAATAGATATAATCCTGTGGTTATTTAGCCCACTAGAGAGTAATATAAAACATTCAATTTTTTCCTATTATATTATCTAAAAAAGGACAACTCCCATTAATAATCCAAAAACGTTAAACATCAAACAAAAAAAAAAAAAATGCAAAGACGATGTTTCCGTAAATTATCATATATGGCAATGGTGTGGTGTAATTTCAAAAGTAACGTTTTTTTTATAAGCCACGTTAGAGAGTAATATTTATGTATGTATGTATGTATGTATAAATATTTATATATACATACTATCTTTTTTTTCCTAATTAAATATATACTAGCACAAGATAGTGTGGATTTGTATGAGTTTCAAAATGAAAAGGTTTTTATTTAAGAAGATGTGTTAGAAAGTAATATTAAGTCATTCATAGCTTTTTAATTGACATTTTTTTGAATGTGATATCAAAACATTATTGGCTAAATAGTCACGAGTTCGAATTTTTCAATTCTCATATTCTCTTCTAATTATTTTTTTTTAAATCAAATATAAAATAGTGATGGATCTATATACTAATTTATTGCAAGTTCAAAAAACTTTCATTTAAGAGTAATATGAGATAGTTTTTTAACAAGTTACAATATAAATATAACACGTAAAGAACAAAAAGATCATATTCAAATACAGTTAAAACATAGTCGTATCATATCCGATTTCAATCTTTTTGGTTATTTTCATACTTGATGAGAAACTATTTTCTCAAAAAAAAAAAACAAAAAAAAAAACAAACCTTTCAAACATAATTATTTTGTCAATTGCTATCATATTATTTGTGTATTTAATCTAGCAAAAGGACAATGATATCCTTAAATGGAATATATATAGAAACTATATGGCTTACCACAATCCCTAAAAAAAAAGTACGAAAAAAAAAAAAACAGAAGGTAATACTCAAGCAGAGAAAAGAAAAATGTTCAAGCTCATCCGAGCTAAATTCAAGTTATCGTTATATATATATATATAATTCTGCAATTTATATGCACTCAGAAAACGAACTCCTTTTTTTCTAGGGAAAAAAAAAAAAAAAAAGGTTGGATGGCTAATGATGAATTAGTTTATAGATTTTCGTCTGCACATAATAGGAAAAAGATTGGCTTTAACATGTCTACGATAATAGTTTTTAAAAGTTCTTCTTCAAAAAAAAAAAAAAAAAAATCCTGTGATGGATAAAAATGCTGAGTATCTAAGAACTATGACTATTTACGGTATCTTTTACTGCGCAAGAAAACCATGAGGCCTAAAACAAAAATTTAAGATATACTAAAACAAATAAGGTAAGAGTATCTAAGATATTTAGCAAACAGCACACTTTCTTAAACAAGACACAGAAAAATATAGTAAACTCTATTAGCATTATTAATTATTCTATGTTTCAAAAAGTCTGTCTTCTTTTTTTATTTATGTTAGATCAAAATTTTAAGTGATATATTTTTCTAAAAGATACTGCTAAATCTACTAACTAAATTGTTATTTCTATCATTTTTTTTTAGACAATTACCAATACATCTTTTACTACATCATTCACCAATTACCAATAACTATTATATCGCAAATATTAATAGAGGGTGTATTGACAATTTTCTAAAAAATAGTAGGAATAATAATTTAATTAGTGAATTTAGCAATACTATTTTCTAAAATACTCTTAATTAATATTGGTTTCACGTCATGTAGGATTAAAATTGATGACTAACAATTTTATATTAAAAAAATGATATTTTAGGAAAATTAGTGCAAAAAGATTGAACAATTAATATTTTTTTTAATATGTGTGAAAAGTTAAAGAGAATAATCTCTTTGAGACATAAAAAGTGCTTGAAAAATGAAAAAAAGGTAAGCAGTGATTGATGTCTCTAATTTTAAGATTTGGATCTTCTCATGTCCAAGAAAATATGATCTATCATTTTCTAAACTTTCCAAAATAAATAAATGACTAAGATCCTGGTAGCCAATATTTACTTAATGTAATACTAAATTTAGATATTTGGATCTAGAAAAGGAAATTAAAACAAATCCGTAAAAAGAAACAAAAAAATCTAAGATTTCCAATTCTAAGTATAACCAATTTTGTTAGATTATTAGGAGAAATTTTAGAATACTAAAGGATGAAAAATTTTATAATACTCAACGAGTAACTAATAACATGTATAGTAGTTACATCTAAACCTACCAAAAGTGATAAGAAGATTTTTACGTTTACTCAATTTTTTTTTATTTTCTCTCTTATTTTCTCGTATCTATCTCTTTCATCAAAATGAATTTATAGAGTAACTAATGTACACGTCACTTGTTACTCTTTAAGTATTATAAAATTTCTCCTAAAGAATTAACTACATATAATTATTTCTTAGGGAAGATAGAGTCAAGAAGAAAATAGAAGCATGAGAAAGAGAATTACACACACACACACACACATATATATATATAACTCGATCTAGATGGAGATATTTTTATCATTTTTTATTTATTCAAATGTAATTTATTTATTTATAAATTTTATTTAAGTGTAATTTTTTTGTTTGAAAATTCGCATCCGCTCATTTTTAATTACATTTTGTGTATAATTGTTTTCTTTTTATTACAAGTACGAATATCCATTAATTTGTTGAATTAAATCTCTATATTTTAATAAATAAAAATTATCATTTTTTTAATAGTAAATCACAATGGACAATCAACTAATTAAAGTATTAAATACAAAACTATTATTTGGACCAACAACTTAATTTTATGTGTTGAAATAATCTTTAACGGTGGATAAATATAGAGATTATCTTTATTCATTTGGCCAATTCCCTCCATACCGAGAAAAAAATATGTTATGTATTTTTCTCACCGAAAATTTTATGTTATTTTGGATGTGGAATGCAGAAATATTTCGATTATCATTTTCTTTTTCTTTCTTTTTAACAAATGACCTTTGGGCTTTGGGCCCAACAAGTCCATTCCTGGAGTTGGCTAAATAATTAGTTATCTTGGGCTCGATCATTTTTCATATCTGGCAACTTTTTATTTGGGCCTCATCGGTTATGTTTGGGCTGTAGATAGCATGGGCTTGATCTATGTCATAGACCTAAACGACCAATCTACCACTCTAGTGGATGCACGGAAAGGGTGCGACAGCATTCAAAACCAAGGTAGTAAATTATAAATTATTCCCACTATTTTTAAGAAATGAATTAATTAGTTATTTTTATTTTAAAAATTAATTATTTAATTTTTTATCAGGATTAATGATGCTTAATTTAAATTATTTTATTTAAAAAAAATATATCCTTCCTCGTCAATCCTTTCATTTTTTTTTTTACTTTTTTTAAAAAATAAAAAATAAAAAAATTAAGTTACAAGAAAATTTTAAAATATAGAGATTAAATAATTAATTTTTAAAATAAATAAAAATAATTAATTCGTTTTTAAAAACTAAAGAGACTAACTTATAATTTACTCTTTAAAGCCAAGGTGATTTAAAAAATATATACGTAAAAGGAAAAAAAAAAAAAAAGAGCATAATTTCATTTTTCTTACAAGGAGAAATCCAACTCCAATTGAAATGATTATTTGAAATCTACACTAATTTAAGAACTTGTTTATGAGCAACGTCTATTTTAAATCAGGTTCACATAATAATTTCTCAATCTCAATATTACAAATATTAAGGACCACACACACAGATATATATATAAAAAAGAACATAGTCTTCCTATGTTTATGCGGAAATATATATATTAAAATAGACAGTCTGAGTTTAATTACTATAAATAAGTCACAATATAATAAGGTACTTGCATTAAATCATAAGATAAGAGAGAAAAACATAAAAACTGAAAACAAGAAATCAGGCATTTATTCATTAGATTAGCTCGTTATATATTTAACGGCTAGGGATTAGATTGGAACTTCTTGGAAACATCAAAATAATATTGACAAAATATATCCTAAAAAATGCCAAAGCGAAACATTGAAAAACCAACGGGATAAATTAAGCCCATATGTACTGATTTAATTTTAAATAATATTATTAAAGTACTTTTAGGTATCTAATATTAGGTTATTTCACATCAATTTTGTAAAAAAAAAACTGGATGTTTGTTTGTAAGTATAAAAAAAAAACTTCACTTTTTGAGTTAATTTTAAAAAATAAAAAAATCTGTTAGAAACTAGTATAAATTATATTCCGAGACCTCATCAATCGACTTAAGCTTTTAGGTGAGATGATCCTTTAATATCGTGTTAGAGTTTGATTGACCATGTGGTTATGAGTCCAAGTCTCATCATTCCCAATTTCTTAAGTATAAGTCTCACCATCCTCATCCAATTTCTCAAATATTAAGCACAAGATAATATGGATTTATGCAAGTTTCAAGCTAAAATATTAAGATTTTTACTTGAGGGGATGTCTTAGAGACCGATATAAATTATATTTTTAGATCTCACCTATCAGTTTAAGTTTTTAGATAAGATGATCATTTAATAAAATCCAAGAGCACCCAAACAATATCTAACTCTCTATAATACTTTAGGTAACACCATCACTATGATTTTCATTAGCGATGACTTTCCATTTATAATTTAAGTTTAAGGTTAGGTGACACCTAACCCTCGTCGCCTTACTTCTCTTATTAATTTATATTTTAAGCTAATTTATTTTCTTTACGTTGAGACACAACTAGCTAGAGTCTGCAAAGCCCGTCGGTAATTATGCCAAAGTGATTTATTTCTTGTTCAAGGAATTATTAGTATTATTTTCTCTGAGGTTGCTATTATTCTTGTTTTAGCCATTGGATAGTGAAAAGTGGAGATATCTAGATCATTGCCAATCCTTTGAAATTAAAGTGCATCTAAACTAATAAAAAAATAATGATATCCATGAATAGAATATTTGTAACGGAAATTATATGGGTAGCTCAACCCCTCAAAACTTTCTCCAGGTTCCGAAAAATGAAAGACAAAAAACAAGTCTAGAAAATAAAAGAAAGATTATTTATTATTGATTAAAAAAGCTTCGTCTTTTTTCTATAATCAAAGATAAATTTAAAGTTGCTGTTACTGCTTTCTATCTTTCGTTATGCACATAATCTGAAGATGTAAAATAGGAAAAAAAAGTTTAATTTTAACATGTCTTCACGACATTAAACCAATGATTCGATCAATGATCATGACTAACTAAGATCTAATAAATTAAAATATAGTGGAAAAAAGGAAAAAAGATCGCATGTGGATAAGAAATGTCACATGAGAGATTTCTATTTAGGAAAAAAGGAAGCAGGCAAAATAGAAACAAATAGAAAGAAAATAAAGAACCCAAGCTTTCGCTCAAAACGTACGTTAATTGCAACATCGAAATTTGATTATTAAAAAGCTCAGATAATTAATTTGATCACACAATCATTAATTTAACTGAAATTTGTACGGCTATAATAATATATAACAAGCTGATCATTTCTTATAGAACCAATTAACATTAATTTTTTTTTTTTTTTTGGGAGATACACAACTTCCATGCAAAAGGGGGAGAGTTTTGTAAAGCTAGTTAAATAGTCCATCTTGTTTTAAAAATTTACTCCTTAATCAGTGTTGTTTGTGCTTAATTTAATATAACTTTGTTTCAAAAAATGTTTTTTTTATCAATTTTTTTCATAATATCTATTTATTTTTTTATGCTTTCTATTTCTTATTAAAAATTAAAATAAATTAAAAAAGACCATGAAATGAACAAAATGACTAAATTAATTAGTTTTTTTAAACTAGAAGGAGTATTTAACAAAACGCTCATCAAATATGTGAATTTGTCTTTAACACTATAATACTATTATTAAAAAAAAAAAAAAAAAAGGAACTAGAGAGTCTTTAACACAACAAGACCAATATTATTATTAAAAACGAAAAAAAAAACACACACACACACTAATAGACTAATAATTATAGGGCAGATTCCTTCTAGCTTCAAGCTCCCTCCATCCTAAATTCCATTTCGATCACTGGCTGCAGCTTCTCTAGCCTTCTTCCGATCCTGCTCCTTTCTATACCTGATTCCACAGGCATTACACAAAGTCTGAAAAAAAAAACCCTAAGTTATTAAACTTTCGTGCACACATATATAATTATATTCAACTATTAAATGTAATGCTTTGATATATATCTTATTTTTTCTACTTAAAGAAGTTACCTTGTGTCCTAGGGGACCCCTCCTCCACATTGGAGTGTCCATTGTGTTACATTGCTTATTTCTGCATCTTTTATTGAGTTCACGATAGCAAATTTGCCGGGTTCGTCGTCGCGGTTGTCGCCGACGTGATCCATAAGAATTTTCAATTTGAGCATCTCTTGATGAGTCGCTCAACAATGTGTAATTTTTCAAAGTACTTGTTGGAAGCAAAGAAGGCCGGTGTTGGTTCTCCAAGTCATAATTGTAGGCTTGGCCACCTTGAGAATGGCCTCCTGGAATCATCAATCCAAAATTGATCTCAGCAACATTTCCAGATCGACCATCAATATTTGATCCGTTGGCGTTTGGAGCATAATAACTATTGTTAATTATGCCAAAGTGATCTTCACCAACATGTTCTTCGGTTCCATCAGCTGGTCCAAAGTTTAGCTCCTGTTGAAAAAATTGTTAGTATTTTTTTTCCTTTAGCTTCCTATTGTTTTTTGTTTTCGCTTTCGGATGGGGAAAACTGGTGCTTTTTTTTTTTTTAATTTAGCATTAGGATTTCTAAAATAAAGATGTGAAATTGAATGTGTGGAAATATGAATTTTAAGAAGGTGAAAGTAATGACTTAAAAAGAAATGAGAAAGATCATTTTGACATTTTTTGGTCAATAAAAGAAAACTGTGAGATTAATCAATAAAGAAAATATATGCATAACATAAAATTACGACCAAAAATATATGCACACCATAAACTTACGAACAAAAATATATGGAAAATTGTGTGATTCAAGTATTAGCAAAAAAGAAGAGAAGAGCTGAAAAAACAAATTATCTGCAATGTAAAGCAGGAATTAAAATGAAAGAGTTATATATCTAATATATAGTCCTAATTAAATAGAGCATAATTAAAAAAAAAATCTATGTTTTAGATTTCAAATATTATTTTAAAAATTCTATTATTTTTAATATTCGAACGAGTTTTTGGTAGGTGACGTTACAATAGTAAAAACAACGAAGATAAATTTGTTTTTATTGAGGCTACTTAATTACTTCCATAAACGACAAATTAAAAATTAATATTTTTACGAGAAACAAGCTGCAACGTTGTCCGGCACAAACTATGTTGAAAAAATACTAATAATTACATAGAGATCTCCCTTACCATTTTTTTTTATATGTTGACATTGTTTTTTTCAAAATTAGAACCAAGTAATCTCATTGGAAACCAGATGAATCTAGGATAGAAGAAAACATAAAAATTTTGCACCATTTATCAGATAGAGTGAGATACCTTATTGTCTTTGGTGTTGGAGCCAGTAGTCATGAAGACTGGAATATTGAATAAATCACTTAGGTTTATTTGATGATTTATTCCACCATTGTTTCCTGAACCTAGTCTCAGGGTTAGATCCACCATATTTTCTGCATCATTTTTGTAATTGTAGCTGCCATTTGATCCAGCTGCTGATTGATGGAACGACTGAGAATCCATGAGTGTTTGAAGTTGTTTATCTGCAAATTAAGAAAACCAATCCCATGCAAAATTACCAGATAGCTTTTTTAACAAATTAGAGAGATTTTTTTTTATATAAAAATAACTAAATATATAGAACATCGATCCAATAAGAAAAACACAAAAAATACTTATGATTAAAATGAATAACAGTATATATATATATGTGTGTATGTGTGTGTTTTTTAGGGGTTTAAGTTTTAACCCCATATGTGGTTTGATTTCAAGCATCAAAGGTGCAACAACAAATTTGACGAATAAGAACCCCCAAAAAAACATTTTTTTTCATATAGAAAAAGGTTTGATTTTAAGCATCAAAGGTGCAACAACAAATTTGACGAAATAGAACCCAAACAAATATCTTTTTTATACAGAAAAAGGCACTCCTATACAAAAACAAAGCCAAAGGAGATGGCTGAAGGAGGAGAGAGACTTACAACTAGGTAAGGTTTCAAAGTAAAGAAGAGAAGAATATTGGCTAAGTTGTTGGTGTGAAGAGAAAGGAAGAAAGGTAGCCTTAATTTATAGGGATTTCCTTGTCATGGTATATATGGAAGGTAAGAAATTTAAAAGAGAAAAATGGAAAAAACCCTATGTCAGGATATCATGTTTATATCATATTGATAAACTTAACCTTGTGTAAATAATTTTGTAAATTCAACAATGTGTTCATTACACTAAGACAAATCGATCCAACAATCCTCAATTGTTAATAAAAAAAAACTTATTATTATTTTTTTAATTTATTAGAAGACTCATAAGACCTTGGCTTAGATAATAAGAGATAACCCTCTCTCGTTACATAGAAATTAAATCTATTAGAATCATTATGATTCGAATTTACTTGATTGAAAAAAGTTATTAGATACACAACCGTTAGATTATATTTATTTGTATTGTCATTTCGGATAAAAAGTGTGTTTTATTTTTAAATTAGAATTGAGTATTTTAGTCAAAATCATGTGCCATGTTAAATTTAACATAATAAATGGATTTAAATTAATAATTGAAGTTGGTTGGATCGAATTGTCCAATATAACGAATATAGGGTCAAATTCATAAAATTATATAAGCAACATTCAAATTTTCAATGTGATATAAACACAAGTTCTCAAAGTCGGATTTTTTCAAGAAAAAAAGATGGACTAGATCTCGATACATAAAAAATTAATTCGCATACATACCTTATGTTTTCGTATTATGGAAACCATATCTGGAATTTGTCTTTTTTCATGAATTGGTTCCAAGTTATTCTAGTAAAAAGACAACGATACCCTTGACTGTAATATGCAAGAAGTACATGGCTAAGAAAGATGGCAATTTCACTCAATCGGTTAGATATCTGGTCCAATGTGATCAAATTGGATTGGACTTTTGTTCGGTTTGATCAGGATCAAACTAGAAACTAATAAAATTTGATCCGAATTGTCCAGAGTTGTATGCAAAGGTGGGTGAAGGGTTCGACCGCCTCGTTACCTGACCTACCTTGACCATAGCTTTTTTTTTTTTGAAGTTGTGATTTTATTTTGAATATAATGTATGATTTTTTATCTTATGATTTGTGAAGAACTCTTAAAGATTTATGCATAAGTTTGAAGTGTAGATAATTTATGGTTTTATGATTCATAGACAATGATATAATTATTTTAAAAAATTAATTTTATTTTTATAAAAGCTTATCTGCAAAAAAGAAAAAAAAAAAAGAAAAAAAGAATCTGGATCAGCATTTGGAATATTAATTAATTCCTAATTATTTAGTGGATTTCATAGAATAATTTTATAATACTCAATAAATAATTATCGATACTTGCTTCATAATTTCATTCTAAGAAGATAAATAGGCACAAAGAAAAAAAAATCACATTCGAATCTATAAAACATTATAAATATAGTTCAACCTAAGTTTTTTATTTTTAATTCTTTCTCTTTTCATTTTTTTTCCCTCTTCTCTTGTATGTGTCTCTTTCGTATGAAATAAGTATTGTTAATTGTTTTTCTTCTTAGTATAAAAATTTTCAACAACATTTTATAGATATTCTTACTCACAAAAACAATACGTTACTAATCCAACTAAAAAGGTAAGATTACCTCAGATGTTTAACAAACAGCATAATTTTCCAAATCAAACGAGAACAAATATAGTAAACGTAATCCATATGAAAGGTTTATTGGTTGAGAGGTGGGATAAAAACGTACAAGCCAATGGATCAAGTTTCACCTCCACAAGATCGAAGAATTCTCCTTCATACGTCACCGTGGGCCATCATTCAGGCCGATGACTCATGTTTTCACTGGTAGTCATGCCTAGCTAATTAGAACTGTGTCAGAAATTTTTCTGACCTGTATCCGAAGGATAGGAACCCCAATTTCTTGTCAAATAAAAATAAATTTTATATTCGTAAATCGAATAAATTATAAATTAGTCCCTCTTGCTTCTGGAAATGAATTAATTAGTTTCTTTAGTTTTAAAAACCAATTATTTAGACATTTTTGTTATTTTTTAATTTATATTGATTTTTTATTTTAAGAAATAGAAAAAAATAAAAAATAAGTAAAAATACAGAAAGATCAATGAAAAAAAGATATTTTTATAAAATAAAAATATTTAATTAATCGTGTTCAATACTAGTTAAAAAAATAAAAAATTATTTTTTGAAAATAGAGAGATGAATTAATTCATTTCTCTAAATCGAAATGGACTAACTTGTAATTTACTCTTCACAATTCACAAATCATGGGCCAAAAAACCAAACATGAGAATATAGGCTAAAGTATTATTTTCAGTGGACAGGCTTTTTAAGTATTGGGCCTACATCCTTAGTTAGGTTTGGTTGAACCATTGTATCTTGAGCATGGGCCTGTTATGATCAGGCTTTTACTTATAATTCTGGGCCATAGGATTTGTAAGGTTTTGAGAAGAAATTTCTCTCTGTGCCAAAATAAGCGAACAAATAACGAAGAATTTCTCATGGAAGGTTACAATCACATAAAACCAACACTAATTCTCATTATTCTTTCTTGCCATTGCTTCTAAACTATATCCTAAAATATCAGACTTCAAGTAACACCATCGGTGTGGTTTTCATAGTTACACCAAACTTATAAATTAGTTCCTCTAGTTGCAAAACGAATTAAATATTTTCTTTTATTATGAAAATTAATTAATTAGTTCATTAACCAGTATTGGTCATAATTAATTTAATTTTAAAAAATGTCTTCTTTCTTATCAAACTTCCTGTATTTTTTAACTCTTTTTTTCTATTTATTAAAAAAAAAAGAAGATCAAATTGATTTAAAAATATAGGGATTAATTTAAATAGTTATTGAAACTATAGCTTTTTTTTTGTGAGGTTTTAATTTAACTTTTTAATATAATATACAGATTTTTATCTTGTAATTTATGAAGGATTTGTCTAATTTTATGCATAGTTTTGAAGTTTAGATTTTATTTTATGGTTTTACGATTCATGAATAATGATATAATAATATTTTAATTAGATTTTATTTTTATAAAAATTTATCTATAAAAAATTGGGTCATGATTTGGAATATTAATTAATTCATGATTATCTAGCAGACATCATAGAGAAAATTTATAGCAGTAAATGGGCAACCAACAATATTTACTTCATAAATTCATTTTAAAAAGAAAAAAAGACAGAAAAAAGGAAAAAAATCGCATTTAGACCTATAAAAAATTATAAGAATATTTTTACTAATTTTATTTTTTCATTCTTTCTCTCTCATATTTTTTTCTCTCTCTTTGTGTTTATCTTTTTTCTATAAAGATTGTTAGTCATGTCTTGAACACCGTGAAATTTTTTGACAATAATTTATATATATTTTTACCCACCAAAACAAAACGTTACTAATCCAACTGACAAGGTAAAATTACCTCAAACGTTAACAAACAACACAATTGGGCTTGGTCGCTAAGTAGTGGGCCTTTGTCTTTTTTGGGCTTGGTAGAGCCACCGTATCTTGAACTTAGGCCTTCCATTATTGGGCTTGTTAGTTACACTTCACGCAACACCATCGGTGTAGTTTTCGTAGTGACAATTTTTCCTTCAGTATATTTAAGTTTAGGTGACACTTTTTGACCCGCCACCTATTTCATGCTAAATATTTTCTTACCACAATACAAACATCTATAAAAGTATAAAGGTTGAGAATATTGCTAGAACAAATCTAGGATAACAAAACACTCATCAAATATGTGGATTTATCTTTAACAATATAAGAATATTATTATTTTAAAAAAAAGTCTTTAACACAACAAGACCAATATTATTATCACAAAAAAAAAAAAAAAAAAAAAAAAAAATACTAAAAGACTTATAATTATAGGGCAGGTTCGTTAAAGCTTCAACCTCTCTCCATTCTAACTTCCTTTTAGATACTGGCTGCAGCTTCTCTAGCCTTCTTCTGATCCTACTCCTTTCCATACACAAAGTCTGTTAAAAAAAAAAAAAAAAAAAAACAAAGCTAGTAAACTTTCATGCACACACACATATAATTATATTAAACTGTTAAATGAAATGTTGTGATATATATCCTATTTTTACTAATTAAAAAAGTTATCTTGTATCCCAAAGGACTCCTTTAACACGAGAGTGTGCCTTGTTTTGCATTGCTTATTTTTATATTTTTTATTAAAATTATGATAACAGATTTAACGAGTCCGCTATCACGATTATCACCTACGTAATTTATAAAAAAATTTTAATTTTAACATTTTTTTGATGAATCGTTCAACTATATGTAATTTTTCAAAGTACTTGTTGGAAGCAAAGAAGGCCGGTGCTAATTCCCAAATCATAATTGTTGGCTAGGCTAACTTGAGATTAATTAATTCGTTTCTCAAACGAGAAAGAGTAATTTGCAATCTACTCTTCTCAATTCATGGGCCAAAAACCAAACATGAGAATATACCCAAAAGTACTATTCCCATTGGGCGTGCTTTTTAATTAATGGGTCTATGTCGTATTTGGGCTTTTTTGAACCACTATACCTTGAGCTTCGGCCTTTCATTATTGGGCTTTCACTTATTATCCGGGTCATAGGGTTTGTAAGGTTTTATGAAGAAATTTCTCATCATAACAAAATAAGTAAAATAAATAAATAAATAACAAAGAATTCACCAACACTAATTCTGATTATTCCGGTCAGTGCTTCTCGACTATATCTTAAAATATCAGACTTTTATGATCTTTTAACTATTACAGTAAATTACAAATTAGTTCTTTTAGTTTTGCAAAACGAATTAAATACTTTTTCTTATTAAAAAAAATTAATTAATTATTCCACTGATCAGTATTAGCTATACTTAGTTCAATTTAAAAAAATTCATTCTTCCTTATCAAACTATAATTAATTCAATTTAATAAATGTATTCTTTCTCATCAAACTTCTCGTTTTTTTTTTTTCCTAAATCTAGAAGCATAGTGGCCTCCCTAATCTTGTGATTCATGAAGGATTTATTTTATACATAACTTCTATTTTATAGTTTTATGATTTATGGATAATGATATAATTATTTTAAATTAATTAGAAATTTCTTAAAAGTATTATTCTCATTGGGCTTGGGTGTTAAGTAGTGGGCTTATGTCCTGTTTGGGTTTGATATAACTACCATATCTTGAGCTTATGCCTTTCATCATTGGGCTTTAACCTATTACTCTGGACCATAGGGTTTGTAAAGTTTTGTGAAGAAATTTCTCACCGTACCACAATAAGTAAATAAATAAATAAAAATTCTGATGGAAGGTTACATAAAACCAACACCAAGTCTCAGTTCATCTCAACTATACCCTAAAATAAAGACTTTCATCTTTTAAGTTCCATAACAATTAGAGTAAGTTTTGCAAAATGAATTAAATAATCTCTCTTATTTCAAAAACTAATTAATTAGTTCATTGACTGGTATCGATCATTGTTAATTTTATTTTATTTTATTTTAAAAATGTCTTCTTTTGTCATAAACTTTCTACATTTTTTTTCCTTATCTTATGGATAGCCTCGAAAAGGTTTATCATGTAAGTCAACTTGCATTATATATATGTAATTTTATTAACTCATGAGTTACATATATTTACCAACCAAAATTCCCTCCCGCACATAAATTTTCATTTCGACGAAATTGGCTAGCGAGAAAAGAAAAATAAGAAAACATCTTTTGCAAAACTGCCTTGATTACAACAAATCAAACCAAATCGTTTCCTATGCTTCATCAATTACTTTTCTTCCTCTTCTTAGACTTCTTTGCCTGAGATGGTACATCCTTTTCTGACAAGTTTGCAGGTGCTTTTTGCTTCTTTCTATGCTGTTTAGAAGGCGTAGGTTTAGCATTGTCAACATTAACTTTGGAAGGGGAGTCGCTTGCTGAAGATTTCGTCTTTGACTTCTTCGGAAGAGATTTCTTCTTTGACAAGTTTGTAGAACGTTTCCGCTGATTATTACTCGGCTGTTTACTAGGCATTGATTTCGGACTCTCGTCTTCATCAGAAGAAGAGTCATCCTCTGATCCATCTTCTTCAGAACTGAGTACGAGGTCCTCCACAACATCTTCATCTGAAGCTATCTCTTCTTGGTGTTCTGCCTTTCTCTTCTTCTTTTTCTTCTTTTCCTTCTTGGAAGGTTTAGCCCTGTAAACCATGGTAGAGTGTGGTTACTATGCCAGGGGTGTAACTAAAAGCATGCATCAGGATGTCGGTGGCAATAAAATTGATTGACGTCAATCACAGTACATCTTGAATTTGTAGAGGATTTCAGTAACTGCATATAATCTTCAAAATAACAAATATGGATCAATAACTCTAAATTAAGGGAGAGGCAGATGGGATCACTTACTCAGGTGTAACTCCAGGTAACCAGGAGGAACTAAATACAGCAGCACCTTTCTCATTCACAGCATCATCATCGTCTTCATCACTTTCCGGTATCTTGTTCCCGAAGACAGATGAGCGACCACCCACAAGAACACTGAAAATGTCCGGCACAAAGGTTACACAAATTAGCTAACTTAAACAATTGATGATTTGTTTCGTAAAGCATGAGAAGAACACTAATTGGTAACCTGGATTCTGTCAACAAATCAGTTCTTTGTTGTGCTATTTGGTGCAAAGTTGCAACATACTGTGACAAAGGACTCGCCCCTGACTTCTTTTCATCCTGTGACAAAAAGCAAGCAACTTAAGGTATGTCAGAAATCCAGGAACAATATGGAGGCAACAATCTGAAAAGGCCGAAACAAATCCCTGAACTGTATACAAAAGCAATAGCTAATTTGTTTATAAAAAAATTCAACAGAGTGACAAGGAAGCAACAACGATATGAAATAGCAATACCTCAAGAAAAGATGCTGCTGCAGGATCGTTTGGCACAAAAGCAATTGACATGCGCTTTTCATTTGTAAACTTCGAATTAGCCACAATCTGGACATGGATGAGCTAAAAAATTAGTACTGCTCATTGCTCAAGACTTTTCTGTTACATGTAATGTATTTATTTATTTCGTACAGCAATCTTCCTACCCTAATACAGACAAATCCATCTAAAGAAGAGCAGATATGAACTATACATAATAAATACCTGACGATTAAGCTCCCTCATTTGTTTCCGGAACCTTTCAATTTTGGTAGTCTTGCAAAAACTCCTCACTCGGGCAGCTGGAATGAAAGACAACTCAAAAAAAGCAACTGAATAGCTCCATTGAGCTAGATGTTCAGCCAGTTCTTCTACGACAGAAAACACACATGCCTCCTGGAATGCTCGTGTCTTCAGGATAGACTTGTTCACCTAGCAGAAAATTTCTCAAAAGTCAATGTATTGATAAGGCATTATTAGGGATTTCCCCCAAAATAAGAACAGAAACAATGTAACTTTACATGAAAAAGAAAAAGTCAAACATACCTTTAGTTCAGTACGCAAATCAACAGCTTTACCAACACCTCCAGTAGGGGGCCTATTCAGTTCTTTCATCTCCAACATGTCCAGAAGCAGCATAGAAACAGGTATAAAAGTACCAGTAGAAGCAGCAATCTGATTAAGCATTCTAACACATCTCAATCTAAGGGGAAAGTACCGAGCAGTAGGAACTAGGCGTGCAACCCCTGAAATTATTTGGGTCAGTGGATAAGCAAGAGGCCTAAGATCAGCTTCTGAGCTATAGGTACAGATAGCTCCAGTCCAAAGTTCAAGGCAATTCATGAACTTCCACTCATAAACCTTGCGAAATGAACCCTACAGAAACAGTGAAAGGCAAGAAGCAGAATGAGTAAGTGAAAATTTAGCATCTTCCAAGAGAATTGAGAACACAAATAATAATTTAAATCAATCAGAAGAAATAAGAAGAAAGACTAGCAATGTTCAAACTGCTTGATCAAGGAATAAGTTCAACGCCATAAAATAGCCACGCGACAAAAACCTTCAAGTTGCTTGATAGTACCAATACATAGAATACAGGAAGATTGAATTCAAACTCTAATACAATGACCTTGCCTAAACCCCAGACTAGTTGGGGTCAGCTATATGGATCCTTTTGTGCCACTCAGCTACATGAATTCACACATCATTATTAGGAGAAAAATCTCAGAGGAAAGTGGAAGGCAACTGATCTACTAACATATCAAATCAATTAGACCAACTAACTTCATTAGTAGAAATTGGATGATTAAACAAGTACTCTTTTATTTGAAAAGGAAAATTTTCAAAATACCTTAGTTTTCATAGTAATTGCATCTCGTAAGATCATTGCCAACTGGCGGATGAAAACAAAGGCATGTTGATATGCAGTTGGCAGGTCCACCCCAAGAAGTTCAATGACACAATTCGCACGAAATTGAATATACTGTAACTTTGCTGCATTTACAAAGTGACAGTTCAAAACATAGGCTTTGTATATCCCTTTGAAGCAATCATCTAAGCAATCAGATCCAATCCGAATGCAAATGTCCCTTAAAAAGAAAAAGGCCACCAGAGGGAGGACACCTTCTCCAGTACTCCAAAAATGAAGGGCAACCTGAAACAAATCAGGAAAAATGAATTATTACCTGCTCCCCAAATGATCATAAGACTTTGGTATTAAACTGATTGACAGTAACTCAAAATCAACACAGAATCAACAGGACTCATGCCTCTTATACATAAAAAATCACAGTCTAGTGCTTCTGGTACTTTCATCTAAAGTAAAAGAGTTAGCATGCATTCCATAACTTGATTTAAACAATGAAAAAAGTGTGCTTTTAAGATAGTCAAAATCAAATGATCTTAGCTGATTTGGGGTATTATGTTTGGTGCACTGACTCGAAGACCTCTCATCAGAACTGAATCACATCACAGTTAAACTGATCGAGTAGTAACCACAATAACCACGCACAAAAATGTGAAAAAAGATGTGTCAAATTGTTCATACCTTAATGTATTTCCGTAAGAGAGCTGGAAAGGCAACTAAAAGCACAGATGAAAATTTGAGACGGCGTAAAGTAAATGATATCATCTGGGTGTCAGTCATTTGGTTTAAAACGTATAGGGCATTTCCAAGATAAGACTTCGCCAGGTGGTTATAGTTCAGCCATTTTTTTGTGTGCAGAAGTTCATTTACAGTCTCTTTCTTCCCACCATAGGCAGGGAGGCCCAACACATTACGAAGAATTCCATCCATTTCACTTAATACAAATATCATCACTTTATTGAATACACTGCTAGACATAATACTATATTTCACTGACGAATCAACACCTCCATCATCACCATAGTGGCATGCAATTTTGAAAGCTTTCAAAAGAGACCGAATGGCACTTATTTTTCCATTTTCTCGAACTGAATTGCACCAGGACTCAACCATAGCAGTAGTAATAACATTGAGAGATGGTTTCTCATCTTTCTTTGCAATATCATGGTCTCTAATTTCCTCATCTAGAAGCATATCTGCATCCTCCACATCTGTACCACCATCTTCCTGCACAAATTTTAACAACATGATTGGGCCATTTGATTGTACTTATTACATAAAAAAAAATGTGAATATGAGAATATTCTGCACATTTACCTCAAAATCCTCATCATCAAATTCTAGAAGCTCCTTATCATGCTCTTCCAGGTACTTAAAAAAATCAGGATCCTGTTAAAAATTAACTTTTTAGCAACTTGTACACAATCAACAAGGAAGCGAGAAAAACAGAAGATCCATTAGTCATGACGCAAGTTCATTTATTATTACTAAAAGCATTAACAATCTCCCAAGTCCTTCAAATGCATATATTTCTATTCTCATAATAATCAAGTGCAAAATCCAAAATGCAACATGAAATTGAGAACCTCAAGTACTCAAACCATGAAGCATTGCAACCTAGAGAATCTATCTCTCAAAATTCAGCTCCTAAAAACCCCATGAAAAAAGTCGTCCAAGCACCAGAGCATAACATTTCCGCTCAGTTACCCATTTATTTAATAAAAAACACTCAATTCAAAACATACCATCCAAGAATAAATCATATCTAACCTTTTCCTTAAGCCTTTGCAGCTGGTCTTTATGCTCTTTAGCTACTACTTTACGCGACTTCTTCAACTTCCTTCCACTTCCTCTCTCTTCTTCCTGCAGCTCGTCTTCATCACTTGTCTCATGCTCTAAACCCCTAGCTGAAATCATCAATCACAAATAACGAAAAAACTCATTAGCAAATACTCAAAAACACATAAACCAAACTGCAAAAACAGACAAAATAACCCCATCAACCCATAAAAAATGGAAAGAAAAAACCCATAAAGCTTCAATCTTTTTCAATAATACTGTATATAAAGAAGGGAAAAAAACATGGGTTTTTAACTTAGTAAATAAATCAATAAACTTAACCATGAAAAACCCATATCAGACCAAGATTAAAAGCAATAAACTTAACCATGAAAAACACCAAAAAGAGATGCTAATAACATAATTATGCGTGTATAAGAAAGAAAGAAAAACCTGGATATTCAATGTCCATGTTGAAACTGAATATAGGGAGCTGCTCCTGTCGTAATCGGAAGACAAAATGTTAACAAAAAAAGTGAATAATTTGAAAAAAAAGAAAAAAGAAAAAGAAAAAGAAGGGTTTTCAAATACCTGTCTTGGATACTTCACTGAGCAGCTAAAACCCTAAATTTTCTTTTAAGGGTTTTGTTTGTTTTTCTGTTCCTTTCTTTATTTGGGCCTAAAACTTCGATATATGTACATATATATATATATGAAAAAAAAAAAGATTAAGAAAGCCCAGAAAGATAAAGTGGGCTTTAGATGGATTTGTTTTTGGAAAGCCAATCAAGATAAAGTGGGCTTTGGATGGATGTGCTAGAAGACCGTTGGTGATGTTTATATTTTATTTTTAATTGGCTCAGAGCATTTTAGCAAAAACATTAATAAATTGAGTTCAAAGTTCGAACAACAATTTTTAAAAAATAGAGCATTTTTTCCCACCATATTTTATTGAAGTCAATAGTCGATGATATCATTAAATCAAAACAAACTAATTCAAAATAAATCTCATTAAAAATATGGGTAATTTTTTTTTTTTTTGTGAAATTTATGAGGTTTTTCAATTTTACCTTAAAATTTTGTTAGTATTAATCCATCTCCTTTTAACCTTTATTAAAGTTTTAATTTCCACCATCTTCAAATTCCGCTAGAACTTATTCATGGTGGTAAAAGTAAATATATGTAAATTTTAATTTCATCTCTAAAATTTATCAAATATAAAGTTTGATGTAAATTCTTTTTTCTTTTTTTCTTTTTTTTTCTTATCAAGTACACACCAAACTTTTGATTATCCATGTTCGTTTCAAGCCATTTGTGAAGGACCGTATTATGATTTTATAAATAAATTGTGGTAAAGATATATATTGTCAAATTTATATCTATAAGTTTAAAAAATGTAAATATTTAATTTTACACAGATTTCTTCTAGTCGATCCAATTCTAGATTCAGTTTCACATGCCTTTAGTTGATTCAAAATCCAAATCGACTTTCATGATTTTTTTTTTAATCTTGGAGTACTTCTTAGTTTTTGAGGTTTAGTTTACAAACTCAAGATGATTCTAAATACTAATAAATTAAAATATGAAATTATCATTGTATTATATCGATCTGATTAAGTATGTTTTTTATTATTTTTTTGATTTATTATATTCATCTACAATGTTTTTTTTTTTTTTTTAATTCAGTATGTCATTTGGTTAAACAAACAACAAACCATGGTTAGTTTTGCCTAACCCCTGGACCTAAATTTCACTTATTCATTTTCTTGACATACGTGGCTCAATCAAAATACCAGGTATTTTACATTAATCATGCTAAAAGGACATAATAAAGTAGGAAATTTTACTTTATTACAACATTAAAAGTAAAGATTGTAAAACATAAAGAATGTAAATTTATTGTAAGTAAGGATGGACCTAAATTTTCTTTTAGGGGTTTTATTTGTTCTTCTGTTGCTTTCCTTATTTGGGCCTGAAACTTGGAAATATATATAAAAAATGGATTAAGAAAGCCCATCAAGATAAAGTGGGCTTTCGATGGATGTGTTTTCAAAAAGCCCATAAATAGAAAGTGGACTTTAGATGGGTGTGTTTTCAGAAAGCCTAGAAAGATAAAATGGGCTTTGGATGGATGCATTAGAATTTTATTCAACAGAATGCATTCCTTTGTATTCCGGCATTGTATTTTTTTTTTTAAATAATACATTAAATTTAAGTTTCGAATAAAAAAGTTAAAATATGGAGCTTTTTTTTTTACCATCGAATCTCCTTGAAGGTAATAGTCGATGATTTTATTAAATCAAACAAGCTAATTCAAAGTAAATATTATAAAAAATTTGAGTAAACTTTATTTTTTTTCCGATGAAATTTATGAGGTGTTTCAATTTTACCTTAAAATTTTGTTCGTATTAATCCTAAAAAGTCAAAACTCCTACCATGAGTTACTTTTTGTTATTTCTAAAACACTCTAATTTAGATATAAACAGCTCACAAAAACCCAATTAACCAAAAATTCTAAGTTTGATCCATTATCACATTGGAGATATTGTAGAAGAATAAAAATCCATTTTAGAAGAGACAGTCTTAAAGAAGATTCTTGATCGTGAATAGGGGAGGAGAATAAATAAATATTCCAATCTGACAAGAAGTTGGAGGCTATCAAGACGAGTGTTTGTTATTATTTTGATTACAAACAAAACCTGCAGAGACGCTTTTCTTGATGGGGGATTTTGCATGATTTCTTGACATGATTTGACTGTGCTGGTTTTGCTCGTACAAGTTGGACAAGACTATCCATCTAACTACAAGTTAAGCTTTACAAAAGTAGAAGCACCGAAAAAAATATAAAACTATTGACCGATACAAAGAATGAAGATTACTTGATATACATTTTTTAGGAATGTAATTCTCTTATTAAAATTTTATTTTAAAATATAATTATTAATTTTTTTAGTAAAAACCTACGCTATTGCAACTTGAGGGGGTTAATGTATGATATAGTATTGCTAACTTGAATTCTAGTGACAGAATGGTAAATCTCACGCACAACTCCATGTAAAAGAACAATTAAAAATTATAAGTAGAGTAGTAAGATTTCAATAGTCGATTCTTATATTTATAAAACTCTTTTTCTTTCTCTCTCTCTGTTTTTTTTTTTTTTTTTTTTTTTTTTTTGGAATTGGACCTAAATTATTAGTGGATTCAAAAAATCTGATTCTTAAAATCAATTAAAAACTAAATATGATATGATCCTAACCTAATTTAAAAAGTGATTAACTTAGTTTCGATTGATGTAAAAATTTATTTGAAAATAATTTATTATTTGTAAATAAAGAAAAAAATTAGAAATATAATTATCTTATATGATTTTTTAATTGTTTTGTTATCGTAGAAATATTTAATGGCTACACAGCTAATTAACAAAAATAAATAGAGACCTAACTTAAAATTTGTCAACCACACTAGACTTGCATCCAAGGACACCACATCAAATCCTCAAGCAAAGAACAAAACCATCGATTTTAAATCAAGTAAAAATTGATCAAACCAAGATCATTTCTTGATGTTGATGTGTCAATGACAATGCAGGATGATGAAGAAGTGTCAACAAATTTATAGAAGCTCACCTTCCAGCCATGTGATGGAAAAACTGCTGAGACCCCACTATTGAGACTGCTCTTAAATAGAGGCTTTTGTCAAGGCCACGTACTAAAGAAATCAAGCAAGCAATGCCTAACAAGGAGGACAGACACTCAACTTTAAAAAGAGATAGCTAGCTAGAAAGATTGATATAAACATTATATTATATTTCTATTCTTCTTAAAGTTAGTTGAATTATTATTTTTTATGTCTTAATAGATTAATTAATATTCATATTTATTTATAAGACATAAATTCGGGATTATGAGTAATTGTGTTTAAAAGTTAAGAATTCCAAAATGTTTTCACTTAGACCTTTTGTCTTTCTTGTAGATTTTTGATATATTGAGAGTTTGAATTGAAAGAAGCGTCCTTCGTAACTTTTATAGAGGACATCTCAAGCTTTCTAGAATGATGTGTTGGGTCAAAATCCAAGTTCTTTTGGATCTCCAAATAATATCTCAAAATTTGATCAAAGAAGTTGATGTGGAATCCCGTTCGGCCCAGAACCATTTTTTGTTTTTTTAATTCATATTTGGAGTTATAGAAGGCCAATTGATGCAAATCCAATCCTAATAGAGAGTTATAACCCATATTTACAACTTTGATGAAGGGTTTAAGTCCAAAGTAGGTGGGTTTAAAGTTGGAAATTAGTCGGCAAGTCGGTTCTTAATTCCGGTTGGACTAATTTGCACGGTTTCGGTGTTTGGCACGCAACTTGAGTTTTAGACTTTCAATTGATGCAAAATCAACGGCATTGGAAAGATAACATATAGGACTAAAACTCTTTTAAAGAAAGAAATCTCTAATTCGGAATGTACCTAGTTCTAAATTGACGACAAAGATAGAACAGGAAATCGGGATTCGATTTCGGGAGATAACTTAGAAAGAGTTATGATTACATTAAAACTCTGTCTTCATCCGATTTTTGAGAGGATATTTTCGGATTAAAAAGGAAGAGAACACATTTTACTGCTAGCTCTCTTTTTTGGCTTGAAAATTTAATTTGTTTTGAAGAACCATAGAGGAGCTTTTTCTAGACAACGAGACCTTACACTTTTTTTTTCAAATAAATTCGTGTTCTTAAAAGCTATGAGTGGCTAAAGTCTCCGATTCGGCTTAAGGAAATTCAGTCCGGATCTATGTGATTGTAAGACCTATTTCTACCTTTCATCTATCAATTCATTAATTATCTATTGTTCTTATAGGGGTTATTGATTTATGATTGCAATTGATATTTGTTTTATAAGGTCCCATTGAACAAATATTAATTGGAATATATTGCTAGAATTAATGTGGTAATCCGTAATTGTTATCATATTGTTCATGGTAGCATAGATATTTTTAATGATTGTGATCCCGGCTTTCGTTATTAATCTTTAAGAACATAGTGTGGATTAAATGGTTGCTTGCTTGTGTTAAATCATTGTTCATAGTAATCTCTTCTTAGAACCTAATGCTTGTCATTTAATAGAGGAGGATCGTTTGTATACCGAATCATTAGATAACAAAGATTAATTTGAGTGCTTCACTTGAATTAATTACTCGGGGAAGAAATATGTTATGTTTTCGCTTATGAGTATAACTTGATTGCTTAATTAATGTTTTATAGTATTATCTTTTGTTGTCGATGGTCGAGTCACCTATTTGGACGAAATAATTACCCTTGGGCTTGAGTTTCTAATTATTGATTTACAATTTTATTTTAATTTGTTTTTGTTTAATTTCAAATTTTCAGCAAACAAACCCTTTTACTTTTGTTATTCGGTATTTATTAATCACAACGAGTCTTTGTGGGTTCGATTTCTATTCCCTTATCTACATTATTGTTGATTGTCAAGAATAAAGTTTATTTTTGGTGTGCTTGCGACATATATCAAAGATCTTACGACAAGTGTTTTTCTTCCCAAAGGGAAGTACTTGCTATTTATAAATATTCGGGTACATTTATTTTCAAGATCATATATATATATATATATATATATTTGTCTATAAATTATTGTTTGCCTTCTATTTTTGTTGGTTTTAAAATAATTGTCTAACCATAATATATAAATTATGTGTTTTACTATAATATTTTTAATTAAACCTCATTTGTAAAGACCCGCAGTAGGAGATGTCAAAAGCAAAAATAGTACGTAGAGTCAAATCGTAACAAGGTAGCTGTACTGAAAGGTACCGGTGGATCATCTTCTTTTCAAAGAGAAACAATGTTTGTTGGATATTCTAGTTTGACAACGTGAATTTCATGAAAAAAAAAAGGACGGAATTATGAGTTAAACTTGTCTATGAAAGTCTTTTTTTCTTTCCCAACAATAAAGTAAAACCAAACTCATCCGATAGCAAAACAGAGGTGATCGATGACATTTCATAAGATTAGAATGAGATATTTTAAAAAAAAATGAACAAAAAATAATGATATAACATATTAATGAATGATGTTTTTAATATATATGAAAATTCAAATACGATATCATTTTTTTTTTTACGGAAGCAGTAGTACAAATGCGATTTCTACTTCTTCTTCTCAACTTATATATATATATATATATATATATATATATATATAAATAAGTATATCTTTACAAATCAACCTCCACCATTCTTTAACCAGAGCTCTTCTTAGCCACAAACCATGCGTTAAAATAAGAACAAATACTTCAAATAATTACAGAATACACACACACACATGTTAAAATAAGAACAAATACTTCAAATAATTACAGAATACACACACACATGTGTGTGTGTGTGTATTCTGTAATTATTTGAAGTATTTGTTCTTATTTTAACGCATGGTTTGTGGCTAAGAAGAGCTCTGGTTAAAGAATAGTGGAGGTTGATTTGTAAAGATATACTTAAACAATTATTCTTTTTTTACTGACTATTGCCATGCAGCATATATACTATAGAGCTTGATTTGACAAATTATTCTGATCTATTCTGGAGTCTGCTTTTGCATGCCCATCACTAACTTTTCGTGTGACATTCTGCAGAGTTGTTTCTTTCTATTTCTATCTCCATTTTTGTAAATTCCAGTGTGTATCACGGGTAGCATTATCTCATGCAGCAAAACCTCACAGTTGGAACCATATACATGTATAGTTATTGTCAATCTTGCAGCTGGTTTCATCATATTCCGGTTTTAAAGAAAAAAATTTCGGCTCATTTAAAAAATCTTGGATAAATACTAATATCCAAAAGCCAGTTATAACCAAAAAAATAAAAAATAAAAATAATAAAATTAAAAAATGAAATAAGGCAAGTTTGGTATTTTGTTGTAATTCTTACTAATATCCAAAGGCTAAATAATGATTTCACCCTCATCACTAAATCATAAGGGTCTCTTACATTAGAAATAATAATTTTTTATTTTCTAGAATTCCAAAATTAATGTTCTCTTCATAATTTAAGTTAATTGCAAACTGTAATTAACACAAGGTCAGTCATGCATAAAGTTGGATTTCTTTAATTTATTTTTTTTATGATAAATTTCTTCAATTTTTTCAAATTAATTTGATTAAAAAAAAGGGATGTTGTGGTTAATTAGTGTTATTACTTTATTAATATTCGGTGTCCATAAATTTGATGGTATTTTATTTAAATAACCAAATATTTTCATTTTCATTTTTATATATATCTATATTTAGTACTCTTTCTGTTCGGTAACCTTTCATGAGATCAACCTTAATTTCCTACAACACCGACATTGATGAACAATAGACGCGGTTTTTTATGGAATTCTTCGTAGACGTCCAGTGCCACCAGCACTAAAAATATTCTAGAGTAAACTATAAATTGGTCCCTTTAATTTGGAGACATAAATAAATTAATTCGTTTTATTTTAAAAACCAATTACTTAATTTTTTAACCATATTGACTATAATTAATTTAGTATTATTTTATTTCAAAAAGTATTTTCTTTTCTCATCAATATTTTTAATTTTTCTTTTACTCTTTTCTATTAATTATTAAAATGAATTGAAAAGGAACTAAAAAGATTAAAAAATATAGAAACTAGATAATTAGTTTTTAAAATAAAAGGAACTAATTAATTTGTTTCTCAAAACTAAAAAGATTAATTTATAATTTTCTCAAATATTCTCTGTTTGATTTTGCCATCCTCTTTCATTGAAAAACATGGTTTCTGTCTTGTTGAAAAGATGAACTTATGATCTAGCCATTCTTATTCTGTTATTTCTTTTATTTTTATGGGATTTTATTCTTATTCTTATTCTGTTTGCCAAAATTTGTCAAATTTGCTCATTTGGCAGCAACTTAATTTATACCGCTATATATTCTGTTCTATCTAGTATGCACCGTCTGCGACTTTAGAATTTGCATCTACTGATATGAAATAATTTGACTACGATCAAAATGCTATTCCAAACAAATTAAATTTCCATTGATCATATATAATTTCAGGACTTGCAAGGAAGCTTAAGTTTAAGAGAACTATGGAAGCCAATGGAGGGTTTAACCCTGATGGCAAGGGTGAAGAAAAGGAAAGCCACATCAAGAGAGTGCCAAGCACAAAGCCTCCATTCACACTAAGCCAAATCAAGAAGGCCATCCCACCCCATTGCTTTGAAAAATCCCTTCTCCGCTCATTCTCGTATTTGGTTTATGACCTGTTGATAAGCTCTCTTTTTGGCTATGTTGCCATCAATCACTTCCACCTCCTACCATCTCATCTTGCCTACATTGCATGGCCTATCTACTGGATTCTCCAAGGCTGCGTTCTCACTGGTATTTGGGTCATTGGTCATGAATGCGGTCACCAAGCCTTCAGCGATTACCGATGGGTTGACAACTTGGTTGGCCTTATCATCCACTCTGCACTTTTAGTTCCATACTTCTCATGGAAATACAGCCACCGCCGCCATCACTCAAACATAGGGTGCCTCGACCGTGACGAAGTGTTCGTCCCGAAGCCTAAGTCCCAAATTCCATTCTATTCCAAGTACCTAAACAATCCACCAGGGCGAGCTTTAGGTATTGCTCTCACGCTTCTGCTTGGCTGGCCCTTATACCTAACCTTCAACGCCTCCGGTCGACCCTACCCTCGCTTTGCCTGTCACTTCGATCCCTATAGCCCCATTTATTCTGATCGTGAAAGGCTTCAAATTTACATCTCCGATCTAGGCATTTTTGCTGCTACTTTTGTGCTCTACCGCATTGCTATAGCACAAGGGCCGGCATTCCTGATATGCATTTATGGGGTACCTTTAATTTTTGTTAATGGTTTCCTTGTCCTCATCACATATTTGCAGCACACTCATCCTTCATTGCCACATTATGATTCCTCTGAATGGGAGTGGCTTAGAGGAGCTTTGGTAACGGTCGATAGAGACTATGGGATTCTGAACAAGGTTTTCCATCACATTGCAGACACACATGTTGCTCACCATCTCTTCTCTACAATACCCCATTATCATGCATTGGAGGCTACTAAAGCAATCAAGCCAGTACTGGGTGAGTACTACCAGTTTGATGCTACTCAAATTTACAAGGCTGTGTTTAGGGAAGCAAAAGAGTGCCTGTATGTTAAGCCAGATGAAAAAGGTGTTTTCTGGTACAGAAACAAGCTTTGAAGTTTCTGCCTCTAAAATCTAGCTAGCTTGCCAGGTAACCTTGAACAAGGAAGAATATATTCTGTTCATCCATAATGAAGAGAAACTTGTAAATCAATGAAACTCAACAACTTTTCAGCAGTTTTTATCTTCTTACTTTTTAGTTGATATCAGCTTTTGTCTTATGAGATTAGACAAGTGAGGCAATTAATTAAGATTAGAAATCTGAGAAATTTAATTAATTAGCTAGCTTCAAAAAACAGGACAGTACTATACTGAAATCTTAAAAGAGGCAAAACAAATTCAAGAGGGATATTGGCCCTACTCAAATTTTTATAACAACAAATAACATCCTGATTCAGTTTTCGAATTTTAAAATTGTTTTCAGAATTTTCACGAGTAAATTATAAACTAGTCCTTCGAGTTTCAAGAAAAAAATAAATCTTTTTTGCTTCAAAAACTAATTACTTAAGTCATTTATTAGTATTGACTATATTTAATTTAATATTTTTTTATTTTAAAATGATATTTTTTCTCATCAATCATTCTATACTTATTTACTCTTTTTTTTATTTCTAAAAAAATAAATTAAATTGAAAAGAGTTAAAATATTAAGTTGCGAGAAAATTTGAAAATGACATTTTCTCATCATTTTTTTACTTATTTTTTCTTTTTTATTTCTTAAAAAATAAAATAAATTAAAAAAGAGATAAAATATTAAGTTACAAGAAAATTTGAAAATGACATATTTTCTCATCTTTTTTTCCTTATTTTTTGTTTTTTGTTTCTTAAAAAAATCAAAATAAATTGAAAAGGAGTGAAAATATTAATTCACAAGAAAATTTTGAAAATATAGAGACTAAATATTTATTTTTTTAAACAAGAGGTACGAATTAATTCACGTGTAAAAAATAAAGGAACTAATTTATAATTTACTCTAATTTTTACTAGTAATCCTTTTTTTAAAATCATTTGTTTTATGTCTCTGACGGTTAGTTTTTCTATCATTATTCTTTAATTTATGTTTTTAAAACTGCTATTTTCTCATTAAAAATCAGTATATTAATTTAAAAACAAAAGCGGCTACTAACTTGTGATTAATTGATTTTTTTTGTTTTAATTTATTATTATTGTTGTTGTTGTTGGTAACAAATTTAGGAACGACTTCATTTTTACAGTATGGGCCTAGCCATATGATATTCACAACTCTAAACAAAAACATTTAGCCCGTAATTGATATTATTCTCAAATTAAACAGCCAGTTCAAAGCTCAAATAAGGCTAATTACAAGCGTTAGCCAGCCTAAATATTTTGGAATATTTTTTAATAAAATATTAAAAACTATATTTATTATATTGTTTATTTAAGAAAAAAATTAAAAAAAATATGATTGATTTGAAATAGTCATAAAAGGAGTACAAGATGGTTTCAAAACAGTCATTTATCCAATTTAATGTAAAAAAATAAAAAATAATTTTATCATCATTTGTGAATAGAGATGCTATCATAATCACAAACACAACCACAGTCAATGCTACGAGCACGACCACAAGCCTCAAAGCCTCTCTACTTGATTGAGACAATTCAACATTAGAAAGCAGCAGGGGGGTTCATTAATTTTATTTTTTGGACCAATTTAATTGGAATTTCCAGCTTCAAATTAAATTTTGTTGAAACACGTATTTTGGATAAGGACACATAAATTAATCTATTCTTATCGCTCGTACGTGAATGATAAATTTAATATGAGCTGGAATTCGAAGTTCTATGGTCAAATCTTGTTTATCATAGATAAAGATTATTAATTACATATGCCTAACATAAACAAGCTTTTATTTTCAATTTTGAAATATCAAAGATCTTAATATATATATATATTCGACGGTAAGAAATATTCTCGAACTAACGATCTTAATTTTTTAAGGATGCACTCCTGTCTAATACATATAATAGCCATTTAATTACTTATAATTAAAAATTGTATGCATACCTAAATGTATATATATTTGCATTTATTAATTTGTATGTATACGTCTATGTGTGTTATAAGCAAATTTAATATAAAACCATTATCTGCCTTCATACTTATAACTTAAATTTTCGAATTAAAATGGTTATTAATTCATATATCTCATTATCAAATTTGACATACATATATATTATTATCTAAAATAATTTTTTTCCAAAATAGTGAATTTTTAGAATAGTGAATACTATTTAAAAAATAGATATATATTGTTAAGCCACCATCAAATTTGTTATTCCCACCACTTATTTTTTTTAACTAGCAACATATATATATATATATATATATATATATATATATATAAATTTTCAAAGAACTAGTTTTGGAAATAACAAATTTGATGGTGAATTTAGCAACAATTACACCTTTAAAAATCATCAGAAAAAAAGAAAAAAAACACGCAACAAAATTGTATATTCTGAAGGACGTAAGCAATGAATGCCAATACATGTTTATGGCAAGTCTAACTCATCCCAGTGCCATTCATGGAAAATTATCTCATGCGAGGAAAATAAAATATCTCGACAGCCAACTTTCCATTGATATTCTCTGTGGCTTCTTTTAACCATTCCCAACCCTTTCTAGTTGTGTGCTGATATAATCTCCAGAGGTTAGTGCATCTAATGGCACAACACTTTCAAGCCAATTTTATTGTCCTGAGCCAGGACCTTCTTCTTCTAGGTCAAGACTCACCATGTCCTAAACATGGCTCAGATCATGAGTCCAATAGAACAAGTGCTGATTTTTCAGGGAGTTAGCCTTCTTGTTGTATTTGGATAGGGAAGTGGTCAATGTATATACCTTCTTGGTGCAGCATAATTTTGTGTTTTTTTCGTGCTAAGAGATTTCCAAGAGAACTGAGATTGACATTTTTTTTGCCATGTTGGATTGGGAGGAAGGTGGGGAGATATTGGGAACGAAACATGAGCTAATACTCGTGAAAATGAGACTTGTTTTATGACTTGTAATAGGGTCATTTAGGTACTATTAGCAAATATTTCCTTCCCACTATCTCCCCTTCTCCCTTTCAGCACACAATGGCAAAAGAAAGTAAATCTAAGTACTCTTGGAAATTTCAGTTTGACGGAAACAATCTCAAGTCCAAAAAAGAAACCGAAAAAACTATGTTGAACTATCGGGTATAAGGTATATTGACCAACCTCTCCCTGTCCAAGTACCACAAGCAGGTTCACTCTTTGAGGAACGAATCAGCACCGTCCAAGAAAATGGAGAGAACACAAGCAGCTTTAGCCGAGCGGTTGTGTATCTAACCAACTTCTTTAGTACTATGTACACAGCTAATTTTTTTAGAGAAGTGAGGTTGGAGTCATAATGATTCCAGTAAACTTTAATAATTATGTAATGGGAAAGGCTATTCTTATCGTGTAGTCCAATAGGTCCATTAGACCTTCTATAAGTAATTAAAAAAAAATGGAGAAAATTTGGAAGTTGAAAGGCTTGATTGCAGCATAGTTCAACTGTTGTTTACAAAGTTCAACTCTTTGTAAATTTCATGCCGATGATTTTAATTTGAGTTGAAATTTTTCTGTTCAATTTCAGTTCCAGTCATACATGAATTCTTGTTTTAAACAAACATTGTAATGAGATTTATATTGATCTTTTATTTAATTTTAGTTCCAGTCATACATAAATTCTTGTTTTACACAAACATTGTAATGAGATTTATATTGATCTTTTATTTAATTTTGTGATAACAAAGAATAACGTGTGTTTCTTATTACATTACATATTAACTAAATAAAATGAAATTATCAAGCTTCCAATCTACTTTATTTAAAATGGTTGTCGGATACACAACCGTTAGATAATTTATGTTCGTATACTACTTTGTAAACTAAATTAAAGTTTGTCTTCCATTAAAGCTGAGCCAAGCGCCTGATATCAACTGGAAATGCATCGGTCGAATACTCAGCATTATATGCTCTTCTTCCAATGATCAAGGCTCTAGCCTCTGTAGGATGCACCGAATCATAAAATGCATACTCACTCCTATTAGGACATGGAGTTCTAAAAGGAGCACACAAGCCAATATTGGATAATTTGCAACAACCTTCTTTGTTGAATTTGAAAGCTGCATATAATATTATTCATAAGATTGTAACCAAATATAAAATGAGTAAATTATAAATTAGTCCCTCTCATTTTAAAAAATAAATTAATTAGTCCTTATTTAAAAAAAAATCTTTTATTTAGTCTCTTATGTTATTCATTTTATCAGTTTTTTTCGATAGATTAGTGATTATTTTTTTTCTAAATTGAACTTCATTTGATGCCTTATTTTTCTCATTCATTCACTCTTTCTCTCTCCTCAACCGAAAATAAAAAAAAGGATAATCTAAAAAATAAAATCACTAATCCAACGGAAAACAAATGAAAAGACTAAATTATTGACGAAATTAAATAACTAGTTTTTGAAAGATAGGGGATCGATAAATTCTTTTTTCTAAACAAGAGTGACTAATTTATAGCTTAGTTAATATAAAACCAATATAATAAAACTACTAGTGGTATAAAAATCGAGTAAATTATAAATTAGTTCCTCTAGTTTTGAGAAAGAAATAAATTAATTAGTTCTTCTTGTTTCAAAACAAATTATTTAATTTCTATACTTTCAAATTTTCTCCAAACTTTTTTTTTTTGTTATTTTTTAATTTATTTTAATTTTTTATTTTTTAAAAAATAGAGAAAAAAATAAGTAAAAAATATGAAAAGATTAATGAGAAAAGATGATTTTTTTTATTAAAAAACTAATATTTATTTAAACTTAGTCAACACGGGTTAAAAGACTAAAAAAAAGTTTTTGAAATAAAAAATAATTAATTAATTTTTTAAAAATAAAGAGACTAATTTATAATTTACTCTATAAAAATCGATAATGCTCAATAACACAATGTTAAAAAAAAGAAGAAATTTACCTTGAGTTGATTCGGCATCCATTTGGTAAAAATTTATGTAAGTAAAATTAGCTCCAGAGAGATTGGCGTTGAGGTCAATAACTAGTGGTTTAAGCTTGCTATTGAAAATTTGTACGGCATTGTTGATAATCTCTACACATGAAGAGCCATTCGTGTCATAAGTAGCCACTGCATTGGGAGAGCAACCATTTCGAAGTAGTCCTGCAACGGCCACCTTCCTTGCTCCAAGTTCATATAAGGTCTGGAGTAAAGCACACAAGAACAAAAATCTAAATATTTAGAGAGATCTTAATTGTTATTTTCTTCAAAAGTAAAAGTAAATTAGGCACTAATTACCTTGCTGATTTTTTTTTATGAGGTTATGTTATTTTACGTTATTATAACATTATAAATATAGGTTGTAAGACGTAGGAAAGTTTATTATAACTGAATTATCGGTAAGTGAATACCAAAATATCTTGTTCTAAATACTTATATGTCTAAATGAATCAAATTTCTTCTAAATTTTAGTTTATTGGAAAATTAGTTTTTCAACTTTTAATTTGTGTTTTTACCTCTTTAATTTTTTTTTTTAGATTTATGTCATTTTATGATTTTCAGCTATCACGCCTCTCTCTTAAAAATTCATCTTTTTTGTATTTTGATTTGAATTTTTTAATATCGAAAAATTATATTTGTTTAATTTTTAAACATTAAAAAATAGAAAATCGGAAAAAAAAACAAAAAAATAACCTGAAATGATTCTATGTTTTATGAAAAGTTTCAAATAAATCTTATTAAAAGATTTCCATCGTGGGTCTATTTATGTAATTGTTGTTTTTTTGAGACAAATAACAGAAAACATGGACTCAATTTTTTTTTTAAAAAAGAAGTTTAGACAAGTCAAAACACAAATAAAAAATTAAAAAACTAATTTTTAGATAGACTAAAATTCATGAGAGATTCCACTCTTTTAGGCCTACGTATATTTCAATAAATAAATATTTTCATCTCTAATTGAAAGTACGTAACAGACAGCAACGTAACAAACACCTTTAGTTGCTGAGAATATTGTTGAAGGAGCACTGTTGCATACTGTTCGACATTGAATTGCTTCGAGGTGTTATAGGATTGTGGCAAGAAGTAATTCATTGTGTAGTCATTGTTGCCCATGTCAATGGTATAAATGCACTTGTTCAGGTACTTAATAGCTGAATTATTGTTTCCCAACATACGGCTGATGCGTGAAACTATGATCCCATGATTTTGTAATTGCTGATCCAAAGATATTACATTGCCCTATATATCCAATACGAAAGGAACATATTAATTTGAAACATTTTGATTGTAATGATGCAAATTATTACTTTTGTTCTTAACTAGTGGGAGTATTTACCGATGATGCTAGTCCAGTTTCATTACGAATACCAGCTGAACCAGATGCATAATTTACACCTTTTAGTATGTTATTTGTGATTTTTGCTGTATTGAAATTTGGAATGTAATGGTCAAATCCCAAAAGATTACCTGTAACAAAATAGTACCGATAAATTAGTACGATAATTATGCTATGCAACATGAATTCAAAAAAAGGTTTAATTATTCATTTATATAGATTATACATGTTGAATTTCAAGTCAATTAACTATAGAAAGCTTATTTATATAAGCTTTTGTTAAAAAAAAAAATACTATTAAAAGAATAACCATCAAGGACCGTAAAAAAGTTAAGGTGAAACTGCACAAATCTTCTTTGAAGTTATTTTAAAATCAGTTTTTTTAATTTTTAATTTCAAGTTGAACTTCTCTTCAATTATTTTTTTCATTTAAAATTAGATCTTGTGTTAGATTTTCATCGGTTCAAACATACAAGCATAGTTTTCAATTGAAAACATATTTTTTTATTTAAAATGGATATTTTACATACTTTTCCTTCCAAATTTTTTTTCTTTCAAAATAATAAAAAGTTACCAATTAAATAAAATTTTAGAATAGAGAAACAAGTTTTTAAGAAAAAAACAAATCATTCATAAAATTTAACACATTTTTAACTAGTTGGGAAGCTAAAAAATCAATTATGTGCGAATCACGTGTAGTTGCACTGTTAGAGTTAATAAAAACCTAAGAATTACTTAATTTTAAATAAAAAATAATTAAAGAGAGAAGTCCAATCCGAATTTAAAAATTGAAAGACCGATTATCAAATAACTTAAAGCTTCAGAAAAATCGGTACCATTTAATATAAACGTATTTGATTCTTAAGGAAAAGAGAAAGAAGCATAATTAGGGGTAGGATAGAAAATTGATAAAACTGCTCGTTTAAGCAAAAGGAGATAAAAGAGGAAGAAGCAGACCAATGACATCTGCTGTATTGTTGCCATTGCTAAACCTTCCAGTAGGCCCTTTGCGAAAGTCAATCCCATAAGGGGGGTAATTGGATTTTGCCACCGTCAGAAGAGGGTTGTTGTTTCCATTATCAAAAAGTGAGTCTCCGAAAACAAAGTAACAAGGCGCTTGAGGTTCTCCATAAGCCCAAGTTTGCAAGTTTGAGATCACCAATGGAATAATCAACAACACCCACCATCGCAGCTTAGGTTCGTTTGCCATTGAAAACTGCATGAAGAAAATAATAGAAGAGTGTCGTAGAGAACACAAGCCAGCAGGTGACTGATTTTATAACGGGCGTAGGAATACAGTAGTTGTAAAGATTTTAACTACGTAACTAAAATTGAAGGATCCAGAATTTTAATGACAAATTTGAAGCCAGAAGGTGACTGATTTTATAGTAGGTGTAGAAATATAGTAGTTGTAAAGATTTTCACTACGTAACTAAAATTGAAGGATCCAAAATTTTAATGACAAATTTGACTTTAACACCCGAGGGTTGCCCTGCTATTTTAGAGTAAATTATTAATTAGTCCCTCTAGTTTTGATATACAAATTAATCAATCACTTTTATTTCAAAAAATATATATTTTTTTAATTTTTTAATCAACGTTGACTATAATTAATTTAATATTATTTTATTCTAAAAAAATCTCTCGTTTTTCCTTCTATTTTTCAATAATACCTATTTATTTTTTATTTTTCTATTTTTTTAAACAAAACAAATTAGAAAAGAATATGAAATAGATAAAAAGACTAAATAATTAGTTTTTGAAAAAAAAGACTAATTAATTTATTTTTCAAAACTAAAAGGACTAATTTATAATTTATCCAAATATTTGTTGTGTTGTTTTTACACTTACAAGTTTGAAAAGTCATTGTCCATGGCAAAATTGGCTAGAATGACTATGTGTTCCACCCCACCACATTAACTCAATGACAAGTCTAACTATGACAATGTGTTCCAACTATGTGGTGTTGCTAATTTTTAAATCACATCTCTCGGTCATGGGTGGCGTGAGAGGTTGATAAAGTTACCTTTCTTTTGCATTATTCCCCATATGATGCAGATGTTCTATTGTAATCGTAAGTTTCTTTCACTTTTGTTACTAACGATAACTATGAGAGGTTGATAAAATGAACTTGCGTCGGTATGTTTTCTTCTTGTTTTGTTCGCATTGCGACGCAAATGTATTATTATAATTGTCGGATTCATTCATCAATGATAATTTATCTTGATTTATGAAAAAAAAAAAAAAAGCAAGAAAGCTTGACCATTCTAACATAGAAAAAGGAAAAATGTGAATATTAAAAAAAATAAGTAAATAAACTAGTAGAATAATAGTTGCCTTTTGCAATCGTTATTAGTTTTATATATATAAAAAAATATTATTTTACGAATTTCTTTTTTGTTATTTCATAATTAATGATTATTTGGTGTTTATGAAAACGATAATAAAAAGATATTATTAGTTGTGGTGATAGGAATAATAAAATAATGATAACAATGATGCTAGTGGTTTTTGTTCCGATTATATCGCGGCGATGGTGATTGTATCAAAAATAAAAATAATGATAGTGAAATGGTAATAGTAATTTGATGGTAAAACTAAGATGATTATATTAATAACATAATTGTAAAGTAACATATGGAATAAGAATAAATTATAAATTAGTCTTTTTAGTTTTTCAAAACGAATTAAATAATATTTTCAGTTTTAATAATAACTAATGAGTTTTTATGTTTTTAAATCGGTTTATAATTTAATCATTATTGTTCCTTTTCAATTTATTTTTTTCTTGTTTTAAGAAAAAGAAAAAGAAAAAAATAAGTTAAAAAAATATAAAAAAATTGATGAGACAAGAAGATATTTTTTAAAAATAGATTAATATTAAATTAATCATGACCAACACTAGTCAAAAGGCTAATTAATTAGTTTTCGAAACATAGATACTATTTAATTTATTTGGAAAAACTAAAGGGACAAATTTGTAATTTACTCTATGGACTTCCGGTTTTCTATTTTTCCCAAGTTGGGCGGAGTATAAAGTGCAAGGCCCAATAGCCCAATATTGGCCACAAATTCAACCGCCCGGTAAGAAGCCTGAATAAAGCTACAAGCCCGGCTCAACAAAACTAAAACCTTAGCCTTCCAAATATGGTTATGCTATAGTATTGGTCATTTTAACCTTAAAACAAAATAACTATTATTTGTAAATTCTAGTAATAGATTGAACAGTGGGTTTTTTTTTCTTTTAAGTACAAAAAGCATTTCGTTGTAAATGTATAAATGATTAAGTTACACTATTTATAAAGAATGAACTTTATCCATGGAATGAGTAAGTTTTAGATCGAGGAAGTGAACTTCTAAATCTACTTGTTAACCCAATGAAACTTGTCCATAAATTATTCTTTTAATTTCAAAAAATAGCAAATAACACCACTTATACATGATAAATAAATAAATAAATAAAATACCAATATATTAAGTTATGAATGGACCATTCATTTTGAGAAGTTTAAATAAATCCAAACTCCATTATCAAATTCAATAATAGGTTTAATAGTTTAGAGTCCAAACAACTTGATACCCTCAAAGATTGCCGAGTGAGAAAGATCATATAAAATAACTCAACAAAACGACACTTAATATAAATTGAGATAATTTTAAAAATATGCTCTCACATTGAATCTAGTACAATAAAAAAAATTATACTCGACCATAAAATTTAAACCCAAAAAATTAAGAAAACATACCGTTTTTAGTCACTGCACCAACCCGTTAAAGTTAAATTCAATAACATATTTACATCTATATACGAGATACGTATACTATTTTTTGTCGAGATAAGAGTGAATTATCTTATAGATAATTTGAATATTTTAAATTGTTTTTTTTTCCTTTTTTGCAAATCAATGAATTATAAAATGCACTAAAAATAAAAATGTTGAAGAAGGTAAGGAATTGAATTCCATTCCATTTATATGACCAGCACAACCAACCCATTTCCCTGCATGGAAAATTTTTCTCATGCCAGGAATATATCAGATTCTGTTTTTTTTCAACCACAGCAAAATATTAGTTCAAGACCTTACTTTCCATTGATATTTTCAATCATTTTGTGCCCAAGTACTTGTGTGTGTATTTATATGTATATTTTCATTGGTGAGTCTCATTATCACAGATTAGCCTCTTCTCTCTCACCAAAATCCCATTAGGAAAATCATCAACCTCTATGGCCAAGCAAGTTGAGCATGATCCACAACAATACATTGAAGATTGGTTCAATGTAGCCATCCCAATGGGCAAAGAATTTGAGCTCCCAAATCTTTCAAACATGTCCAACACAAATTTTTCTACACCAAAATTATCATTTCAAAACATCCCAGTCCATATAAATCCTCCTTTAACCGAAATCGATGCTGTATCCAACACTGAAATTGAGCATGTTCCTTTCCCTAGAGTAGTGGTGGCTACAAAACCTGCTGCCACAGAAGGGCAGGAGGCCTTTTCTTCGAGCATGAGTGCTAATCCTTCTCAAGTGAACTCTCAGTCTCTTCCGATTAATAGCCATCTACTTGCCTTGAGAAACCTGCAATCTCTTCCTCGTCTCATTCCAACCCCTAGAGCTACTTCCTTGAACCCACCTTTACGCTATTCGAGTCAAGCATTTCATGTCAGATATCAACAAACTCCATTTTCAGGAATCCTGAAACATGTCTCGCCGAGCTATCGCGATGGTATTGTTAGACTCCGAACGGATAGAAATGCTCCAAGCCTCGCGAACCATGCGGCTGGATTGAAGGTTGGCTCGAACATGATCAGGAGCAATTACCAGCAAAATCCCAGTATCCTTACTAATAGGATTAACCAACCAATCCCAGTAGCAAATCCAGACAGCCTTAAACAAACCAATCTAAGTTTACCTAAGTATCTTTCACTGTCTCTAGGCTTGACGAATACCTCCCTTTCATTGAAAGCTCAAGAAATCCAAGTCCCTAATGCCAATAATTTCCAACCAAAACAAGAACCATTAGATGGCGCTACCTTGTCAAGCCATTTTAATAGTCCTGTCAGGAAAACGTCAAGGACTTTATCAACAGCCCAAGCAAGTCGTGCTGAAAAGCACAAATGCTTTATTTGCGAAGCATCTTTTACGAATGGAAACGCTTTGGGTGGGCATATGAGTTCCCACTCTAAGAAGAGGAAAATTGAAGCATTGCGGCATGGCCAGTTTTTAAAGTCAGGTTCTGCTTCAGGATTTGGAGACTCATCACCAGGTTCTCAAGATGGCTCAGATAAGTCCATTATAACAAGTGCTGATCATTCCTGAGGGAGTACTAATTTAGATCGAAGAGTAAGATGAAGGAAATTTATGAATGGTGTAATAATAAGAATAAGAATAAGAATAAGAATTAGGGTGAATATCCTCATTCGTCTAGGCCAATTTTCTAATCTGTTCAAAAAAAAAAAACCTCTAATTTGCTTTTATATTTTGAGTTAGTTTCTAATCTATAATTCTGTTCAAAATTTTTGATCAATTTTTAGAAATCAATCTTCATATTAATAGAGATAGAACGCTTATTCCAAATAACAAAGATAATTTTTTCAAATCAAATATCATATTGAATTTACATGTTTAATTTATGAAGAATTGGTATGAATTTTAATTAAAATGATAGATTAGAAACCAACTCAAAATATAAGAACAGATTGGAGGTCTTTTTTTAAGGGATAAATCGGAAAATTGATCTATTATATAAGACTATGTGAGGGTATTAACCTAAGAATAATAGCAAGGATGTAAAATAGAATGATAATTTTGAGGGAGCTTGATCCCTTTGAGGGGATTTTCTAGAAAAGGATAAACAAAATGAAAAAAAAGAAAAAGAAAAAAAATTTATCTTATCATTTACATGATGTTTCTTACCTCTATGTGTTATTGTTCTGTGCTTGTATGTGCTTTTTAATTTCTTGGTTCTATTTAGGTAAAGTTTTCAAAGGACAAATTAAAAATATTATCAAAATATGTGATCATGACTTATATACTTTTGGCTTTGGCTTGCATTTTTTTTTTTTAATTATTGGTTTGGCCATAAGAGGTAATATGAGGATTTACCTAATTGACAATGAGTGACATTCATTCCGTGTTTTTATATTATTGTATTATTAAATATTGAAACAAATCAGTATTTTCATTCAATGTTTAACCAATCAGATGATGATGTGTAATTATTTAAAAATATGAGTAGAATAAGTATTTCTTCTTTAACCTAGATATGTTTGCCACTGTTATGGTTTCACTCGTATTTCTCCTATGTTATCCTCACTAAATTATGCTCTTAGATTTCCCATAAAGTTTAACTACATTCTAATCATACATGATCGGTAATCTTGCTCCTTTAGTATAAAAACAAAGCAAATTAAGAAGTAAGAGAGTGCTCAGAAGTTGAATTTCATTACAAGTCCATTCCATTATTAACTCAACAACACCTTCTCCCCAATTTATTAACAACACACTCCACAGATTGATCCCTAATTGAGGGGTGATCTAGCTAGCTAATAGGAAATAGCATCAAAACTTATTTCGGTATCAGAACATGCTTTTGTCGAGAGCTTCATCTTCTGGCTCAACATACAAGCATTGAGGCTGCTAACCTCCCACGAGTCGGTCGGTGGCGTGGGTCTGTGTTTGGCAGTGGGTTTGAGGAGAGAAGATCGGACTAATGTGGATGACGATAAGGCTATGTATGCTGTAGCTGGTTCCGGTTGTTGATGAGAGGGACGACAACATGGTGAGGATAGGCTTTGGTGGCTGACGACGAGAGGGTGATATTTATGGGTTTTGATAGCCAAGGGTTTGGCTGCTGGTGGGTTAATCGGCAAGACATGGTTGAAAAGGGGACAATTTGGGGTGACGGCAATGGCTGGGGGAGAGGGAGAATGGCGATGGTTGGTTGAAGAGTTGTCTAGGTAGAGGAGAGCTTCGGGTCTGTATGGAAAAAAGACGGTTGCCTTTCTTGTGTTCGTGAAATATGCGACGTGAGATCCTACATGATATTTATTCCTTGTCATCCCTCTCTCTTGTTTGGTCAGTTTGATAATGAAATTTTAGACGAAAAAAATTCTTGCGTGGTAATTTTTTTTGTTTAATATTAAAAAAATATGCTAATTATATGATTAAAAAGTATAACCTTTGTAATTTTTTGATACTATAAGTCAATATTAAAACACCAAAAAGTATAAGATCCTTATTTTTCTCCTGATGTTCTTTTATCGTACAAAATTCATTAGTTATAAATGATATCAAAACTTTTAGCAATGAGTTTTTCAATAAGAGATAAGGTGACTGTCGGATTGTTCTAAATATTGACATATTTCTGAAATAATTGACACTTTTTGCAATTTAGAATGTTCAGCAAGTTTAAAAATAAAGAAATTTTTCTTGATTTAAGATCTATGAGATAAAATTTATTTGCAAGATTGAAAATATCACCAATACGGTTTTCATCAAATATTTAACAATAAAGAAAAGAAAAGAAAAATATTGCACAAGAAAGGCAAAGAATTTGGAGAACGGAGCTCCAAAAAAAAAAAAAAAAATTAGAAAATAATTTTACTGCAGTAACTATTCTACTTATAAAAACTTCATTTTTTTCACAATGGGCTTCACCATGTCACGTAGGGCCCAATATCCCAATACTATGTTCAAATTAAACCGCCTTGTAAGAAGCCTATACAAAGCTTACAAGCCCAGTTCAACAAAACTTAAAACCTACCCTTGTTGGGCTAATATAAAGTTCAAACAATTTTAATTTCATGGCTCAATGAATTTAGAGGAAGTGCACTTCTAATTTACTTGTGAAGCCTATGAAACTTCTCCATACATTATTCTTTTAAATTTGAAATTATAATTTTGACGAAGATTGATCCCTATGGAGGGCTTTTCAAGAAAAATAAACAAATAATTTTTTAATAGAAAACAAAATGTGTTAAAATCTTTGGGACTTATTTCACTTAATCATATTCTTTTAAAAAAGAAAGCATTTACATATTCTCAAGTCAAAAGTAATTACATAGAAAAAATGATTTTATAGCTTGATTTAGTCCTTTTCCCCTCAATTTTTTTATTATATTTATTATTTTTCACAACATTATAATTTTATCAGCTGTCTTTTTGTTAATCTAATCTTGATTTTTATACTAAAAAAAATACGTTAAAGTTTATTTTATCCGAATGTTTGTCATTTCTATGATATTTTTATTCATCTCATCTTCGTTTTCATCAATAAATACATAAAATATATGATAAAGTTTTTCTTACCCAAATGTTTGTCATTTCGGTGTTTTTTTTATTTAGTCATCATAGGGAAAATGTGAATATTAGGTGTAATCCCTTTATTCCGTTGTCCCAACTAAATTATTAATGCGTGTCGCAAGCACACAAAAAATAAACTCTATTCTTAGCAATCAACAATAATGTAGATAGGGGAATAGGGATCGAACTCACGAGACTCGTTGTGATTAATAAATACCGAATAACAAAAGTAAAGGGGATTGTTTGCTGAAAATTCAAAATTAAACAAAAACAAATCAAAATAAAATTATAAATTAATAATTAGAAACTCCAGCCCAAGGGTAATTCTTTCGTTCAAATGGGTGATTGATCATCGACAACAAAAGATAATATCATCAAACATTAATTAAGCAATCAAGTTATACTCACAAACGGAAATATAACCTATTTCTTTCCTAAGTAATTAATTCAGGTGAAGCACTCAGATTAATCCTTGTTATCTAATGATTCGGTATACAAGCGATCCTCTATTAAATAACGAGCATTAGGTTCTAGGAAGAGATTACTATGAACAACGATTTAACACAAGCGGCAACCATTTAATCCATACTATGTTCTTAAGGATTAATAACGAAAGTTGGGATCACAATCATTAAAAATACCTTTGCTACTATGAACAATATGATAACAATTACGGATTACCACATTAATTCTAGCAATAAATTCCAATTAATATTTATTCAATGGACCCTTATCAAACAAATACCAATTGTAATTATAAATCAATAACACACATAAGAACAACAGATAATTAATGAATTGATAGATGAAAGGTAGAAATAGGTCTCACAATCACATAGGTTTGGACTGAATTCCCTTAAGTTGAATCATAGACTTTAGCCACTCATGGCTTTTAAGAGCACGAATTTATTTCAAAGAAAAAAATCAGATTTGTCTGTAAAAAAAAACTCTTTTATGGTTCTTCAAAAGAAATTAATTTTCCCCTCGACAAAAAAGAGCCAACAGAGAACGTGTTCTCTCCTTTTTAATCTGAAAATATCCTCTCAAAAATTGGATGAGGATAGAGTTCTAATATAATCATAACTCTTTCTAAGTTATCTCCTGAAAATCAAAATCTTGATTTCCTGTTTTGTCTTTGCTGTCAATTTTGGACCAAATACATTCCGAATTAGAGATTTCTTTCTTCAGAAGAGTTTTAGTCCTATCTGTTATCTTTCCAATGCCGTTGGTTTTGCATCAATTGAAGGTCTACAACTCGAGTTGCGTGCCAAACACTGAAACTGTGCAAATTAGTCCGATCAGAATTAAAAAACGACTTGCCAACTACTTTTCAACTTTAAACCCACCTACTTTGGACTTAGGCCCTTCATCAAAGTTGTGAATATGGGTCTTAAATCTTTATTAGAATTGGATTTGTATCAATTGGCCATCTATAACTCCAATTATGAATTAATGATCGAAACTGGTTATGAGCCCAACGGGATTCCACATCAGCTTCTCTGATCAGATTTTGAGATATTATTTGGAGATCCAAAAGAACTTGGATTTTGACCCAACACATCATTTTGGAAAGCTTGAAACGTCCTCTATAAAAGTTATGAATGCCACTTCTTTCAATTCAAACTCTCAATCTACCAAAAACTTGTAAGAAAGACAGAAGGTCTAAGTGAAAATGTGCTGGAATTCTTAACTTTTAACATAATTACTTCTAATCCCGAATTTATGTCTTATAAATAAATATGAACATTAATTAACCTATTAAGACATAAAACATAGCAATTCAACTAAATTTAAGGAGAATAAAAATATAATATAATGTGTCTATCAATTACTCTCTTAGATTTCTCAGTTTATTATTATTATTTTTTTAACCATAGATTAGATTCTAATCATAGATGATTTGTAATCCTGCTTCTCTAGTCTAAAAACAAAAACTGATAGTGACTAAGAAGAGAAGCACACAGAAATTTTTGAGTTTCATTACAAGTCCATATCATTTTTAGCTCAACAAAGCC